CCCATCGATGTTTCTGGCTCTCTATCCCTCTCTCTTCCTCTCTGTAAAAAAATCAATAAAATATATTTTAAAAAAGAAAGAAAGAAAAAAGAAAGAAACAGGAGGGGGACGTGCAAGGCCTGGTGAGTCAGGGGCTTGGACAGGAGGGCACAGTGAGGGTTTACCCAGGAGCCCTCTTGGCAGAGCCGCGGGGTTGGGGAAAGAGCCAGCTGGGCGAGGCTGCTGCAGAGGTTGGGGTTGGAGTGGGGTGCTGGCCGGGTTTGGCCCGTGAAGATTTGGGGCACAGTGATGGGAATACGTTTGGCAAGCACTGAGCAGGAAACACGGGCAGGATTAATTGGGGCTGGATGTCCTTGGGTGGCAGGGAGGGAGGGAGGAAGGACAGGGCAAGGTCTGCAGCTGGGTGTGTGGTGCCCGGAGACCCCAGGCTGAAGCGGGGGCAGGAGGGAGGGACCCTCGCAGTGGCATGTCGGAGGAAGGACTTGATTGGATGAAGAGCCATGGGAGTTGCCAACATCCGGGTCAGTGAAGCACTGGGCATGGGTGCGGGGACCCTGAGGTGAAGGACAGGAGCCAGGGAACAAGGGCATTCAAGAGCGAACCCTGGAGCCCAGCCAGTGTGGCTCAGTGGTTTGAGTATCGACCCAGGAACCAGGAGGCCACAGTTCAATTCCCTTTCAGGGCACATGCCCGGGTTGCGGGCTCCATCCCTAGGAAAGGGGCGTACAGGAGGCAGCCGATCCATGATTCTCTCTCATCATTGATGTTTCTCTCTCTTTTTCCCTCTCCCTTCCACTCTAGAATCAATTAAAAATACTTTGCAAAAAAAGCAAACCTTGGATGCCAAAACTGGTTTGGCTCAGTGGATAGAACCTCGGCCTGTGGACTCAAGGGTCCCAGGTTCGATTCCGGTCAAGGGCATGTGCCTTGGTTGCGGACACATCCCCAGTGGGGGGTGTGCAGGAGGCAGCTGATGGATGTTTCTCTCTCATCGATGTTCCTAACTCTCTATCCCTCTCCCTTCCTCTCTGTAAAAAATCATTGAAATATATATATTTTTTAAAAAGCCAAAACCGGTATGACTCAGTGGATAGAGCGTTGGCCTGCGGACTGAGGGGTCCCAGGTTCGATTCCGGTCAAGGGCATGTACCTTGGTTGTGGGCACATCCCCAGTAGGGGGTGTGCAGGAGGCAGCTGATGGATGTTTCTCTCTCATCGATGTTTCTAACTCTCCATCCCTCTCCCTTCCTCCCTGTAAAATATCAATAAAATATATATATATATATATATATATATATATTTTTTTTTTTTTTTTTTTTTTTTTTTAAAGCAAACCCTGGAGAGGATGCAGGGTGGTTAGACCACAGCCCTGGACCCAGCAACCCGGGTTCGAAGCCCGGCTCCCCCACTTTTCCAGCCGGGCACCCACGCAGGTGACCTGCCTCGTGCATGGTCCCTTCTCTGAAAAATGCAGGTAGTGACGCCTGTGTCACGGCGACCTTGCCAGGACCTTGCCAGGCGCTGGTCACTCCACGTGCTTAGGGAGTGCTGTCGCAGGGCCTCAGCTCTTGGCGGGAGGGAGGGTGGCCCAGGGGTGTGTGTGTCGGGGACAGGAAGTGACCTTGAGGCTGGTGTGGCAGACACCCAACCACAGGGGGCCTCCACGGGGCCACGGCCACGTGCCACGTGCCACGGAGGCCGTGCCCTGGGCGCCTGGGCTCTGGCCGTGGGTCCTGGCGTGCGCGGTGGAGGCCTGGCTGCAGTGAGTGGGAGGTCGGAGATGGAGATGGCGCCGCCGGCTCGCTTTCTCTCTCTCTTTCTCTCTCTCTCTCTCTCTCTCTCTCAAGGGTTGTGGCTGAGAAAGCGGGGGAGGGAGGGAGGCGCGCGTGTTTCTGGGGGTAAATATTGAAGGAAGAACCGCTTTCTGTGAGGCAGAGGTCAGGGGCGCAGAGCCCGGCTCTGCGGAGTCGGGAGCGGTGGGAAGTGGAGCGTTTATGCCCGGGGGGCCCCCCAATTTTCGTAGGGAAAGAGGAGACGTCAGGAGAGAGGGGTCATGAAGCTGTCAGCCCTCCGAAGAGGGTCCTGAGGGGGCAGGTGGGAGAGCAGGCTCCCAGGTGATGGGGCTCATGACAAGTTGTGGGTGAGGGTGCCCTGGCCAGATGGGCACAGGGAGGGCTGGGAGGGGCTGGGTCACCTGGGGGTGCCGGCAGGGCCTGCTTGGTGAGGGCAATAGCAGGGACCTTTTTTTTTTTTTTTTTTTTTAATACATGTTATTGATTTTTTACAGAGAGGAAGGGAGAGGGATAGAGAGTCAGGAACATCGATCAGCTGCCTCCTGCACACTCCCCACTGGGGACGTGCCCGCAACTAAGGTACATGCCCTCGACCGGAATCGAACCTGGGACCCTTCAGTCCGCAGGCCGACGCTCTATCCACTGAGCCACACTGGTTTTGGCAAGCAGGGACCTTTGTATATCTGCCCCGGAATGCCCGTTGCCGTGTGCTGGGATCCATGTCTTTTACCCAGCCCCCCAGCGCCCACTTCCCTGTTGGGGACTCTGCCTGGCTCTGGTTTGGTGAGGGCAAAGTGTGCCCACTGCCTCGGGCCCTGCAGGCTGCCCTGCCCAGCGCCGGGGCGGTGCAGCGGGCAGGACGTGTGTCTAGGTCGCTGGCTGCCTTCGTCCGTCGCTGAGTCAGCACCCCGCCCTGGCACCACGGGTCCAAGAGTCCAGAGTGAGTCCAGAGTGAGTCCTAGGGAGCAGGTGTGCCCGCTGAGCATCTGGGAGGCTCCCCCGGACGGTTGTGGGGCCCAGATTCCAGCTGAGGGAGAAGGGGCTGCCATCCCCTGCTGGGGACCCTTCCCGGCTCTGCCCGCCCTGGAAGCTGGTACCTGCCGCCGGCCTCCTCCTGCCAGGGCCTGTGGAGGGCGGGATGCCAGGGCCAGGTCAGCCGGGAGGTGCCAGGAGCCACCGAGAGGAGAAAGGAGGGGTGGGGCTCTGAGTCACAGCCCTGCTGCTGGCCTGGGCAGGACCTCCCAGGTGTGGGCAGTGCCCATCCTATTCCCAGCTCACTCCAGAGTCTCCTCACTTCCGGCTGAGTCACACAGGGCAGGTGGGCCTCTGGATGAGGCTGGGGACTGAGCTGTCTCCGCATCACTTCCTGCTGATACGAGCCTGGAGTCGGGGAGTGGGCCCCGCCGGTGTCTCTGACGTGCCCTGCTTCCTGTCACCCCCATCCGGCTTCCGGGGAGCCTGGACACCCCCCTGGTCCCCCCTTTCCGGCTCTGGTCTGCAGGATGGACACAAAGGTTTCGGCCTGGCTGACCTGCTCGTAGTGGGTGAGGATGGCCCAGCGAGGCACCCGCCACCACACAAGGCTCAGTGGGTAGAGCGTCGGTCTGTGGACTGAAAGGTCCTGGGTTTGATTCCGGTCAAGGGCATGTACTTTGGTTGTGGGCACATCCCCAGTAGGGGGTGTGCAGGAGCCAGCTGATCAATGACTCTCTCTCATCGATGTTTTAACTCTATCCCTCTCTCTTCCTCTCTGTAAAAAAATACTCAATAAAATATATATTTAAAAATATATATATTTTTAAAACAACAACAACAACAACAAAAAACACAGCGTAGCAGCTAAAGAATGATCCCAAGATCTGCCAGCGTGCCTGGGCTGCCGAGCGCCCGAGCACCCCGTCCCTGTCACCTCTGCACAAACAGCACCCTGGAGCGAGCACACAAGCACGGACAAGCCCTGCGGTGGGGCTCAGGCAGACACAAACACACACACACACACACTCACACGCACGCACGCACACACATGGGCAAGCTCAGGCAGGGCCCGCACAGACGTCTGGGCTGTGACTCTGGAGGGGACCCGGGCACTGGTCACTCAGACCATCACACGGAGCCAGGACCAGCTCACAGGCACACACACGCACACACACACGTGAGGCTGGCATCTCTCGGCCTCGGAGCGGATGCCCTGAGACCAGCCCGGGCTCCGTGTGACCAGGTGCAGGCCTGGGTTGGCATCACTGGGCGCCAGTGTTTTAATTATGCAAGAGGATGAGGGAGGCGCGGCTCCTCGCCTCCCTGCCCCCCAACCCCCACCCCCACCTCCGCCCTGCTCCCCGGAGGTGCTCACCGGGCTGGATTTTCCTGCAGGGCCCTGGGCTTTTGTTTTTGATCCTCTCGAACAAGCGCTGGTCGTGTGCCAGACGCCGCGCCAGCACTGGGTGGGTAGCGTGCACGCCGCCGTTGGGAGTCAGCAGTCAGCAAACGGGGCTCATTATGTGTGTTGTTATTTACACGCGTAATCTCACCCCTTCTCATAACAAGCCCGTAAGGCGAGGTGCTATTATCCCCACTTTGCAGATAAGGAAAGTGAGGCTGGTAAGTGGCTTGTCCTGGTGGCCAAGGGCGCGTGCGTGCCAGGGGCGGGATTTGAACCCAGGTCTCTGCTCCTAGAGTCTGAACTCCTGATTTGTTTTTGTTTTTAAAAAATATATATTTTATTGCCAAAACTGGTTTGGCTCAGTGGATAGAGCGTCGGCCTGTGGGCTGAAGGGCCCCGGGTTCGATTCCGGTCAAGGGCATGTACCTTGGTTGTGGGCACATCCCCAGTAGGGGGTGTGCAAGAGGCAGCTGATTGATGTCTTTCTCTCATCGATGTTTTTAACTCTCTATCTCTCTCTCTTCCTCTGTAAAAAATCAATAAAATATATTCAAAAAATATATATATTATTGATTTTTTACAGAGAGGAAGGGAGAAAGAGTTAGAAACATTGATGAGAGAGAAACATCTATCAGCTGCCTCCTGCACACCCCCTACTGGGGATGTGCCCGCAACCAAAGTACATACATGCCCTTGACCGGAATCGAACCTGGGACCCTTCAATCCGCAGGCCAATGCTCTATCCACTGAGCCACACCGGTTTCGGCTAGAAACGGGATTTTGTGTTAGAGGTGGCCCCCTGCTAACGCCCACCTTCCTCTCCCCAGACTCTGAAGAGCGACCAGTCTTCAGATTCCAAGCCGAAAACGTCTCCAACTACTCAGCCCTTCTGCTGAGCAGCGACGGGGGGACCCTGTATGTGGGGGCCCGGGAAGCCCTCTTTGCGCTCAACAGCAGCGCCAGCTTCCTGCCAGGCGGGGAGTACCAGGAGGTGAGAGACGATGCCCGCCCCCGGGGCTGGGGAAGCTGGGCAGAGGGTGGCAGTGGGGAAGGCGAACTGGGAGACTGACCTCCTGGGTCCGGGGATGATGCAAACAGAGAGGGGGAAGGAATTGGGTGGGGTGGGGGGGGTGTTGAACTCTCCATTCCTCCATGCATGCTTACCTGCTGCCTCGTTCCCCAGCTGCTCTGGAGCGCAGATGCCGAGAGGAAGTACCAGTGCAGCTTCAAGGGCAAGGACCCGCAGGTGAGCCAGCCCCTGACGGCGGCCTGGGCTGCTGGTGGGATGGAGGGCGGCGGTCCCGGACCCAGGACGGAAGCAGGAGTGGGAGCAGGTGCAGCCAGCTGTGGTGGGCGCGCATAAACCTTCTGAGGTGGCCAGATCTGGCTCTATGAGTCTTGCACTGGTAGATTGGCCGCTCTGGGCCTTAGTGTTCCCATCTGTAAAATGGGTATAGTAGCCCGGCTGGTGTGGCTCAGTGGTTGAGCATTAAACCCGGAAGTCGTGGTTTAATTCCTGGTCAGGGCACATGCCTGGGTTGCAGGCTTGATCCCCCAGTGGCGGGGCGTGCAGGATATTTCCTTTCTGCAATCAATAAAAAAATACATTAAGAAATAAAAGTAAATAAAATGGGGATCGTGACGCCTGTCTCATGGTACCCACCATGAGTGAGGATCCATAAGGCACCGGCACAAAGGAAGTGCCAGGTGGACATGGGCTTCCGGCAGGTGCAGCCCCTGGGTGGGGACAGCGGTCGTGTCCCTCTGCAGATGGCGCCTGATGTGGCCGGTCTGACAGATCCTGGTTTGGTTTTGGCCGGACCAGTGGGTGCGGGTCTCATTCAGTTCCCGGGGTTCTTCTGGAGACTCCCCGTTATCCCCAGAGGCGGCTGGTCCTGAGTGAAACAAGAGCAGCTAAGAAGATGGCAAAAGAGCCGAGATCAGTTTGGCTCAGTGGATAGAGCGTCGGCCTGCGGATTGAAAGGTCCCGGGTTCGATTCCGGTCAAGGGCATGTACATTGGTTGTGGGCACATCCCCAGTACGGGGTGTGCAAGAGGCAGCTGGTCGATGTTTCTCTCTCATTGATATTTCTAACTCTCTATCGCTCTCAATTCCTCTCTGTGTAAAATCAATAAAATATATTAAAAAAAAAAATGGCAAAAGTGGGCCGGATTTGGCATCAAGACACAAGTTCAAGTGCTGACATCCCTGACTTCTCCCATTCAGCACATAGTATCTTTAAAGAAAAAAAAAAAATGTTAGCCGAAACCAGTTTGGCTCAGTGGATAGAGCGTCGGCCTGTGGACTGAAGGATCCCAGGTTCGATTCCGGTCAAGGGCATGTACCTTGGTTGAGGGCACATCCCCAGTAGGAGGTGTGCAAGAGGCAGCTGATTGGTGATTCTCTCTCATCTATGTTTTTAACTCTCTATCCCTCTCTCTTCCACTCTGTAAGAAATCAATATGTTATATATAATTGATTTTGGAGAGGGAGAGAGAAATACCAATGATGAGAGAGAATCATTGATCGGCTGCCTGCACGCCCCCCACTGGGGATCCAGCCCACAACCTTGGGCATGCGCCCTTGACCAGGCCTCGATCATAGGTCGATGCTCAAACCATTGAGCCACACTCGCTGGGCAGCACTTGCTTTGTAAAGCCCAGGTGCTTTTAGACACTGGAGACTTCATTGTGAAAGAGGAGAACAGCGAGCAAAAAAATCAGTCCGTTGGCAAGGTAGTCAGGTTACATGCGTCCTTCAGAAAGAGTGACATCTGAGCCGAGAGGAGAAGGTGGGGAGGGAGCTGACCTTGGGGTGCCCGGAGGAGGAGCGGGCCTGTGGGTTTGACTCGGAGTGGGGTGTTTGGAGGAGCCGCTGGAGGGCCAAGCAGAGGAGTGGCCCGGCCTGGCGTTTGTCAGGAGTGATGGGAGAACAGAGGGAGGGAGACCAGCGAAGGGGGAGAGGTGCTGGGGGCCTGGACCAGGGAGGGAGACATGGTCAGACTCCCGGTGCATTGTGGGGGTCCCCTGATGGGGAATGCCGGTGTGCCAGGTGGGAATTTGAGGCTGGCTGGGAGGGTTGGGGCCTCAGCAGCCGAGAGGATGGAGTTGCCATGAATGAAAAGGAGAGACCTCGGAGGAGAAGGGTGTGGGGAGCTATCAGAGGGCGGATGGGAGACGCTATTAGATTAAGGTGACCAGATTTTTTTTTTAAAATATATTTTATTGATTTTGTACAAAGAGGAAGGGAGAGAGATAGTTAGAAACATCAATGAGAGAGAGTAATCTATCAGCTGCCTCTTGCACACCCCCTACTGGGGATATGCCCACAACCAAGGTACATGCCCTTGACCGGAATCGAACCCGGGTCCTTCAGTCCCCAAGCCGACGCTCTATCCATTGAGCCAAACGTGTTTCGGCAAGGTGACCAGATTTTAACATTGGTAAAGCGGGACACCATTGATGGGGGTGGGGATCTTGACTAAAAATTTGGTCTCTATGGAGCAACAAAATTTTTCATAGAACGCAAAAATAGTATTGTAATATTTTTTTTTTAAATTTCAACCTAAGTACCATTTACAAGTACAATAAATTTTAAAAAATTATGTATAGTATTATTTTATTCTTTGGCATAGTTCTCATTTGAGTGAATTCTAACTACTGATCAACCATGCCAACTTGGATAAGCAGCTCTCGATAATCGGTTCTCAACCATTATTTGTTATGATTAAAGTGTAACGTGATAAAATTAACAAAAATAACATACAACTCATATCCTGACTACATAGCCACATGGCCGCCGAACACCTTCTAGTCCCTTCCCGTTCTCCCGACGTTCCCTAGCTTGTGCATTCTTTCCAAAAATCGGGACTTTTTTAAAACGCTGCGGGGCGAGGGACACATTGTTAGAAATCGGGACTGTCCCGCCAAAAGCGGGACGTCTGGTCACCTTATGTTGGACATACTCTCGGTAGCTGCCCGTGAGTCTGGGGCCGGGCCTCAGGCCCAGGGTCTCCTGCTCTGGGCTGTGGCTTCCTTCCCCTGTGGCCTGGGAGGGACCATCCGTTTGCAGTGAGGACCTTCAGGGGCCAAGGCAGCCCAAGGGGGGGCATTTCCGTGCCTGACCCCAGCCGGAACTAAAGGCTGCTGACCACAGAGCTGGCTGAGCCGGGAGGTCCCACCTACACACGTGTGTGGTCCCTGATTTGAGGCCTCATCCCCCCCCAGCCCTGGCCTTGGGTCTCGGGGGTGCCCCCTGGTGGCTGGCTTGAGCTTGACATCCTGCCTGTCTCTCCCCAGCGTGACTGTCAGAACTACATCAAGATCCTCCTGCCCCTCAACAGCAGCCACCTGTTCACCTGCGGCACCGGGGCCTTCAGCCCGCTCTGCGCCTACATCGTGAGTGCCCGTCCCCCCCCCCACCTTGCAGGCCCCGAATCTCCCCGCTGACCCACAGCTCACACGCTGTCCAGTCCTTACAGCCCGCCTTGTACACCCTCCTCACCCCCTCACACCCATGTGTCTCTGCCCTCCCCCCAACACACACACACATCTTAGCGGAGGCTCTGGCTTGGAGCACCAACCTGGAATCAGACATACCTGGGTTTACATCATGGCACTGCCCCTTCCTGGCTCATATATTTCTTCTTTTTTTTTTTTAAAAAAAAAAAAAAAGGTATTTTACCGAAACCGGTGTGGCACAGTGGGTACAGCATCGGCCTGCAGACTGAAAGGGCCCGGGTTCGATTCCGGTCAAGGGCATGTACCTTGGCTGTGGGCACATCCCCAGTGGGAGGTGTGCAGGAGACGGCTGATGGATGTTTCTCTCTCATCGATGTTTCTGAGTCTCTATCCCTCTCTATGAAAAATCAGTTTAAAAAAATATTTTTTTTAAATAGTATTTTTATTGATTTCAGAGAGGAAGGGAGAAGGAGAGAGAGAGAGAAATATCAGTGATGAATCATTGATCGGCTGCCTCCTGAACACTCCTTACTGGGGATTGATGGAGCCCACCACCTGAGCATGTGCCCTTGACCAGAATCGAACCCGGGACCTTTTGGTCCACAGGCTGCCGCTCTATCTACTGGGCCACACCGGCTAGGGCTGGCTCACATCTTTCTAAGCCTCGTCTCCCCTCTGCCACCTGGGACTTCTGGCGCCCACTGCAGCGCTCACAGCCAGACGATGCCGGCATTGTGTCCTGAGCACTAGGATGGGGAGGACGGCCTGCCTGACCTCTGCCCCCACCCCCTCCCCCTCCGAGTTGTCTTTCCCAGCATCCCCCGCCTTTCCTGCAGAGCACACCCCTGCCCTGGTGTGCCCCTGACCTCCTCCCCCCCGTCTGCCCCCCTCAGAGTGTAGAGAGCTTCACGCTGGCACAGGACGAGGCGGGGAAAGTTCTCCTGGAAGATGGCAAGGGCCGTTGCCCCTTTGACCCCAATTTCAAGTCCACGGCCCTCATGGTTGGTGAGTACTGGGGGCCGGATGGCCTTGGGGAGGCTCCGTGGCGTGTGTGTGTGTGTGTGTGTGTGTGTGTGTGTGTGTGAGATGTGCAGGTGTGACCTTGAGCTGCCCTGGGGTTCCTGCTCCCTCCTCTGTGCACCTGAGGGACGTGGGCGGGACCAGGGTCATTGCAGGCCTATGGGGGCGGAGGGGAGGGAGGTCCCACTGAGAGGCTGTTGCCATAGGAATGTGTTCTTGGCAGATGGCGAGCTCTACACTGGAACAGTGGGCAACTTCCAGGGGAACGACCCGGCCATCTCCCGGAGCCACAGCCGCCGCCCCATCAAGACCGAAGGCTCCCTCAACTGGCTGCAAGGTGCAGCCCTCCCACCGCCCACCCGTGGGCAGGCCCAGGGGCCCTGGGAAGGGCGCTCCCCGTCCTCCTCTCCCTCCTCCCTCCCCCCCCCCGTCCTCCCCCCTGTCCTCCCCCCAGGGCCTGAGCACAGAGCCTCGCCTGTCCGGGGCGCCTGTGTGGGGTTCCCGGGCTGACTCTGTGCTCCCCGCCGGCCCCCGCAGACCCGGCGTTCGTGGCCTCGGCCTACATTCCCGAGAGCCTGGGCAGCGCGCAGGGGGACGACGACAAGATCTACTTCTTCTTCAGCGAGACCGGCCAGGAGTTCGAGTTTTTCGAGAACACCATCGTGTCCCGCATCGCCCGCATCTGCAAGGTGAGGGGGCCGCACAGAGTCCCCCAAGGCTCCACCGGTCCGGGGTCAGGAAGCGCCAGGAGGTCCTGCTTCGGTGACCTTCTGTATTTTTTTTTTAATATATTTTATTGATTTTGTACAGAGAGGAAGGGAGAGAGATAGTTAGAAACATCGATGTGGGAGAGTCATCGATCAGCTGCCTCTTGCACACCCCCCACTGGGGGTATGCCCGCAACCAAGGTACATGTCCTTGACCAGAATCGAACCCGGGACCCTTGAGTCCCCAAGCCGATGCTCTATCCACTGAGCCAAACCGGTTTCGGCCGGTGACCTTTTCTTAACTTCCCGGGAGAACGGCTTAGCTCACGGGCCTTTACATCAAAATACCTCTTACTGTATTATATATAATTTGATTTTTACAGAGAGGAAGGGAGAGGGATAGAGAGTTAGAAACATATCAATGAGGCCAAATCCGGTTTGCTCAGTGGATAGAGCGTTGGCCTGCGGACTGAAAGGTCCCAGGTTCGATTCTGGTCAAGGGCATGTACCTTGGTCGTGGGCACATCCCCGGTGAGGGGTGTGCAGGAGGCAGCTGGTCGATGTTTCTCTCTCATCGACGTTTCTAGCTCTCTATCCCTCTCCCTTCCTCTCTGTAAAAATTCAATAAAAATATAGTTTAAAAAAAGAAACATCCATGAGAGAGAAACATCTATCAGCTGCCTCTGGAACACTCCCTACTGGGGATGTGCCCACAACCAAGATACACGCCCTTGACCAGAATCGAACCCGGGACCCTTCAGTCCGCAGGCCGACACGCTATCCCCTGAGCCCAACTGGCTAGGGCTATTTTTTTTTTTTTGTTTGTTTCTTTACAGAGAGAAAAGGAGAGGGATAGAGACCTAGAAACACTGATGAGAGAGAAACATCCATCAGCTGCCTCCTGCACGCCCCCCACTGGGGATGTGATGGGCGTGGGTGTTCTTGATTTTCAGGGGAGCTCCGGCCTGGCTGTGGCTTGCCCACCCTCCCAGCTACAGTCGGGGAGGAGGCAGCGAGGAGCACCCAGCCCCCGACCTACGACCTCCACGCCTGAACAGCCTCTCTCCCTCCTTCCCGCAGGGCGACGAGGGCGGCGGGCGGATCCTGCAGCAGCGCTGGACGTCCTTCCTGAAGGCGCAGCTGCTGTGCCTGCGGCCCGGCGACGGCTTCCCCTTCAACGTGCTGCAGGACGTCTTCACGCTGAGCCCCGGTCCCGAGGACTGGCGGGACACGCTTTTCTACGGGGTCTTCACGTCCCAGTGGTAGGGCCCGGGACCCGGCTGGGGGTGGGTTAGGGCGAGGGGGTGGCCCGGGGGGAGCCCGCCTCATCCTGAGCCCCGGCGTTCGCAGGCACCGAGGGACCACGGAGGGCTCCGCCGTCTGCGTCTTCAGCATGAGGGACGTGCAGAGGGCCTTCGACGGCTTCTACAAGGCGGTGAACCGCGAGACGCTGCAGTGGTACACCGTGGCCTACGAGGTGCCCACGCCCCGGCCCGGCTCGGTGAGGCCCGCTCCCTGCGCTGGGCGGGGAGCCTGGGGGGACGGGGCCTCTCCCAGCCGGGGGTCACTGGGCTCCTCCGAGTCCGTCACGTCTGTTTTTTCACCTTGGAAGTGGGGACAGCCAAAACCGGTTTAGCTCAGCGGATAGAGCGTCGGCCTGCGGACTGAAAGGTCCCAGGTTCGATTCCAGTCAGGTTCCTGTACGTTGGTTGCGGGCACATCCCTGGTGGGGGGTGTGCAAGAGGCAGCTGGTCGATGTTTCTCTCTCATCGACGTTTCTAGCTCTCTCCCTTCCTCTCTGTAAAAAAATCAATAAAATATATTTTTTTTAAAAAGTGGGGACAGTTGAAACCGGTGCCGCTCAGTGGGTAGAGCGTCAGCCTGCGGACTGAAGGGTCCCGGGTTTGATTCCGGTCAAGGGCATGTACCTTGGTTGCGGGCACATCGCCAGTGGGGGGTGTGCAGGAGGCAGCTGATCCATGATTCTCTCTCATCGGTGTTTCTAACTCTCTATCCCTCTCTTTTTCTCTCTGTAAAAAATCAATAAAATATATTTAAAAAGAAAAAAGGAAATAAAAGAAAGTGGGGACAGAAGCCACGCCTGCTTGTCCCACCTGGTTAGATGTGACCGTGACTGTGGGATGCCTTCCAAGCTGGGGGGGTGGGGCGGGAGGGGAGCAGAGGTGTCCCCGTCAGGACCTTTGTCATTGTGTGCTCACGGTGCCTTCCCCTGGGAGGTGAGCGCCTTATTTATCTGAGTAATAAATGGCCCCAGGAAAGTTTTCTTCTTTTTTAAAAGAAAATATTGGTATTGATTTCAAACGGAGAGGGAGAGAGAGAAACACTAATGATAAGAGAGTATCATGGATCGGCTGCTGGGCATGTGCCCTGACCGGGAATCGAACTGTGACCTCCTGGTTCTTAGGTTGACGCTCGACCACCGAGCCATGGTGGCCCGGCTGGAGTTCTTTCTCCTTTCCTTCCAGCCCGAGGGGCTGCCTCAGAGCAGCCCTGAGCCAGGCCATGGGCATGTGGAGCACATCTCAGCATTGCCCTTCTCTGTGCTTTTTTTTTTTTTTTCTTTCTTCCCTACTGGGTGCTTATCTCCAGCCCTTGAGCCTCATCTGTGGAGGGTCACTCCTGGGTACCAAGTCCTAGTTAGAGCAATTACAGAGAGAATGAGGCACTAACTGTGGGCACCACTGGGACCCCTGGCCAGCCAAAGGATGCTCACAGAGCAGGTGGTGCGGTTGTGCTGTTTGAGGCCTGGGGGCGGGGCTGGGGAGCATCAGAGCAGGGACCCTGGCCAGCGGGGCCCTTGGGTGGTGCCCACAGCCTGGGCTCTGCCCTGCGGCCCCCACAGACCTGCTCGTGACATGCCACGGCCTCCGTGGGTGGACGGCAGGATCTGGCCTCACGCCACCACCTTCTCCTTCAGTGCATCACCAACAGCACCCGGGAGAGAAGGATCAACTCATCCCTGCAGCTCCCCGACCGCGTGCTCAACTTCCTCAAGGACCACTTCCTGATGGACGGGCAGGTCCGCAGTCGCCTGCTGCTGCTGCAGCCGCAGGCCCGCTACCAGCGCGTTGCCGTGCACCGCGTGGCCGGCCTGCACCGCACCTACGACGTCCTCTTCCTGGGCACCAGTGAGTGTCTGCGGCCGGGCAGGCCGGGGGCCGGGGGGGAGGGGGTGGCTGAGGAGCGAGGGGCGTAGGGCGTGGGCACAGGCTCCGCCCGGGGCCTGAGCACTGTCCTTGCTGCAGAGGACGGCCGGCTGCACAAGGCGGTGGACGTGGGCTCCGGCGTGCACGTCATTGAGGAACTCCAGATCTTCCCGCCCGGGCAGCCCGTGCAGAATCTGCTCCTGGACCCCCACCGGGTAAGCGGGCGGCAGAGGCAGAGGCGTGTGGGGTGCCCCTTTGCGGGTAAGCTGTTAGAAAGTCAGCGTCCGAGCCCTAGCCTGTTTGGCTCAGTGGATAGAGCATCGGCCTGCAGACTGAAGGGGCCCGGGTGTGATTCCGGTCAAGGACACATACTTCGGTTGCAGGCTCCTCCCCGGCGCAGGCCCTGGTCCGGGCGCGTGCAGGAGGCAGCCAATCGATGCATCTCTCACATCGATGTTTCTCTCTGTCTCTTCCCTTCCCTCTCTCTCTAAAAGTCAATGGAAAAAATATCCATGGGTGAGGATTTAAAACTAAATTTTTAAGAAAGGGGGGTGGGGGGCGCAAAACCAGTGTTGCTCAGTGGATAGAGCGTCAGCCTGCAGACTGGAGGGTCCCAGGTTCAATTCCGGTCAAGGGCATGGACCTTGGCTGCGGGCACATCCCCGGTGGGAGGTGTGCAGGAGACAGCGGATCGATGTTTCTATCTCTCTATCCCTCTCCCTTCCTCTCTGTAGAAAAAAATCAATAAAGTGTATTTTAAAAAAGTGGGAGCCTGGGAGGAGGCCCTGGGAAAGGGGCTCTGGGGTGGCTGCGGGGGGTGGCCCTGGCTCTGATCCCCATGTCTGTGCAGGGCCTGGTGTACGCAGCCTCCCACTCCGGGGTAGTCCAGGTGCCCGTGGCCAACTGTGACCTGTACCGGAGCTGCGGGGACTGCCTCCTTGCCCGGGACCCCTACTGCGCCTGGAGCGGCAACCGGTGCCGTCACGTCAGCCTCTACCACCAGCAGCCGGCCTCCAGGTGAGAGCCCAGCAGGCCTCCCCACGTCCATCCCTGTGCGCAGCCTCGGAGCGCCTTCCCCAGCCCCTCTGAGACCCCCCGCGCAGCTTCGTTGGTGTCCACTGTCTTGGTGTAATTGTTATTTTTTAAAAACTAGAAGCCCGAGCCGAAACCGGTTTGGCTCAGTGGTTAGAGCATTGACCTGCGGACTGAGGGGTCCCAGGTTCGATTCCGGTCAAGGGCATGTACCTTGGTTGCGGGCACATCCCCGGTGGGCGTGTGCAGGAGGCAGCTGGCCGATGTTTCTCTCTCATCGATGTTTCTAGCTCTCCATCCCTCTACCTTCCTCGCTGTAAAAAACCAACAAAATTTATTTTTTTTTTAAAAAGAGACACACACAAAGCTTATACATACAGAGCCAGGTGTCCTTCCTGTTTCTTAGGGAGTATTACAGTACTTTTTATTGGAAGTAAATACTGGGGAACAGGGGAGATGCTGGCCTGCCTTTCCCCCCCTGCTCTGGGCCTGGTGGTCCCTGAACTCTGGGCCCTTGTCTCCAGGGCTGCCCCTGGGAATCGGGGTGCAGACGCACGGGGCACCCTGGCCTATCCCAGGCTCTCTCTGGTCCTCAGGCGGTGGGTCCAGGACATCGAAGGCGGTAACGCCAGGGACCTCTGCAACGCTTCCTTCGTCAAGCCCCGGTTGGCTGCTCCAGTAGGTAAGGTGCCCGTCGGGATGGAGGGAGGCAGGGGCCCTGTGGCTTAGAAGGCTCCTGAGTTCAGGCACCGACCGCCATAAATGCCCTCCCATCCTCGACCCTCCAGCCTGGGAAGTGCAAGTCCCAGTCCCTGGAGTCCCTCAGCGTTGCCACTGTGTGGCATGATGGGCACTGCCCAAGCAGGAGGCGGGTGAACTGGGGCTGTGGTGCCCGCCAAGCCCCCCGTTGCCTCATGCCTGCACCTCCCCTGCCCGCAGGCGAGAAGCCATGTGAGCCAGTCCCGTTGGAGCCCAATACGGTGAACACCTTGGCCTGCCCGCTGCTCTCCAACCTGGCGACGCGGCGCTGGCTGCGCGACGGGCTGCCCGTCAACGGCTCGGCCTCCTGCCGGGTGCTGCCCTCGGGCGACCTGCTGCTGGTGGGCAGCCAGCAGGAGCTGGGCATGTTCCAGTGCTGGTCGCTGGAGGGCGGCTTCCAGCAGCTGGTGGCCAGCTACTGCCCGACGGTGCTGGACACGGCGGCGGACCGGCAGGGGCGAGGGCCCGTCATCATCAACACGTCGCGGGTGAGCGCACCGGTGGCCCACGGCAAGGCCGGCCGGAGCGCGGGCCCGTCCTACTGGACCGAGTTCCTGGTGATGAGCGCGCTGTTCGTGCTGGTCATCCTGCTGGTGATCCTGTTCTTCCTCTACCGGCACCGCGACAGCATGAAGCTGTTCCTGAAGCAGGGGGAGCGCGCCAGCATGCACCCCAAGACCCACCCGGTGGTGGCGCCCCCCGAGACCCGGCCGCTCAACGGCGTCGGCCCGCCGAGCATCCTGCCGGACCACCGTGGCTACCAGGCCCTGTCGGACAACTCGCCGGGGCCGCAGGCCTTCACCGAGTCCGAGAAGAGGCCGCTCAGCATCCACGACAGCTTCGTGGAGGTGTCCCCGGTGTGCCCCCGGCCCCGGGTCCGCCTGGGCTCCGAGATCCGGGACTCGGTGGTGTGACAGCCGACCAACAGAGGGTCGTGGATGCTCAGAGGGGCCGGCCGGACTTCGGCTCTTGGCGGCGCCCGGCTTATACATACAGAGCCAGGTGCCCAGCCCTCCGGAGCAGGGGGGGGGGGGGCCGCCAGCTGGCCGGCGGCCCTTCGGGGAGTGAGGCCCCTCCAGCCCAGATGCCATGATCCCGGGAAGACGAGCGGGCACCTGCCTCGGTGGGCAGAGCAGTGCTCCCTACGTAAGCTGAGCCTTTTGTGTAAAAAAAGAAAAAAAAAACCCACTGAGAATGTGAAATGACAATGAGACAGCACAAGGCCGCGGGCAGCACGGCCGCTCCAGCTCGCAGCCCCCCCAGCCTCGGGGTCTTTGGAAGCATCCGCCGTGGTGGGTGCAGACAGAGGTGGGAACCTCGGGCCTCGTGCTGCTGCCACGGGCAGCGAGGCGCTGCTGGGCCAGGGGCCGGCTCAGGTTCCGTGGGTCCTGCCTGGCCGCGGGCCAGGTGGTTATGGCCATCATCTCGTCACCTCAGGGACCGAGGGCTACGCCGGCCCTCACGGGGCCCTGGGCTCGGGCCACCTCTGGACCTTCCCGGCCTGCATCAGGCCGTGGCCACGGGACAGCAGGCATCGTGAGCTCAGGAGTTACGACGATGATGTTCACCTTCCCCTCGGAATTCTAGGAAGAGACTGTCGTTTGCTGCCTTCCTCTGTCCAGACTCAAATCCGAGTGTCCCCCCCGACTCCTCCCTCGTCCCGTATCCCCTCCAGCCCTCCTTCACTCCCACACTTTACCTGCCTCCGATCTAAGGGATTTGACACTGCCCGGCACAAGGGCCTGACTTTATGTGGGTTTTATATATATTTTTTTTTTTTAAGTCAGATGCACTTTACATTTGTTTTTTTGTATTTTAAATAAAACCTAAGGAATCTGAAATTGAATCGCGGCCCTTCCTCTTAAAGGACTGTTGACCTAAGCCGTGGCTCAGTGGGTGTGGCTCAGTGGATAGAGCGTCAGCCTGCAGACCAAAGGGTCCCGGGTTCAGTTCGGGTCAGGGGTCGGGGCACAGGGAACAGGGTTTTTTATTTCACTCTTAAAATTCTTCTTATTTTTAAAATGCTCATACAGTAAATTCTTTTTAAAAAAAAAAAAAAAGGTGTAGATGTATATATTTTTAAAATTGATTTCAAAGAGGAAGGGAGAGAGAGAGAAACATCAATGATGAGAGAGACTCATGGATCGGCTGCCTCCTGCACGCCCCACACTGGGGATCCAGCCCACAACCCAGCATGTGCCTTGACCGACAATCAAACCGTGATCTCCTGGCTGAAATCAGTTTGGCTCAGTGGATAGAGCGTCGGCCTGTGGACTAAAGGGTCCCAGGTTCGATTCCGGTCAAGGGCATATACATTGGTTATGGGCACATCCCTGGTGGGGGGTGTGCAGGAGGCAGCTGGTCGATGTTTCTCTCTCATCAATGTTTCTCTCTATCTCTCTCCCTTCCTCTCTGTAAAAAAATCAATAAAACATTTAAAAAAAAAATAAAAAAGCAAACCCGTGACCTCATGGTTCATAGGTTGATGCTCAACCATCGAGCCACACTGGCCAGGCTACAGTAAGTTCTTTTTTCTTTTGGCAAACGGCCCTATAATGTTCACGTAGAAATTCATGTCACACCACCATCATCAGGATTCGGCAGGTTCCCTCCCCCCACAGACCCCCTCCTACTCAGTGCCACACTCTGCCTGCCTGCTGGTCCCTTCTCTGGAACTTTGTTAGCCCCCGAAGCCTCCTGGTAGTCCAGCCCTTCCTCCTAGCCAGCATTTCCAGGATCGCACACAGGATCGAAACGTCTTAACCTTTATTGCTGATGAGTAGGAACGGAGTGGTGACAATGGCGGTGAGAAGGGGGCGACGAGGCACTGGCTTGGGGGCGCCCTTCCCTGCCTGGGACAAGACTTCACAGCGCCAGCTCCACGGGCCCAGCTCGGCCGGCCCTGGCAACACAGGCGTAACCTTGGCCACGGCTCGGCAAGTGTCAAGGTCATTGTACGGGCGGCTGGGAAAGCGGCTGTGTGGCTCCTGTCACAGGACGATCTTGAAGGAGCTGGACGAGAGAGAACGGGGGGTTTGATTTGGTGCTGGAAGAGGAGGGTGAGGACACTAAACCCAAATGCACCCACCTCTCCCCCCTTCCCCCAGACCTTTTGGAATGGGCTGTATCTCCCGTCTGTCTGTCCCCCTTGGGAGAAGAGCTACCCTGAGAGATTCCCCTGCACCCCCTTTCCCCCCTAAAGAACATCCTAGCCGAAACCGGTGTGGCTCAGTGGATAGAGCGTCAGCCTGCAGACTGAAAGGTCCCGGGTTCGATTCCGGTCAAGGGCATGGACCTTGGTTGCGGGCACATCCCCGGTAGGGGGTGTGCAGGAGGCAGCTGGTCGATGTGTCTCTCTCATCGACGTGTCTAGCTCTCTGTCCTTCTTTCTCTCTTTTCCTCTTTATAAAAAAAACAATAAAATATATTTTTTTAAAAAAACATCCTAGACCCAGATGCTACAGGCGGGACAGCCCTACCTGGCAAAGTCCGGTGAGCGGGAAATAACATGTTGGAACTCCGAGAGGTTGATGGTCCCATCCCGGTCGATGTCAGACTCTTCCAGGATCTGAGCAAAGGATGGGTGTCAGGCCCCGGCCCTCCCTAGGCTCCTGGCCCGGCTCGCCCCCCCCTGCCCCGCCCCCACCCCCTCCCCGCTGGGCCCAGCCGCTCACATTATCAATAAGCTGCTTCATCTCGGAATCATTGAGCCGGGTGTCCTCGCCCTCTCCCGTGAGGCAGTTCACCAGCTGGCTTAGGTCTTCTCTGTTCAAGGTGCCATCGTCATCGAAATCTAGAGCAGACATGGCGGGGGGGGGGGGTGGTGGTCCTGGGATGACCCCAGAGCCCGGGCAGCCCTGGCCCAAAGACCCTGGGGCAGGCCCTGTGCTCCCCATAGGCTCCCCTCTCCTCCCACCCCTCTCCCTCCCCCCCCCCCCCCCCCCCCCGGCGTCCTCACCGAAGATGCGGAAGGCATAATGGGACTTGATGTCTGGCGTGGCCGTGTCGCTGAACACGCTGAGGAGGTCCAGGAAATCCTCAAAGCTCAAGCGGTCTCGGGCCGGGGAGGTCGAGAAGACCCTGCAGATGCGCTCCCGGAAGGGGTTGGCCTAGGGAGAGAGCCTCCGTCAGCGCCACAGGAGGCTCTCAAACCCCACAGGGCCGGAGGGGACGGGTCCCAGAACCCGCACCAGGAGTGCAGGCTCGAGGGGGGAGGGGGAATGACCAGTGCTTTTTCTTTTATTTCTTTTTTTTTTAATATATATGTTTTATTGATTTACTACAGAGAGGAAGAGAGAGGGAGGGAGAGTTAGAAACATCGATGAGAGAGAATCATCGATCAGCTGCCTCCTACACACACACACACACACACACACACACACCCGGGGATGTGCCCGCAACCAAGGTACATGCCCTTGACCGGAATCAAACCTGGGACCCTTCAGTCCGCAGGTTGATGCTCTATCCAATCCACTGAGCCAAACCGGTTTCGGCCAAAGAGAACATTTAATTAAACACGTGTTGTGCTCTACTCTGTTAGGGTCAGTGGATAGAGCATCAGCTTGGGGACCAAAGGGTCCCGGGTTCGATTCTGGTCAAGGGCACGAACCTTGGTTGCAGGCTTCTCCCCTGGCCCGGGCCCTGGTTGAGGCGCATGCAGGAGGCAACCAATGGATGTGTTTCTCTCACATCGATGTTTCTCTCTGTCCCTCCCCGTCCCTTCCACTCTCCCTAAAATTCATTGGAAAAATATCCTCAGGTGAGGATTAACAAAAAATAAATAAATAGCCCTAGCTGGTTTGGCTCAGTGGATAGAAAGCATCAGCCTGTGGACTTATGGGTTCCAGGTGCAATTCCAGTCAAGGGCCCATGCCCAGGTTGTGGGTTCGATCCCCAGGAGGGGGCATGCAGGAGGCAGCTGATCAGTGATTCTCCTCATTGATGTTTCTCTCCCTCTCTGAAATCAATAAAATATATAAACATTCATTCATTAAAATAAACACCTGCTGCAGGTACTAGGCCAAGCCCTTTGCATTTCACAGCTCTCAGGAGAGGCCATCAGCCCCTGGAAGAGGGTTTCGCAAACTTGAAGGCGACTCAACTCCTCTTAAAGGACCAAACGTCTTTTGACGTGCCAAGAATGTGTTTCTAGAATCCCGATTTGAAAAACACCATTCCAGCCGAAACCGGTTTGGCTCAGTGGTAGAGCGTCGGTTTGCGGACTGAAAGGTCCCGGGTTCGATTCCGGTCAAGGGCATGTACCTTGGTTGCGGGCACATCCCCAGTAGGGGGTGTGCAAGAGGCAGCCGATCGATGTTCATCTCTCATCGATGTTTCTAACTCTCTATCCCTCTCTCTTCCTCTCTGTAAAAAATCAATAAAATATATTTTTTTTTAAAAAAGAAAAGAAAAAAAAAAAGAAAAACACCATTCCACCGGGGACGTTAGGGCTAAACAGAGGAAAGACCAGAATGGGACAGTGACTGCCTGACTGGGGTGGGGGAAGGGAAGGAGGAGTGGAGGTATGCGGGCTGGCACCTTGAGCTCTGGAAGGCTGAAGATCTGCTCCAGGGTCACTCTGGCCTGCAGCGACTCCTCCATGCTCCGGAGCTCCTGGGGCAGCAGCTCACAGAAGCGCCTGTGGGCTCTGGCACAAGCAGGGTAACCTGTTGGCCTGCCTTCCCGTGTGCATTACCCATCGCACACCAGGTGAGGCGCCCAAGCTATGCCAAGCTATGCCCAGAGAATTTCTGAGTAATCAGGCTTGATAAGCCAGCGGGAGCCATGCCAACAAGACAGGACAGGCTGGGAGTTCGTCCTTGCGGTGGGTAATTTTCTGAAGACCTACTGTGTGCCGGGGCCTCGAGCGCACAGTAGGTCCATGAGGGGTGGAGAGGTTGGGGTGTACCGGGAGCCAGGAGTTGGCTCGGATGAACTGGGAGAAATTAAGCAAAACTCCACAGGGACCTCCTGCCCCTCAAGGACTACCTCTCTTTTCAGCAGTTTAACCTTGACCTGAACTTTCTCCTCCCCAGCACCACCTCCTCCCCACAGGGATTACTTTAGCCAAGAGGAAGAAGCCCTGGCCACTTAAAGTTGGCAGGTGGCCGAAACTGGTATGGCTCAGTGGATAGAGCGTCGGCCTGCGGACTGAAAGGTCCCAGGTTCGATTCCGGTTAAGGGCATGTACCCAGTGAGGGGTGTGCAGGAGGCAGCTGATCGTTGACTCTCTCTCATCGATGTTTCTAACTCTCTATCCCTCTCTCTTCTCTGTAAAAAATCAATAAAATATATACTAAAAAAAAAAAAAAAGCTGGCAGGTGGCTGGAAAGGGAGTTCCAGCCCCAATTCAAATCCTTTCTGGGGATGTCACAGTCTTGGGCAATTTGCCAGACTTCTCCGGACCTGTGTCCCTGTCCCCTGTGTCATTAAAGTAGGTGATACAGGCTGATTTAGCACCGTGCTTGGCCCAGGGTGGGTGTATTATTCAGGTAAGGATGGGAGAAGGAACCAGGCTCCCCAAGGACCCGGGGCTGGAGGTTCTGTTATGCAGAAGTCAGGGGAGCGCAAAGGTCAAAGGGCGCCCAGCTTTGGCTGCAGACAGCACAGCTGGGCCCCCAGAATGGCAGGATCCAGGGCTGGGGCTCAGCCGCCGACCTCCAGGAGGCCTCAGTTTCCCCATCGGTAAGACAGAGTCCCCCCTACTCCCCCCACTAAGCGGTCTCTAGGGGATCCCGATGGCAGCGAAGTTCAGATCAGCACTTACAGGAGGATCTCCTGCTTGGTCAGGAACGTCAGGTCCTGGAAGGCAAAGCAGGCAGGACCGAGGTCAGCGGGCCGCCCGCCCAGGAGGCCGAGCCCTCGCCCCCCAAAGCCGCCTGATCCCCGATCCCCGAACGCAGGCCCCGCGCCGCGTCCCGTGCACCTGATACTCGGCCAGCAGCTCCTTGGACAGGCGGCTGCCCGAGCCCCCCATCGCCGCCGAGCCGCGCGCAGCAACAGTTCCGCCAACTCCTCTCGGGACAGCAGGCAACTTTCTCACTTCCGCCCTCCGGCCGCGCGTCCCCGCCCCGTCCCCGTGGCAACCGCCCCTGAGGGAGGAGAGGCCCCGCCCCCACCCCTGAGGCCCGCCTCCTCCTCGCAGTTCCCCGCCAGTCCCCGCTCTGGGCGGTCCCCGGCGAGATGGAGGCGTGGCCAGTGTGGCCAGGGGCGTGACTAAACCACAGGCCCCGCCTCCTGGGCGGAGGGGGCGGGGCACGCCCGCGCGTGCATGCGTGCGCGCGCAGGTGGGTGCGCATGCGCGGAGGGCGCCGCGTCCTCGCCGCGCTGGGGCTGCAGAAGCTGGTGGTCGCTCGCGCGGAGCGTCCGTCTTTCCTGCAGGGAGCGGCGGCGGCGGCGGCCTCGGGTGAGGTCTGGTGAAGGGCAGCAGGGAAGTCTGGGGCCAGAGGGGCCTGGAAAGTTCTCTGAGTGGCCATGGGCCGCCGCTGCCCCTGTGCCTGAGGACGGCGTTTGCATCCCGACGTCACCCTCCGGCCCCCCGCCTCGCGTGTGGCAGCCCCCGCGTCGCCTCCTCAGACAAACCCGCAGCCTTCCGGCCTGGGAGGCTGCTTCCTCACACCCGGCGGGTGCTGAACGCTGTGCCGAGTTGCTTCGAGTTTTGTAACGAAGCCCTGCGAGGTAGGTGCCCCAGTGTCAGTGCATGAATGAATGAAACGGCGCTGTTCCAAAGGCCAGGACTCCAAGCTGCCGAGAGGAGTGGAAGTGAGATTCATTCATTCATTCATTCTTTACTTCTTTATTTTTTCTTCCTTCCTTCCTTCCTTCCTTCCTTCCTTCCTTCCTTCCTTCCTTCCTTCCTTCCTTCCTTCCTTCCTTCTTTCCTTCCTTTCTTTTTCTTCTCTTTTCTTTCCTTTTCTTTCTTTTCTTTCTCTCTTCCCCTCATTTTTTTTATTATATGTATGCATACCTTACCAATCCCACCCCACCCCTCCCATACATGCCCTTCCTTCCCATAGTTTTTCGTCCATTGGTTATGTTTATATGCATGCATGCAAGTCCTTCGGTTGATCTCTTATGAGATTATTTCTTTCGTTTCCCGTTTTGCTGACGTATAATTGGCAGGTGCGCTTGTAGGGATTAATTCTTGATTCTTCCAATGCAATCTGCTTGCTGATCTGTAAAGTCTAAAAGTGAGCGTGTCATTTACAAAAACAAAAACAAAAACAAAAACCCTCGGGCCCCTGTAATCTGACTTCTGTGGTTTAGCCATCGTGGGTATTCAGTAGTTCCTCTTCCTGCTTACCTTCACGGAAGCCTTTCCTGAGTCTCCGGACTAGATTAGGAGTTTGTCCTACACTTGCCGAGTTCCCAGTGCTTCTGCACGGCATGTATCTTGCTTGCAGTTTATATTTGCTCAGGTGATGACTGTTTCCTCCCCACTAGGCTGTAAGCGGGGTGAGCTGTGGGTGGCATGCACTCCAGGAGGTGGCATTGGCTGAGTAAATGTTTACTGAGTGACTAGTTTGACCAGCACTCAATTACCCTAGCTCCGCAGTCTGCAAACTGCAGCTCGCGAGCCACATGCGGCTCTTTGGCCCCTTGAGTGTGGCTCTTCCACAAAATACCACGGTCTGGGCAAGTCTATGTTGAAGAAGTTTTAAAAAAATGTGACACTCCAAAGACATGTCAGTCGTTGTCCTGTTGATATTTGGCTCTGTGGACTAATGAGTTTGCCGACCACTGCCCTAGCTGGTATGGCTCAGTGGATAGAGCATGGGCCTGCAGACTGAAGGGTCCCAAGGCCACATGCCTGGGTTCCAGTGGGGTGCATGGAGGAGGCAGCCAATCAGTGCCCTGACTGGGAATCGAACCTTGACCCCCTGGTTCATAGGTTGATGCTCAACCACTGAGCTATTTTTAATTCAGCAAAAAAGGTATGCTAATCTAAAGGCTCTTGAGTCATTCCTATATTTCAAAGTATTTTATCAAAGGTATATATTACTTTTGTAACCAGAAGAACAAGTAAAGGTTATCTGAAAATAAAAGTAAAATCTCTGGAAATGGCCCTAACCGGTGTGGCTCAGTGGATAGATAGTTGACCTGCAGACTCAAGGGTCCCAGGTTCGATTCTGGTCAAGGGCATGTACCTTGGTTGCAGGCACATTCCCAGTTGGAGGTGTGCAGGAGGCAGCTGATGGATGTTTCTCTCTCATTGATGTTTCTGGCTCTCTAGCCCTCTCTCTTCCTCTCTTTAAAAAAAATCAATTAAGCCGAAGCCGGTGTGGCTCAGTGGATAGAGCGTCGGTCTGCGGACTGAAAGGTCCCCGGGTTCGATTCCGGTCAAGGGCATGTACCTTGGTTGCGGGCACATCCCCGGTAGGGGGTGTGTAAGAGGCAGCTGGCCGATGTTTCTCTATCATCGACATTTCTAGCTCTCTCTCTCTCTGCCTTCCTCTCTGTGAAAAATCAAAAAGATACATTAAAAATATCAATTAAAAATATATTTTTTTAAAAAATCTCTGGAAATGGGGTAGCATCATGTGTTTTCCCCCCTCTGATGACTGTTTCAGGTCGGCCCATGGCTGTTTCCGCGGGTTCCAATGAAACTTCCTATTTGCTGCCTCCAAACCGGGAGGCCTGGGAAGAGCGAGGCGTCCCTGACTTTGTCTATGGACCGAAGGAGCTCACGCGGGAAGGGGTTCAGTGGCCGGGGACCCCGCCCGGCCCCCCGGACACACGGCCTCCTCCGTCTCCTTTCGACTCTGCGCTCTGCTCTGCCTGGAGACAGCGGATGGAGCTGGGCCTGTTCCGCTACCGCCTTGGGGAGCTGCAGACCCGCACGCTCCCCGGCCCCGTGGGCTTCGTGGCCCAGCTGAATGTGGAACGAGGGGTGCAGAGGAGGCGCCCCCAGAACATCAGGAGCGTCAGGCAGGCCTTTGACCCCCAAGAGTTTAACTTCAACAAAATCCGGCCGGGGGAAATTCTCTTCCGTTTGTGCCGCCGGGACCCCGATCCCCCGGGGGGTCCCCAGGATGTGGATGTCCTCGTGATGATCAACGTGAGCCCCCTGGAGCGGGGCCACGTGCTGCTGGTGCCCGAGCCCGCCCGGGGGCTCCCGCAGCGCCTGCTGCCCTGCGCGCTCCGGGCCGGGCTGGAGGCCGTGCTGCTGAGCTTGCACCCTGGCTTCCGCGTCGGGTTCAACAGCCTGGGCGGCTTGGCCTCCGTCAACCACCTCCACCTGCACGGCTATTACCTGGCCCACAGGCTGCCCGTCGAGGGGGCCCCAAGCGAGCCCCTGGACCCTGGGGGTCGTGTGCACCTGCTCTGGGCTGTCCCGGCTCCCGGCTTCCTCTATTACGCCCGCGGGCCGGGGCCGTGCTTGGAAGCGCTCATCGGCAGGGTGTGTCGCGCCACGGACTATCTGACGGACCACAAGATCGCCCACAACGTGTTTGTGACCCGGGGTGCGCCCCCTGGGGAGGCATCCTTCTCCCCGACCCTCACGGGGGTCCGGGTGATCCTCTGGCCCCGCAAGGCCAGCTTCGGGGTAAAGGAAGGTGAGGCGTTCAACGTGGCCCTCTGCGAGCTAGCCGGGCACCTTCCTGTGAAAACGGCCCAGGACTTCAGCGGCCTGACCGAGGCGGCCGCCCTGGCCCTCATCCAGGACTGTCTGCTGCCCCCAGCGCAGGCGGCGGAGGTACGGGCGGCACTGGTGGCCTTGGTAGCTCAGGAGGAGCAGTGATGGAGGCTCCCTCACCTGTCGTAGCCTCAGAAGAGGGATCAAGAACTGATAACAGCCGAAACCGGTGTGGCTCCGTGGATAGAGCGTCTGCTTGGGGACTGAAAGGTCCCGGGTTCGATTCCGGTCAAGGGCATGGACCTTGGTTGCAGGCACATCCCCAGTAGGGGATGTGCAAGAGGCAGCTGATCGATGACTCTCTCATCGATGTTTCTAACTCTCTCTCTCCCTTCCTCTCTGTACAAAATCAATAAAATATATAAAAAAAAAAAAAAAAAGAAGAACTGATAACAGTGGTCTCTTTCACGAGGAGATACCCTGGAATAAATGGAATGAGTGAGCCCTCATGGATGTATCTGCTTCTTTTAAAAATATATATATATATATATATTATTGATTTTTTACAGAGAGGAAGGGAGAGGGACAGAGAGTCAGAAACATTGATGAGAGAGAAACATCAACCAGCTGCTTCCTGCACACCCCCCACTGGGGATGTGCCCGCAACCAAGGTACATGCCCCTGACCGGAATTGAACCTGGGACCTTTCAGTCCGCAGGCCGACGCTCTATCCACTGAGCCAAACCAGCTCTGGCTGTCTCTGCTTCTTCCTTTCTTCTGGGGCAAGCCCCAGGATGCCCAGCCTGTATATAACTATCTAGAATATATACCTCCTGCCGAAACCGGTGTGGCTCAGTAGATAGAGTGTTGGCCTGCAGACTGTAGGGTCTCGGGATCGATTCCGGTCAGGGGCATGTGCCTTGGTTGCGGGCACATCCCCAGTCGGGGGTGTGCAGGAGGAGGCTGATGAATGTTTTTCTCTCATCGATGTTTCTAACTGGTGGTGGTCCCCACGAGGCCTGAAAGGTTGGCGACCACTGCTTTAGCTGTATTGGATGGATGGATGGATGAATAGAATCCAATTAAGAGGTTGGTGAATGGGTGGAAATTCAGGTAAGAAATGATGGCTCAGGTCCTAGACCAGTGCCTGGAATACTAGATATTTGTCAAAAGAAAAAAGAAAAAAAAATGAGGCTGACTGGTATGGCTCAGTGGATTGAGCACTGGCCTGCAGACTGAAGGGTCCTGGGTTCGATTCCAGTCAAGGGCATGGACCTTGGTTTCAGGCACATCCCCAATGGGGACTGTGCAGGAGGCAGCTTCTCTCTCATTGATGTTTCTAACTCTCTATCCTTCTCCCTTCCTCTCTGTTAAAAAAAATAATAATAAATTATATATATAAATGTATATATATAATAATAAATTATATATATAATGTATATATATAAAAATAATAAATTACATATATAAATGTAACAAAGGCATGCAGATTGGCCAAATTCTGCCCTTAGCCTGGTGGTACAAGAAAGAGTGGGAGTGGGGTAGAGCCTACTGGCATTGAAGCCCAAGGACTACAAGTCCCATGATGCAGTCTGTCAGCTGCCACAGGAAGAGGGCCTCAGGCTAGGTGGCCCTTTCACTGCCAGTCAGCCCCTCACCTCCCCCTCCCTTTCCCCAGGGCAGAGAACGCGCGCGCAGCCGAGTGGGTGCGGCTCCCAGGAGGCCCCGCCCCCAGAACGCTGCTCCAATGGGGGTCACTCGTGTCCATGGCGACAGTGGGCGGTGGCAGCCCGCTTGCGGAAGGAGCCACCACCACCCGGGATCGCGCAGCTAAGAGTGGACCCCCGTGGGGAACGGGCGCCCCCTTGTGATCAGTGGGGACGTGCGCACGTCCTGTGGAAGGAAACCAGGAGGCGGTCGGTCCCTGAGGCCCAGCAATGCCCAGGGAAGGAAGGGTGGACATGAGCGACCAGCTGAGCCCAGTCCCAGGCCGCTAGGAGCGGACTCCTCAGTAGTCCCTCCGCGCTCCTCGCGACTCCCGGTGGGCAGAGTCCACAGGGGGCTCCTCCTCTGCTGTCAGAACCTGAGGTCTTACTTAGCTAGCGGGTGCCTGGCCCGTGTGTACACATGGAGAAACTGAGGCGGGCCTGGCAGACCTTTGGGCGTATGCTCTATTTTATTTTTTAATATATTTTATTGATTTTTTTTTACAGAGAGGAAGAGAGAGAGATAGAGAGCTAGAAACATCGATAAGAGAGAGACATAGATCAGCTGCCTCCTGCAAACCCCCCCTCCCCCACTGGGGATGTGCCCGCAACCAAGGTCCATGCCCTAGACCGGAATCGAACCTGGGACCTTTCAGTCCGCAGACCGACGCTCTATCCGCTGAGCCAAACCGATTTCGGCGATATGCTCTATTTTAAAAGCAAAGCGCCCCCCGCCCCCCTCCCAACCCCTCCTCCAGCCATCCCTCTTCCCATTCAAAAACAAAAGAAGTGATGGCATGGTGCTTGCCAGCTCCGTTCAGATCCTGCTGCACTTCAGGATGTTGTGTGGAGGGACCTTGGATGACTGGGGTTTGCCAGCGAACCCAGCATGGTCAGGGGCACCCCAAACCCCCCCCCCCCCCCATTGCCCGCTTGGAAACTGCCCGTTCCTGAGGAGCAGCCACAATCCGTTAGCACACCAGGAAGGTCCTCAAGTTGGACGCCTGCAGGCCTTCCCAGGCGTGGAGGGAAGTCTGAGTCTATTTCCTCCCCACCCCTGTCCCCCCCCCAGAATCTAAAGGATGGAGCGAAGCCCCTCCAAAACCAGTGAGTCGGAGGAAGACTCTGGCGAAGACGAAGAGTCGGAGGAGGAGGAGGAGGAGGAGAGTGATAAGGGGGACGTTACCACCTCTCCGGACCTCACGCAGCAGGCACGCTCCAGGGAGCTCGCCTTATCCATTGTGGCCACGAAAATCCCCAAAACGGCCCGAGCCCCAGGTGCCTTAGAGGAAGGACAGGTTAGAAGAAGAAAGAGAAGGCGGAGACGCAGGTAACAGTTCCCCTCACTTGCCTGGCTCTGCAGCCCGCCCCCCCTCACCCCCCGACCCCCATCCTGCCCCAGCTTCCCCTTTGCAGATGGGGCAGGACCCCAGGTCTTCCCTTTTGCCTGGGAAAAAATGACAGGGAACACCGGAGCTTTCTTAACCTTTTGGTACAACAAAAACAAGATTAAGAATCATGAGGGTAGCCGAAACCAGTGTGGCTCAGTGGATAGAGCCACTGAAAGGTCCCAGGTTTGATTCCGGTCAAGGGCATGTGCCTTGGTTGCGGGCACATCCTCAGGAAGGGAGTGTGCAGGAGGCAGCACTTTGGGCTGCATTGTGGACTTGTTGGGTGTCTCTTCTCCGAGCACCGGACAGCCAGGGGTCCGCCCTTCTCTCCTGCCTGCCTGATTGCTGCTCTTCCTCCCCGGCAGAGCCCTGGCCATCAACCTGACCAACTGCAGATATGAGAGCGGTAAGCGCCCGGCTCTGCTGTCTCTGTCGCTCTGGGGATGGTCCCCCCCCCCCCCCCCCCCCACAATCAGCCTTTCAGCCCCTGGATGGTGTGAGTCTGGCTGGAGCGTGTACTGAGCGCCCTGTCCCAGCCACTCCCAGCTGAGACACATCACCGCTCAGCTAATTTCTGGTAGGGTGGGCTTCTCCTCAATAGCTAACATGAAGAAAAAAAAAAAAAAGGCCGAAACCGGTGTGGCTCAGTGGATAGAGCGTCGGTCTGCGGACTGAAAGGTCCCAGGTTCGATTCAGGTCAGGGGCATGTATGTTGGTCGCGGACACATCCCCGGTAGGGGGTGTGCAAGAGGCAGCTGGTCAATGATTCTCTCTCATCGACGTTTCTAGCTCTCTATCTCTCTCCCTTCCTCTCTGCAAAAAAATCAATAAAATATATATATTTTTTAAAAATGACTGGAAGTCACCATTGCCCTCACCTTTTTCAGTTTGTTTTGTTTTTTAAATATAGTTTTGTTGATTTCAGAGGGGAAGGGAGAGGGGGAGAGAGAGAGAGAGGGAGAGAGAAAAAAAAAAAAGCATCTATGATGAGAGGAATCACTGATGGGCTGCCTCCTGCACGCCCCCTACTGGGGGGATCGAGCCTGTAACCCGGGCATGTGCCCTTGACTGGAATCAAACCCAGGACCCTTCAGTCTGCAGATTGACGCTCTACCCACTGAGCCTAATTGACTAGGGCCAATTTTCAGGGGGGGTTTTTTTGTGTGTTTTTTGTGTTTTTTTTTTTTTTTTAAATCAGAGATGAGATGCAACTAAAACCATTTTTTCAAGGAAACTCTTGAGGTGGCTTCAGCAATTTACTTATTTATTTTTAGAAATATATTTTATTGATTTTTTTTTTTTTTTTTTTTTTACGGAGAGGAAGGGAGAGGGATAGAGAGCTAGAAACATCGATGAGAGATGAGAGAAACATCGACCAGCTGCCTCCTGCACACCCCCCACCAGGGATGTGCCTGCAACCAAGGTACATGCCCTTGACGGGAATTGAACCTGGGACCCTTCAGTCCGCAGACCGATGCTCTATCCACTGAGCCACACCGGTTTCGGCGGCTTCAGCAGTTTTTTTAAAAAATCCCCCGCTTAAGTCAGCCATCCGTTTCTTCCCTTTTACGCCCCTGTCATCTGTGTAAGGGGCCCCCCGCCAGAGCGTGAGGTGCCGGTGTGATCCCCGCCCAGGGCTAGCTTTGCTGGCTAGAACCCGTCCTGATTGAGAGTAACAGGCACAGAGAGAGAGAGAGAGAGCGAGAGCCAGACTCTCTCGTTTTCTCTGTCAGCGTCTGGAAGGGCCCCCGACAGCTTCGCGAACTTGGGAGTTGGCCCCTGGCAACTCGCGTGCAGAGCTGAGGTGACCGCCTCCCTCTCGGGCCTCACTGACCCCCTCCCCCTCCCCGCAGTGCGTCGCGCAGCCCAGATGTGTGGCCTGCGGGAGGCGGGGGAGGACGAGGAGTGGAACGTGTACTGGACGGACTGCTCCGTGTCCCTGGAACGCGTCATGGACATGAAGCGGTTTCAGGTATGACCCTAAAGGGGCTGCTTGCTCCTCACTCCTCACCCCTGCCCTGTGCCCGGGCCCCCGAGGCTGTCCCTCTGTGGCCATCCCCCTGTTGCGGGCAGGAAAGGCCATGGCCAGGGGCTCCCACCCCAATGGAAATACTCTCCTCTTGGGTCTCCGGATGTTCTGTTATCGGAGGAAGTGTCCGCTGGGCACGTCCCGTCTCCATATCGGCTGGTTGGCCGAAACCGGTGTGGCTCAGCGGATAGAGCGTCGGCCTGCGGACCAGAAGGTCCCAGGTTCGATTCTGGTCAAGGGCATGGACCTTGGTCGCGGGCACATCCCCAGTAGGGGATGTGCAAGAGGCAGCTGATCGGTGATTCTCTGTCATCGATGTTTCTAGCTCTTTGTCCCTCTCTCTTCCTCTCTGTAAAAAAATCAATAAAATATATATTTTTTTTTTAAAAGAAAGAAAGAAAGACCAGGGTCCTCAAGAATATTAACTCTTCATCAGATTTTTTGTGTTCCTTTAATTGGGTCTTTGTGGTGGCTAGCAATAAAATAACTGAAAAAAGGGTCTGCATGCATATTTTTATTTTTTAAATATATATATTTTATTTTTTACAGAGAGGAAGAGAGAGGGATAGAGAGTTAGAAACATCGATGAGAGAGAAACATCCATCAGCTGTCTCCTACACACCCCCTACTGGGGATGTGCCCGCAACCAAGGCACATGCCCTTGACCGGAATCGAACCTGGGACCTTCCCAGTCCTTCTCCTGGATGCCCAGGCCCCAGGAACAGCCGCTTTCCTCTGGGGAGGGGGAGTTTAACGAATTGTCTAATTAGTTTAATGAATTGTCTCTCGTTTCAGAAAATCAACCACTTCCCTGGCATGACGGAAATCTGCCGCAAAGACCTGCTGGCCCGGAACCTGAAGCGCATGCAGAAGATCTACCCGCGGGAGTACAACATCTTCCCCCGCACCTGGTGCCTCCCCGCCGAGTGAGCGCGGCCCTGGCGAGGGAGGGCTCGCCGCAGCCTTGACCTTGAACTTGACCTTGAACGTCTCGGGGATGGAGGCTGAGTGGTCTGAGGCCGAGGGCTCCGGGAAGAGCACGGAGCGGAGGGCAGGAGGGGTCCACGGGACCCCGGGACCCTCTGACCCGCCCCGTCTGGTCTGCACGCAGCTACGGGGACTTCCACGCCTGCGGCCGTCAGCGGAAGACCCGGACGTTCATCTGCAAGCCCGACAGCGGCTGTCAGGGCCGCGGCATCTTCATCACCCGGAACCCCCGGGAGATCAAGATCGGGGAGCATATGATCTGCCAGCAGTACATCTCCAAGGTGAGGGGCGCCCCGGGACCACCGGGTCCCTCCGCCCGCATCGGGGTGCCCGTCTCTCCCAAAGCCAGGAGGAAGCCGGTTTCCAGCTCCTGCCCCTTCCTACTCCCCTCCCCTCTCCCCTTATCTTTTTTTTTTTTTTTTTAATATATATTTTATTGATTTTTTACAGAGAGGAAGAGAGAGGGATAGAGTCAGAAACATCGATGAGAGAGAATCATGGATCAGCTGTCTCCTGCACCCCCCCCACTGGGGATGTGCCCGCAACCTAGGTCCATGCCCTTGACCGGAATCGAACCCGGGACCTTTCAGTCCACAGGCCGATGCTCTGTCCACTGAGCCGAACCGCTTTCAGCTTAAATATATTTTATTGATTTTTTTTTTTTTTTACAGTGAGGAAGGGAGAAGGATAGAGAGCTAGAAACATCGAGGAGAGAGAAACACCCATCAGCTGCCTCCTGCACACCCCCTACTGGGGATGTGCCCGCAGCCTTGACCCAGAATCGAACCTGGGACCCTTCAGTCCCTAGGCCGACGCTCTATCCACTGAGCCACACCGGTTTTGGCCCCCTCCCCCTTCACCTTAGAGGCCATGTGGAGGGAGCCCTGGCTCAGAGCTAGCCTTCCTGGGTTTGAACCTGAGGTTTCCCCACTTCTTAAGACATCTGGGTTCGGGCAGCTGTCTTACCCTGCCCGTGCCTCAGTTTCCTCACCTGTCACTGGGCGTAACGACATAACCGTGTCACGTGGTCCCTGTGGAAGTTAAAATGTGTCTGAAGTTGCGTATCTGAAGCACGCATGACCTCCTGTGACACGGAGCGAGCGCTTCAAAGCGCTGCTGTCCTTGCGCCCTCCCAGCCCTTCCTCATTGACGGGTTCAAGTTCGACATGCGCATCTACGTCCTGCTCACGTCCTGCGACCCCCTGCGGATCTTCATGTACGAGGAGGGCCTGGCCCGCTTCGCCACCATGCCCTACATGGAGCCCAACCACAGCAACCTGGTAAGATGGCAGGCGCCCTTTCCGCTCCCGCTGCCCTGTGCTGCGGTCTCCATGGAGACGCCAGTGGGTCCTCACCCGCAAGGAGGAAGAAGCTACCGTGTTTCCCCGAAAATAAGACATCCCCCAGCAGGGACGGGTTTGGCTCAGTGGATAGAGCGTCGGCCTGCGGACCGAAGGGTCCCGGGTTCGATTCCCGTCAAGGGCATGTACCTTGGTTGCGGGCACATCCCCAGTTGGGGGTGTGCAAGAGGCAGCTGGTGGATGTTTCTCTCTCATCGATGTTTCTAGCTCTCTGTCCCTCTCTCTTCCTCTCTGTGTAAAATCAATAAAATATATTTAAAAAAAAAAAAAAGACATCCCCTGAAAATAAGACCTAGCGCGACTCTGGGAGAAAAAAATTGATATAAGACGCTGTCTTATTTTTCGGGGAAACAGGGTAGTGAGCACCTCAGCATCCCTCCTTCCCCAGCGGCTGCCAGGACAGTCCTCGGGGAAGCGGGACAGGAGATGGGGGAGTCCCAGCGGGGGAGGAGGGAGAAGGGAGGAGGGGGAGGAAGGGGATGGGGTGCTCAGAGCAGTGAAGGGTGGCGAGGAGAGACACAGGGTGGGCGAGACCGCAGGCCGCTCTCCCCAACCCCAGGATGACGTCTGCATGCACCTGACCAACTACGCCATCAACAAGCACAACGAGAACTTTGTCCAGGACGATGCCGTGGGCAGTAAGAGGTACGCCCCGCTCCATTTTTCTCCCTCTCCCCCTTAGCTTCAGTCTCAGCAGCCCAGGAGGGAAACTGAGGCAGGCTGGCTGGCTCCCCGGGAGGCCGGCTGACTGCTCAGGAAAACTCCGCAGACCCTTGTCCTGTGCCCGTCCACCAAGTGGGCCCACCCGGGTAACAAACCTGGCTCCAAGCTGGTAGTGACCCTTTATTTTTTATTTATTTAAAATATATATATATATTTTTTTTTTTTTAAATATATTTTATTGATTTTGTACAGAGAAGAAGGGAGAGAGATAGAGAGTTAGAAACATCGACGAGAGAGAGTCATCGATCAGCTGCCTCTTGCACACCCCCTACTGGGGATGTGCCCGCAACCGAGGTACATGTCCTTGACCGGAATCGAACCCGGGACCCTTCAGTCCCCAAGCCGACGCTCTATCCATTGAGCCAAACCGGTCTCGGCTAAAAAATATATTTTTATTGATTATTTTTACAGAGAGGAGGAGAGAGGGATAGAGAGCTAGAAACATCGATGAGAGAGAATCATGGATCAGCTGCCTCTTGCACACCCCCTACTGGGGATGTGCCCGCAACCAAGGTACATGCCCTTGACTGGAATCGAACCTGGGACCTTTCATTTTTTAATTTTTTTTTTAATATATCTTATTGATTTATTACAGAGAGGAAGGGAGAGGAATAGAGAGTTAGAAACATCGATGAGAGAGAATCATCAATCAGCTGCTTCTTGCACACCCCCTACTGGGGATGTGCCTGCAACCAAAGTACATACCCTTGACCGGAATCGAACCCAGGACCTTTTAGTCCGCAGGCCGATGCTCTATCCATTGGGCCACACCGGTTTTGGCTGGTAGCGGCCCTTTAAAACACAAGGGACTGAGGCACGGAGTTAGGTTAGTATTTGGGGATATCGAACTTGCCTGCATCCCGGCCCCGCGGGGGGGCCGAGACGTGGGTCCCCCTCTGAGCCCTGGGGCCTCGCAGGAAGCTGTCGACGCTCAACGCCTGGTTGCGAGAACACAGCTACGACCCCCGAGAGATGTGGGGGGACATCGAGGACATCATCATCAAGACCATCATCTCGGCCCACTCCATCCTCCGCCACAACTACCGCACCTGCTTCCCCCAGCATCTCAATGGAGGGACTTGTGCCTGTTTTGAGATCCTTGGCTTTGACATCTTGCTGGACCACAAGCTGAAGCCCTGGCTGCTGGAGGTGAGGATTCTCTCCCGGGCTTTTCCCAAAACCGAGGTCCTCCTCGGACCCGACGCCGGGGGCTGGCATACACTCAGGTGGCAGAACAGAGAACGGGGATACAGCGTCACGGGGAGGGGGGGAGCTGGGGGGGTGAGCACCAGGGATAAGATCTCTGTGCTTTGGACCTACTGAATCAGATCTTTTTTATTTTTATTTTTATTATTTTTTATTGATTTATTTTTAATTTTTTTTGACATTTTATTTATTTTTTACAGAGAGGAAGGGAGAGAGATAGAGAGCTAGAAACGTCGATGAGAGAGAAACATCGACCAGCTGCTTCTTGCACTCCCCCTACCGGGGATGTGCCCACAACCAACGTACATGCCCTTGACCGGGATCGAACCTGGGACCTTTCAGTCTGCAGACCGACGCTCTACCACTGAGCCAAACCGGTTTCTGCCAATTTTATTTTTATTTTATTTATTTATTTACTTATTTAAAAAAATATATATATTTTATTGATTTTTGTACAGAGAGGAAGGGAGAGAGATAGAGAGTTATAAACATCAATGAGAGAGAGTCATCGATCATCTGCCTCTTGCATACCCCCTACTGGGGATGTGCCTGCAACCAAGGTCCATGCCCTTGACCGGAATCGAACCCGAGACCTTTCAGTCCGCAGGCCCACGCTCCATCCACTGAGCCAAACTGGTTTTGGCTAGAGCCACATTTTTTTAAACTTAAACTTCCTCTAACGCCTCTTGTTCAACATAGCCTCGCCCAGGCCGTGGTATTTTGTGGAAGAGCCACACAAAGGGGCCAAAGAGCTGCCTGTGGCTCGTGAGCCCCGGTTTGCCGACCACGGGGTTAGAGGGCTCCCTGTGGCAGAGTCCTGTGGCTTCGGAAGTCAGAGCATCTGGCCTCATAGGCTGAGGCCGCTGGCGGGGAATGTCTTTGCTAAACCCTCCTACTAGACTCCTCCCCCTGCATCCCCCGCTGCAAAACCCCCCCCCCCCCCCCCCCCGGTTGGCCTGCAAGAGACGGCCACCTGCTCAGGGGGTGTAGCAAGGGGGCGGATAACGGCTCCTCCTGGCAGGTGAACCACTCTCCAAGCTTCACCACGGACTCGCGTCTGGACCGAGAAGTGAAGGACGCCCTCCTCTTAGATGCCATGATCCTTGCCAACCTCCGGGGCTGTGACAAGAGGAAGGTGATGGAGGAAGAGAAGCGGCGGGTCAAAGTGCGGCTGTTCCAGTGCCACCAGGAGACACGGCGGGAGGCCAGGTACGCCACATGTCCGTTTCACTGTTTTTAAAAAAATATATTTTATTGATTTTGTACAGAGAGGAAGGGAGAGAGATAGAAACATCGATGAGAGAGAGCCAGGAAAGGAGAAGGATAGAGAGCCAGAAACACCGATTACAGAGAATCATCAACCAGCTGCCTTTGCACACCCCCCACTGGGGATATGCCCGCAACCAACGTATATGCCCTTGACCGGAATCGAACCCGGGACCTTTCAGTCCCCAAGCCGACGCTCTATCCATTGAGCCAAACCGGTCTCGGCCATTTCACTATTTTTAAATATTGTTTTTTATTAAAAATGTTTAAATTTCTTTATTGATTAAGGTATCACATATTTGTCCTGATTCCCCCTATTCCCACCCCAAACCCCTCCCCACTCATGCCCCCACCCCCCTGTTGTCCGTGACCACTGGTTAGGCCCATAGGCATGCACATAAGTCCTTTGGTTGATCTCTCCCTCTTTCCCCCCACCCTCCCCTTTCTTTATTGATTAAGGTATCACATATTTGTCCTGATTCCCCCTATTCCCACCCCAAACCCCTCCCCACTCATGCCCCCACACCCCTGTTGTCCGTGACCACTGGTTAGGCCCATAGGCATGCACACAAGTCCTTTGGTTGATCTCTCCCTCTTTCCCCCCACCCTCCCCTTTCTTCCCTCTGAGGTTTGATGGTCTGATCGATGCTTCCCTGTCTCGGGGTCTGTTCTTGTTCATCAGTTCATGTTGTTCACTATTTCCCCTCGATGTGTGAGATCACGTGATCCAAGAAATAGACTTATAAGAACCGAAAATGAGACAGGCCATAATGGTTATGCTGGGAGGCAAATGAATCAGTCTGTAGTGAGTGCCATTCTGGGCCACCAGTTCTTTTGAGTCCCAATTTCAATGTCCAACGGTTCCTTATGTGCACATGTCAGAAAATAACGTTTTTTATTGGTTTCAAAAAGGAAAGGGAGAGAGAGACACATTAATGATGACAGAGAACCACTGTCGGCTGCCTCCTGCACGCCCCACGCTGGGGATCAAACCCGCAACCCGGGCCTGTGGCCCAACCTGGAATCGAACCGAGACCTCCTGGTTCATAAGTCAACGCTCAACCACTGAGCCACGCCCCCCCCCGGGCAAGCTGTGTAACTTGTCTTCTTCGTTATCGCTTTGCTGAGAATGAAGGCCCGGGGCTGATGAGCTATTAAAAACAACTTTTTGCATAAATAATACGTCACCTGTCACAGACAAGTATGTTCAAGTGCAAAAGATGCAGCGATTTGCCGAAACCGGTGTGGCTCAGTGGATAGAGTGTCGGCCTTTGGACTGAAAGGTCCCAGGTTCAGTTCCAGTCAAGGGCATGTACCTTGGTTGCGGGCACATCCCCAGTGGGGTGAAGTGCAGGAGGCAGCTGGTCGATGTTTTGCTCTCATCGATGTTTCTAACTCTCTCTCCCTCTCCCTTCCTCTCTGTAACAAATCAATAAAATATATATATATATAAAAAAGAATTAACCAATGAATGCATCAATAAGTAGAACAATAAATCAATGTTTCTCTCTCAAAAAAAAAATCAATAAAAAATGAATTGGAGACGACTTAGGGAGATTCTATGTTGAAGAAGTGGCGTTAGAAGTTTAAGTTTAAAAAATGTGGCTCTCCAAAGAAATGTCGATCGTTGTCCTGTTGATATTTGGCCCCGTGGACTCATGAGTTTGCCCACCGCTGTCTTAGGCGGGAGCAAACGGAGTTGTCCCAGGCAGCACTGCAGGACCAGGAGTGCTATGAGGACTCCCACCTGGGAGGGTACCGGCGGATCTACCCGGGGCCTGACACAGAGAAGTATGCCCCCTTCTTTAAGCACAGCGGCTCCCTCTTCCAGGAGACGGCCGCCTCCAAGGCCAGAGAGGAGTGCTCCAGGTACTCCTCCCTGTGTGCTCCTCCCCGCGCGCGCAGGCACAGGCGACTCCTGCAGCTGCGCTGCTCCCCGGCAGGATGGACAGGGTGCCAGGCCCTTGAGCAAAGGTGGGAGGGCGTTATAAACCCTGTCAGACTTCCTGGCTCAGCTCAGTAGGTTTCCGATCTGCCCCCACACTGTCCCAAAACAGATCATAATGTCCTCCTCTTTTCCCATCCCCCTATGACCTCCCCTCCACAATCTCTCCAGTGTCTGAAGCCGCTGTATCTTGTCAGGCAGCAACGGGAAGAGATCCGCCTCAAGCAGAAGCAGCGGGAGGTCTTAGAGTCGAAGAAGCGAAGGGAAAACAAGGAGCTGAGCCAGGGGGAGTCGGCCGGGGAGAAGCGGCAGCCCCAGCCCAGGATCCAGGGCCTCTCCACCCACTTGGCTTACAGGAACCGGAAACGGGATCGGAAGGTGTCAGGGGCTCTGTGGCTCTCGCCTTTCTGCAGGAAAACGGGTTGGAACTAGTAGAGACGAGCATCTGCTGTCCTCTGCTCCCTCAAGAGAGAGAGAGAGAGGAGTTCCTAATGAGTCCACTGAATCTAACTTTTTTTTTTTTTAAGGAAGAGAGAGGGATAGAGAGTTAGAAACATTGATGAGAGAGATCATTGACCAGCTGCCTCCTGCACAACCCCTACTGGGTTTGTGCCCGCAACCAAGGTACATGCCCTTGACCGGAATCGAACCCGGGACCCTTCAGTCCACAGGCCAACGAACGCTCTATCCACTGAGCCAAACCGGTTTCGGGTGAATCTGACTTTTTAAAAAAATATATATATATCATATTGATTTTTTTTTTATAGAGAGGAAGGGAGAGGGACAGAGAGCTTGAAACTTCGATGAGAAAGAAACACCGACCAGCTGCCTCCTGCACATCCCCTTCTGGGGATGTGTCCGCAACCAATGTACATGCCCTTGACCGGAATCGAACCTGGGACCTTTCAGTCCGCAGACCGACGCTCTATCCACTGAGCCAAACCAGTTTCGGCTGGAATCTGACTTTTGAGAGAACAGATTGTGAGAGAATGGGTATAGCAAAGGGAACCTGGCCCTCGGGTCAGGGGAGGGATGGCGGGAGAGTGGGCAGGAGTCAGTCCTGCGGTCGACGTGTTGATTGACGTGTTGATGGTTACGGGACTCCTCACTGGGGAGGAGCCTGCATGCATCTCCCATGTGCCTCGTAGCTGCTCCCAGGAGACCTGGACACCATGCGGCCTCAAGCCATTGTGGAGGAGGAGGAGCTGGAGCGGCTGAACGCCCTGCTGCGGAGGGAGAACCTCATCCGGAGCCTGGGCATCGTGGAGCAGATCACCACCATCGTGCAGGGCAGCCAGCAGAGCCAGAAAAAGCTGCCTAACTGCCGGGTGAGGGGCTCTCCACAGCACCTCTCGGAGCGGGAGCAAGGGGGCACGTGCTGGTGCCTGCTGCGGCCCAGGAGGCTAATGGGATGGTAATCTGGCAGTAGAGCTTGGGGAAGCAGTGCATGCTGGATCTTAGGAAGAAGCCTTTTGGTTCTTTTTCTTCTTCTTTTTTTTTAAAATAGATTTTATTGATTTTTTTTTTTTTTTTTTTTTTTTTTTTTACAGAAAGGAAGGGAGAGGGATAGAGAGTTAGAAACATCGATCAGCTGCCTCCTGCAGACCCTCTACGGGGATGTGGCCACAACCAAGGTACATGCCCTTGATCAGAACTGAACCTGGGACCCTTGAGGTCACAGGCCGACGCTCTAGCCACTGAGCCGCACGGGCCAGGGCAGTCTTTCGGTTCTTTTTAGTCCACTCCCAAGCTCCCTTGTTTTTAGCATCGGTATCCAGCCAAATGCAGCTCCCAATCTTCTCACAAGGGGCCGGATCCCTATGTTCCCATCTGGCAATAACCCCACCCTCTGTGGCTCCCGTGTAATCCCTCCCTAGCATGGCCAGAGCCGTGTCACTAGTGGGAAAGCCTTGAGTTAAGGAAGCAGCTGCTGCATTCACTATTCCTTAGGCTAGTAGCAACACTGCGGGTCCTTTTTTTTGAGTAACTGGTTACGTAGTGGCTATGCCTAGACGATTTTTCAGTTATTTATTTCTTTTAATATATATATATATATATATATATATATATATATATATATATATTGATAGGGAGATGGAGAGAGAGAGAAACATCAATGATGTAAGAGAACCATTGATTGGCTGCCTCTTGCATGCCCCCTACTGGGGATCGAGCCCATAACCTGAGCATGTGCCTCTGACTGAACTCGAACCCAGGATCTTCAGTCCGCACTGGCCGATGCTCTATCCATTGAACCACACCAGCCAGGGCTCAGTCACCTATTTTTCCCACCACTCCCCCCAGCCTCGCAGGAAACGTAGTAAAAGGCTCCTTCTCTCCTCCAGCCTAGATCGCACCAGGACGGGCTGAGCAGCCAAGAGCTGCCGTCTCTGAGCCTGTTCCCGCTGGTCCTCTTTAGAGGGGCCTACAAGGAGGAGGACCCTCCTCGCTTCCTGCACGTCGTCCAGCCCGAGCTGATCCCCAGGATCCTAGGGCCACTGCCAGGCCACCCTGCCCTCCTGCCCCAGTCCGGGTGCTACGTCCAGCCCAGGACCTTCAACTGGACAAGAGACCCGGCCAGCTACGGCCCCTGTTCGGTGTCGCTGAAGAAATCTGGAAAGCGCTGCTTTCCCATGTCCAGATTCAGGCTTACTAACCGTAAGTATACAAAACTAGCCTCGGTAGCTCTGACTTGTGGGCATTTCCACTAGCAAATACCACAGCCGGGATGCTCCCCAAATATAGATGGGACTTGCAGCACTGTGGGAGGCGGGAGGGGAGGCCAGTGGTCCCATGTATTTGCCTCCTCCAAGGTACTAGAATCTGGTGATAGAAATGGCAGAAATACACTCACCCCAGCACTCACTCACAGGGAAATGGACACATCCATATACCAGGGACAGTTCAGTGTGGTAAAGACGCTGACCAGTTTGGCTCAGTGGATGGAGGATTGGCCTGAGGACTGAAAGGTCCTGGGTTCGATTCCGGTCAAGAGCATGTACTTTGGTAGCGGACACATCCCCAGTAGGGGGTGTGCAAGAGGCAGCTGATAGATGATTCTCTCTCATCAATGTCTCTCTCTATCCCTCTCTTTTCCTCTCTGTAAAAAATTAATAAAATATACTTTTAAAAAAGAAAAAAGACGCTGGAAGGGGAAGCGTAGGATGCCATGCCTCTGGGTTGGTACTTGGGCAACAATTGGGGAAAGAGTTGTAAAGTAGCAACTCGGGGAACCCCTCCCAACCGCCCCCCCCCCCCCATGTTTCCACTGCAGAAGGCCAGGCCAGCAAAAGGCTAGAAGCCATAAACAGAGCCATGGCAGGATCCGTGCCATCTTCTTTAACCCCAACGCAGGGCTATTTCCTGCAACGGGAAAGAGTGGTAAGTAACCCCTGGACTGAATGCGCCTTGCCCTCTGTGATCAATTCTGAGCACAGAGCAGCCAAGGCCCAGGACCTCTCCCTCTGCCCTTCCTCGGCATCCCTGACACAGAGCGCCACCACACTCCTGGACATCGGCCACCACAGGTAAACGCAGGACGGAAGCCCAGCGCCCCACCTCTGCTGGAGAACCCCCCTCGGGTGTCCTAAGGGGCAGAGGACCTTGAACCGTTGCTCTTTCACCAAAGAATGCCACCGAGCTCGAGTCGGAAGGGCCTTGGCCAGGACCCCGGTCTGCATAAGGCTCCAGACGTAGGATGCCAAGAATTCTTCAATCCCCCAAGATTATTTTCGGATCAGAAAAGACTAAAAAGTGAAGGAAGAGGTGCCAGGGCCGGCCATGCACTCGTCTCCACCCTTCTAACCTGAGCCTGGATAAGTCGCGAGGAGACGGGTCTGAACCCGGGGTACGGCCGGGGCCGGAGCGCCGCCAAGGCAAGGGGCTGTCGTCATCAGAGGATCGCCGAGGCGGAGTCCTTCCCGCCGCCGTTGGGGGGAACGGGCCGGCCTGCGCTGCCGTTGGGACGAAGAGCTGACGCTTGGCAAGCGAACCCGTCATTTTATTAAAATTTATGCAGTTTTTTGTAGAAGCATCCTTCACCTTATTCGGACTCGCGCGTCCCCGGAAATCTCTCCCCTTGTTTACACCGGAAAGGGCGGGCCCCAGGGCTCTTCTAGCTCTGATAGGTCGCCTCCTGCTCGAAGCGGCGACGTCACTTCCGGGTCCCGCCCACCAACGTCCGGCACCGCCGCGTTTCGCGCTGAAAGCAGCTCGCTCAACATGGCGCGCGCGCTGAGTCTCCTTCTCGGGGCGCGTGTCCGTGCTGTCGTGTCTCGCTGCGGGTTCGCGACCCAGGGGGTGGCAGGCCCGGGGTCTCCCGGCCGCGAGCCGGACCCCGATTCCGACTGGGAACCAGAGGAGCGGGAGCTGCAGGAGGTGGAGAGGTACCGGCTCCTCCCCGGGCCCTCGGCCTGAAAGCAGGGCCTCGCGTCCCGGCGCCGCAGGCCGCGCCCCCCTCGGCGCCGGGCACCCCGCCGCCGCCGCGTCCGCAGCGGCCCTTGCTTCTTCCCCGACCAGAGGCTCCTTCGGGACCCCGGGTCCCTTCACCAGGGACGCATTTGTTTCACCGCGAGCTCGCCTTGCTCGGGGCAGCCATTGTGGGGGTTAGGTTTCCGGGGCAGCGAACAAAGAGACGAGGCCTGGGCGCCCCCTGATTGAGCCCGAGCCGCTTCCACCACCCATGTTGCTCCCACGCATGGCGTCTGCCATTGCTTCTCTCCCCCAGCGCCCTGAAACGACAGAAAAAAGCCATCCAGTTCCAGAAAATTCGGAGGCAAATGGAGCCGCGCGGGGCCCCGCCCAGGACTCTGACTAGGGAAGCCATGGAGCAGATCCGGTGAGACCCCTGGGGTTCGGCTCCGCTGGGAGGGGGGGGGTCGGGGGGTGCAGGCTCCTGGGGCCCACGATAGTATTGTTTTTGTATTTCCTTTTATTTTTTATAGCTTAAATTTTCTTTAAGGCAATAGAACGGTCATCCGTAATCCCGTCATCATGATTTAATAGTAGTTGTGTGTTTTTTAACATGGTGATACAGTTGGTTTATTTTGTTGGAATTTCTAGAAAAGTAACCTGCAGGCATCACAACATTTAAACCCTAAATAGTAAATCAGGACATTCTTAACCTAAGATCCAGGGATAAGAGCTTCCATGGTTGTGCACGTTTTTCTGAGGCCATCGCACTTAATTTTGAATTTTTTTTTTTTTAAATCTTAAAAGAGATCCTTTCTTAAATTTTAAAGTGTGTGTGTGTGTGTGTGTGTGTGTGTGTGTGTGTGTGTGTGGTTTGAAATTAGAACAGAGTAAAGTGGTTTACATATTGAGAAGTGTTAACTCCTGTGAGTGCTATTTTTATTTTTTTATTATTATTTTTAAAAATATATTTTATTGATTTTGTACAAAGAGGATGCGAGAGAGATAGAAAGCTAGAAACATCGAAGAGAGAGTCATCAATCAGCTGCCTCTTGCACACCCTCTACTGGGGATATGCCCGCAACCAAGGTACATGCCCTTGACTGGAATCGAACCCGGGACCCTTCAGTCCCTAAGCTGACGCTCTATCCATTGAGCCAAACCGGTCTCGGCTGTGAGTGCTATTTTTAATAGTTTTTTTTTTTTTTTTAAGCCTTTTGCTAGGATTCCTTGTGCAAATGTAGTGATTATGAATATAGGTGTTTTCACCTTAATCAAACAGTAGAAGGCTATAAATACATGCTACCTGTACTTTTTTTCATTTAATATCTTTCCGCTTCAGGAGAGTTTTATAGAAGTCATAGTTATTCATAGATTGTTAACTATAGTTTATTCATTTAAAAATACATTTTATTGCCAAAACCTGTTTGGCTCAGTGGATAGAGCATTGGTCTGCGGACTGGGGGGTCCCAGGTTCGATTCCTTTCGGTCAAGGGCATGTATCCTGGTTGCTGGCACATCCCCAGTAGGGGGTGTACAAGAGGCAGCTGGTTGATGATTCTCTGTCGTCGGTGTTTCTGGCTCTCTATCCCTCTCCTTTCCTCTCTGTAAAAAAAAATCAATAAAATATATTTTAAAATAAATAAGTAAATATAAATACATTTTATTGATTTTTTTACAGAGAGGAAGAAAGAGGAATAGAGAGTTAGAAACATCAATCAGCTGCCTCCTGCATATCTCTCACTGGGGATGTGCCCGCAACCAAGGTACATGCCCTTGACCGGAATCGAACCCGGGACCTTTCAGTCCGCAGACCGACGCTCTACCACGGAGCCAAACCGGCTTTGGATTTATTGATTTTTTACAGAGAGGAAGGGAGAGGGATAGTGTTAAAAACATTGGCTCTTGAAGTCTACAGGCCGATGCTCTATCCACTGAGCCACACCGGTCAGGGCGGATTGCATGTTCTTTAAAGGGAAGGACCATCTTCATGCATTCTCCAGGGCTTAACTGGGGCCGGGCTGGTGATCAGTGGCAGGAAATAAGTTGATTTGAAATACAGTGATTTAAGAGCGGTTGGGTATTGCTGTTAGCATGTAGGCACGAAAAACCCAGCCTATGCTTGCACCTCTTCTCACGAATTCATCACTAATGTCTGTCAGCTGTTCTGATAGGACACTTTGACAACTTGAAAAACTGCCTCCTTTTCCTCTAGGTATTTGCATGAAGAGTTTCCAGAGTCCTGGTCAGTCCCCAGATTGGCTGAAGGCTTTGACGTCAGCACCGACGTGATCAGAAGGGTTTTAAGAAGCAAGTTTGTACCCACCTTGGAGAGGAAACTGAAGCAGGATCAGAAAGTCCTTCAGAAAGCTGGGCTTGCCCACTGGCCCCGCCAGCTTCCGGGCCCTGGGGGTGCCCAGGAGCTGCTTTCTGCAGGCCTCCCTGTGTCGGGAGGTGCAGCCTCATCCCAAGGCCAAGGTCACAGTACGGCTTTGAGGGTGATAGAACCGAATGCTCAGAGTACAAACACCCCGAGAAGACAGAAGGGAAGGAATAAAGGAGTCCAGAGCCTGGAGAAGGAAAGCTTTGTGCCTGTTGCTGCAGCCCAAGGTCAGCAGAGAGAGCGGCAGAATTACTCCACCAGTGATTATGAGGGCACCAGAGGCCCTGACCGTGATGCATTGCCAAGAGCGAAGGAGCTGGAAGCATTGAAAGCGAGAGAACTGGATGGCCAGAACTTCAGCAGCAAGGTAGTGCAGAGGGGGCGAGAGTTCTTTGACGACAACGGGAACTTCCTGTACAGAATTTGAACTTGACCCTGGCTGATAGGGGTGTTTCGTAAAACACAGCTGAGCGAGCATATTTGAGCTGCCCGGATTTCTGTGTCTGGATTGTCCACCTTAGAAATGATGAGCCTGAAAATGGAAGGAGCCGCTTGGATTTCAATCTGAACAAGGGACCGTGAACTTCACAGGGGGAGTGTATATGCGGGCAGCGTGAATAACCGGCGGGGTGAAGCGTGAGGATCTGGCCCATGAGGATCTTCAGTACTCACCCTTCTTGCTTACGCTTTCTATGTTGAAACCCACCTGTGTTGCATGTGTTAGGAGTTCGTTGTATTTGCAATATGAGTTTGGGAGGAATCGAAAAGTTTTCCTTCTGACATCATTTACTTCTTGATTCATGAACACTAATAGTTCTAGAGTTGCTTAACCATTTGTATTCATTTTGCAAATAAAGTGAAATATAGCAGTCTGTTGATGGGTGCTCTGTGGGGTGGGAGGGTTTACCTGTGAATCTGAAGAGTTAGGGAAGGGGTGAGGAAGAGGGTTCATTGTCATTAAAACACTGGGAGGGAGATAAGGTCAAAGGAAACTCCAGCAGAGACTGAGTCTAAGCCCAAGAGCCTGGCAAACTGGACAAAAGGAGGGATTAAGTTCCTGAGTTAGGGATTTTGGGGGGGGGTAATATGTGTTGTTTGAGATTCAGTCAAAGGGAGGTGTGGGGGGAAACTCAGTATAAAATTCTAGACAAGCTCAGTGAGCACAAAAGTTTTTTGCTTCATCTTACAGAATCTTTCAAACTTAGGAAAGTAGGAAGAGTATTGTAATGCAGTGAACTGTGTACCCATCACACAGATTACATTTAACAAATGGCCAGTCACAATCTTTTCATTATCTCATATTTGCCCCACATTCCCCCCAGCTTAAATAGTCCAGACATCATAGTTCATTTATAAGTACTTATGTATCTCAAAGACATAAGGACCCTTAAAAATACATTATTGATTTCAGAGGTGGGGAGAGAGAGAGACATCAATGATGCAAGAATCATCGGTCAGCTGCCTTGATTTCATCAATGATGCAAGAATCATCGATCAGCTGCCTTCTGCATACCCCGTATGGGATTAAGCCATCAATCTGGGCATATTCCCTAACTGGGAATAGAACCATGACCTGGTTCATGGGTCAATGCTCAACCACTGAGCCATGCCTGCTGGGCCTAACGACTCCTTTTTAACAAAGATATATAAGCCATTATGACAACACTGCGGACCAATGGTTTTATTGCTAGCTTTACCCAGTGGCCAGATAAATTTCTATTGAACAAGTATACAAAGCGTTTTACATAAATGTTAAAGGCATGCTTTAAAATTACCCATTGCATTTTTAAGTTATATGTTCTTACTGTATCTTTTTCAAGTATGATACTTTGTAAAACACTACTATGAAACAAGAATTCTCGTGATCCATCCACAATGTGTTAAATTTTAGTAATTCCTTAATTGCCACTAATAGCCGGATAGCATTTTCTGATTGTTTTTAAAATAGTTTTTATGGTTTATTTCTTCCCATTAGGATCCAAACAAGGTCCACACTGTAGCATTGCATTATGTTCACATTTCCAGAAGTCTATTCTAAAGTTGTTACCCCTTCCACTTCGTTTTCTCACCATTTGACAGGTTATCCCATAAAATTTCCTGCATTTTGATTTCATCCTTATGATGTCTTCTAACATGTCATCACTACCCTCTATTGCCTATGAACTAACTGATTGCTTGGTCTTGAGGCTTGATCAGGTCTCAGTTTTTGGCGATGGGTGATGCTCTTATCACCAGATAAGGATGTGATGTGGTGATTGATTAGTGAGTTCAGCAGCTCTATCCCTTATGTCTCTCAAAAGCTCCCCCCCCAACATATAATTTTTTAAAATATGTCTTATTGATTTTTTACAGAGAGGAAGGGAGAGAGAGAGAGCTAGAAACATCGATGAGAGAGAAACATCGACCAACTGCCTCTTACACGCCCCCCACTGGGGATGTGCCTGCAACCAATGGACATGCCCTGGATCAGAATCGAACCTGGGACCCCTCAGTCCACAGAAGGACGCTCTACCACTGAGCCAAACCAGTTTCGGCCCAATATATAATTTCCATCACCCCTGAAAATCCCCTAAATTCTCTTTCTAGTCAATTATCATCCCAAAGTCCATCACTTTTCTGAAAAATTTTCAACCTAGATTAGTTTGGCCTGTTCCATAACCTTACGTAAATGACATACTACATGCCACAATCTTGTTCTGATTGCTTTCATATATTCATTTGCTTTTATGAACATGCCACAGTTTACCCATTTTCCCACGAATGGCATTGACGAGTCAAAACTCCAGTACCCAAAGATCGTAACCAGCGGGACTTAGCATTCTTTTCTTCCCTCCACCTAATTCCACCTCCATCTGTCCACCTCTCTCCTGCAGCTCGGAAGCCTGAGAGCCACTAGCTAGCCTAAAAGCTGAAGACAACTAGGTTTGATTGACAGTCAAGATCCCCAATGATCAGCGCCCTTCATTCATGCTTAATAGGTTTCACCCATTGTAATGAAGATGAGAAACTCGAGCTAGGGCCCAACCCCCGCGTGGGTGCTCCTGGAGAATGGAATGAACCCTTAAAACACTACTTTTATCATGGGAACACTCCCCGCAGGCCAGAAATGAGACCGGAACGTAGACGCGTTGACTTTTGTTTAAAATGTCCCTTCCCGGACGCCGTCCAACTTCCCAGTACGCAAAGCGCCGGTCGGGGGAATGGGACTTCCGGAAAGTCCCGGAAGTCACTTCTGCCTGTCAGGAAGGTGGTGTTCTCTCTGCAGCAGGGAAGCCGGGAATCCTGCTTGCTCACCGGCAGAGTGGAGCGACGAGGGCCGGGTCGGGACTTGGGGGGTAGGGGTGGGGGACTGCAGGCCTGAGGGGGGGGGTACCCCAAGGCTGCCGCTGTCTGGCCGGGACGTGGCCATTCATTCCTCGAGCGCAACTGAAGAGGGAGGGCCCCTCCTTCCGAGCCCAGCCCTGAAGGAGCCGCCCTGGGCTGCCGCCGGCCTTCGGAGAGCGGAGGGCGACCCTCGCCGTACTCCCCGCGGCTCAGGCGACCGCGGCCATGGCTTTCCACCACCGGCCGGACGCCCCAGAGCTGCCTGACTTCTCCATGCTCAAGAGGCTGGCCCGAGACCAGCTCATCTATCTGCTGGAGCAGGTCAGTGCCCGCCACGCCGGGCCCTTGACAGCACTCACCGGTCACACAAGTTCTTTTAAGTCCCCGGGAGCCTGTTCTTGGTCCTTGGTATTGTCCTTGGAGCTTCTGTGGCAGGTCTAGAACGAGGGAGGAAAACCAGAGGGCAGTTACAGCTGCCTGGGACCTGGGCAGAGAGATCATGGAAATCAATTTTTTTCTTTTTCTTTTTTTTTTTTTTAAAGGAGATCTTTTTTATATATAATATATATTTTATTGATTTTTTTACAGAGAGAAAGAGAGAGGGATAGAGAGCTAGAAACATCGATGAGAGAGAATCATCCATCAGCCGCCTCCTGCACACCTCCTACTGGGGTTGTGCCCGCAACCAAGGCACATGCCCTTGACCGGAATCGAACCCGGGACCTTTCAGTCCGCAGACTGACGCTCTATCCATTGAGCCAAACCGGTTTCGGCGAAATCAATTTTTTTCAATGCAGGCATCACTGGGAAGGTGGTTAAGACATCTTTGTTATTAGGGCGCTCACTCTCCAGGCGGAGCCATATGAAACACAAACCACCCTGCATGGGGTATCATGTGGCCAACGAATGACCGCAAGGGTGTGTAACCCTAGGAATGTCTGTATAAAGGAAAAAAATCACTTATAATCGTACCGTCAGATACGAGCACTGTTAACACTGTTCATTTCTTTCAAGTATTAAAAAAAAATCCTATTAGACATTCCATGTGTCTTTTTAAAAACTATGTATACACTGAGTGGCCAGATTATGATCTCTGAACGCATAATAATCTGGTCACTCAGTGTGTGTGTGTGTGTGTGTGTGTGTGTGTGTGTGTGTGTATTAGAGGCCTGGTGCATGAATTCGTGCATGGGTGGGGTCCGGCCAGCCTGGCCAGGGGAAGGGGACATGAGCAGTTGGCTGGCCTGCCTATTGGTCGAACTGATCGAGGGGACAATTTGCATATTAGCTTTTTATTCTGTAGGGTATACACTGGCCAGATTATTATGTGTTCAAAGATCATCATAATCTGGCCACCCATTGTATATTTTTATTGATTTCAGAGAGGAAGGGAGAGGGAGAGAGAGACAGAAACATCCATGATGAGAGGGAATCATTGAACAGCTGCCTCCTGAGTAGCCTGGGATCTGGGCATGTGCCAGGAGGGCGGAGTGACAAGGACTTAACCTAAGAAAGCAGGTGAAATATTTTTGTGCTGGTGCAGAAAATGAGAAGACGAAATAGGTGAGTAGACAGAGAAATGTCAACTATTTATTTATACGATGTCAGCAGTAAGTCAGGTGCCTGGGTAGATGGTGTTGGGCGCCCTTCCAGCGCCGAGACTGGGGTTCTGGTAGACACGTGGCCGTGTGCGCTGGCAGCTGAGGGAGCGTGTGTGACCCCGGAGTGACCCAGGGTCCTGTGTGACTTCAGCTTCCAGGGAAAAAGGACTTGTTCATTGAGGCCGATCTCATGAGCCCTTTGGATCGAATCGCCAGCGTCTCCATCCTAAAGGTACCTGCCCATTCCTGCAGCAGATTCTTTCCTCACTCAACAGTCTGTCTTTCTTTCTTTCTTTCTTTCTTTCTTTCTTTCTTTCTTTCTTTCTTTCTTTCTTTCTTCCTTCCTTCCTTCCTTCCTTCCTTCCTTCCTTCCTTCCTTCCTTCCTTCCTTCCTTCCTTCCTTCCTTCCTTTCTAAATATATTTTATTGATTTTTTACAGAGAGGAAGGGAGAGGGATCGAGAGCTAGAAACATCGATGAGAGAGAAACATCGGCCAGCTGCCTCCTGCACACCCCGCACCGGGGATGTGCCCGCAACCAAGGCACATGCCCTTGACCGGAATCAAACCTGGGACCCTTCAGTCCGCAGGCTGACGCTCTATCCACTGAGCCAAACTGGTTTCGGCCCTTCCTTTATTTTTTAAGTGCCTGGCACATAGCAAGTCTCAATTCTCAATATTATCGTTATCGTTTCTATTAGATGGTTGGGAACCACTATTGCAACTTCTGTTCAACCGCAGCCCCCTGATGTGTGGACCAATGTGCTAGAAAACTATGTGAACCCCTTTCAAACCACTCAAAGTCACTTCACCCATACAAGTCTGGGGGGATCTTGCCCTGAAACAACTTATTAGCCCTAAGACAGTCCTCCCTAGTCCTGGCCCATTGTGGGTATCAGGATTCTGCAGGTGACTCTCAAAGCAAGAAGGTTGTCATGAAGGGCAGCTCAGACTGGGTCACTGAAGGAAGGAGAAATCCTCTGCTCCTTGGTGAGGGCAGCAAAGAAGAGTCTGGGGTCCAAGTGGACCCCAAGTCTGAATGTGACCCAACCACGGAGTCTCTTCTTTCTTTTTTTAAAATATATTTTTTATTGATTTCAGAGAGAGGAAGAGAGAAGGAGAGAGAGCGAAACATCAATGATGAGAGAGAATCGTCGATCAGCTGCTTCCTGCATGCCCCTCGCTGGGGATTGAGCTCACAACCCGGACATGTGCCCTGACCAGAAATCGAACCCTGACCTCCTGGTTCATAGGTTCAACCACTGAGCCATGCCAGCCTGGCCAGTTTTTCTTTTTTCTTTTTAATATATTTTATTGATTTTTTACAGAGAGGAAGGGAGAGGGATAGAAAGTCAGAAACATCGATGACAGAAAAACATCCATCAGCTGCCTCCTGCACACCCCCCATTGGGGACGTGCCTGCAACCAATGTACATGCCCTTGACCAGAATCGAACCCAGGACCTTTCAGTCTGCAGACCGACGCTCTATCCACTGAGCCACCCTGGTTTCGCCCAGTTTTTTCTTTTGATGAACAGTACAAATTACTGAAGTGTGACTATCGTGGTAGGGTAACTAGAGGGTAGTTGGAATGGATTCTATTGTCTGTTGTTTTTGAATTGCTTTATTTTTTGGCTTTCCTGTGGACAGTTTGAGGAAGGTTCCGTGAACGGCTGTCAGGGAGGCAGGTTGAGCCCCAGAATTAGCCTGAATGGGAGCTCAAGTTCCCTGCTTCTGTGCCCTGCTCTGGGTCTCCAAGCTCTCTGTGTCTCCTGTCTTATTGGCTTCTCTTGGCAGCAACACGAAGTGGACAAGCTGTACAAGGTGGAGAACAAGCCAGTCCTGAGCTCCAGCGAACAGTGAGTGTCTGGGGGCACCCAGCTCTGCTCCCCAAGGGAGGATGTCCCTGCCCTTTGCCCTTGACGCGCCTATGGCTGAGATCAGGCAGCGTAAACTGAGATCAGGATACGGTCCCCCGCCCTGCCCCTTGACAGCTTCCGGCGAGGTTATGCTTTAGCTTCCTATGCTGTCTTCCTTTCTGCAGTTCCTCCCTCCCGTGTGCTCTTCTCTCTTGTCCAGTCTGCCACCTCTACCCAGATTGATGAAGCTTTCAAGAATATTTTCATTGCCCAGCTGGCGTGGCTCAGTGGTTGAGCGCCGACCTATGAACCAGGAGGTCTGGGTTCGATTCCCGGTCAGAGCACATGCCTGGGTTTTGGGCTCAATCCCCAGTAGGGGGTGTGCAGGAGGCAGCTGATCATTGATTCTCTCTCAGCATTGATGTTTCTGTATGTCTCTCTCCCACTCTCTTCCTCTGAAATCACTAAAAATATACATATATTTTTAAATATATTTTATTGATTTTTTTACAGAGAGAAAGGGAGAGGGAGAGAGAGTTAGAAACATCGATGAGAGAGAAACATTGATCAGCTGCCTCTTTCACACCCCCTACTGGGGATTGCAACCAAGGTACATGCCCTTGACCGGAATTGAACCTGGGACCCTTGAGTCCGCAGGCCGATGCTCTATCCACTGAGCTAAACCAGTTAGGGCTAGAAAAGCATTTTACAAACCTTCTGGTATTTTTTTAAAAAAAATTTTAAATTAATTTCAGAGAGGAAGGGAGGAGAAAGAGAAAGAATCATCAATGATGAGACAGAATCATGGATCATCTGCTTCCTGCTCACCCCTCACTGGGGATTGAGCCTGCAACCCTTGCATGTGCCCTCAACTGGCAATCGAACTGTGATTTACAGGCTCCTCATTTCAACGCTCAACCACTGAGCCACACTGGCCAGGCAACTTCTTGTTTGTTTTTTTTTGTTTTGCTTTGTTTTTAAGAATGTATGTTTTCTTTAATATATATAATTTATTTTTTTACAGAGAGGAATGGAGAGGGATGGAGAGCTAGAAACACTGATGAGAGAGAAACATCGACCAGCTGCCTCCTGCACACTCCCTACCAGGGATGTGCCTGCAGCCAGTGTACATGCCCTTGACTGGAATCGAACCTGGGACCCTTGAGTCTGCAGGTCGACAGCTCTATCCACTGAGCCAAACCGGTTTCGGCCTTGTGTTGTTTTTGAACACATGCTTGAGGCTTTATACATGTGTGCATCTTATTTCGCCTGACAGATTGGGAATTGTTGGAGAACAGGAACTCCGGGTTCCCCAGAGGGGTCCTATGCTAAGCACAGTGTCCCTGCTGTCGGGAGGGGAGTCTGTGGCGAGGCTGGGAACTGGAGGCCGGCTAAGGGGAGCAGATGTTGAAAGAGTGGGGTGCTGCTTCAGACTCTTCAGGCGGTGCTGTCTGCACCAACCTCAAGATTCTCCTTCCCCATAGGTTGTGCTTCCTGGTCAGACCCCGCATCAAGAACATGCGGTACATAGCCAGTGAGTATGCCGTGGTGCCCCGTGCCACAGAGACCTGGGCAGGGGTGGTGGGATCTCAGGGGCTCGGCCACAGGGACCCTTTCATAAGGAAAGAGGGGTTGGGGTGGCTATACCACGTCGAGGTCAACTGCTCCCTTGGACACAGACAATAGGGAAGTGAGGGCCTGTGCGGGGTGGCAGGAGCAGGCCAGGAGAGGTCAATGGCGGGGAAGGAAACATATGTAATACTTCCAACAATAAGGAATCTTTTTAAAAATGAAAGGAGCCGAAACTGGTTTGGCTCAGTGAATAGAGTGTCGGCCTGTGGACTGAAAGGTCCCGGGTGCGATTCCGGTCAAGGGCATGGACCTTGGTTGCGGGCACATCCCCAGTAGGGGGTGTGCAAGAGGCAGCTGATCGATAATTCTCTCTCATCGATGTTTCTAACTCTCTATGCCTCTCTCTTCCTTTCTGTAAAAAAATCAATAAAATATATATATTAAATAAATAAATAAAATAAAAGGAGCCCTGGCCAGTTTAGCTCAATGGATAGAGCACTGGCCTTCAGACTGAACAGGATCCCAGGTTCAATTCCGGTCAGGAACACATGCCCGGGTTGCAGGCTCCATCCCCAATAGGGGGTCGTGCAGGAGGCAGCCAATCCATGATTCTCTCTCATCATTGATGTTTCTATCTCTCTTCCTCTTCCTTCTTCTCTGAAATCAATAAAAATATTTAAAAAAAATAAAAAGCCTACATAATAAAAGGCTAATATGCAAATTGACCGAAACGTGGAATGACCAGTCGCTATGACACACACGGACCACCAGGGGGCAGATGCTTCATGCAGGCACTGTCCCCTGGTGATCAGTGTGCTCCCGTGTGGGGAGCACCGCCTTACAGAAGCCAAGTTCATGGCTGGCAAGCACAGCAGCGGTGGCCGGAGCCTCTCCCACCTCCACAGCAATCGGACATCCCCCCAAGGGCTCCAGGACTGCGAGAGCGCAGACCGGGCCGAGGGACCCCCTCCCTCCCGTTGTGCATGAATTCCGTGCACTGGGCCTCTAGTAAGTCAGTAAGACCCCTCCCTTGCTTCTCCCATGACACACGTGGCCCACGGCCTCCTGGGCCACGTTCCTCCTGCCCATAGATCTCGTCAATGCTGACAAGTTGGCCGGCCGAACGCGAAAATACAAAGTGATCTTCAGCCCTCAGAAGGTGAGTGTGGGTCCCGATGGCAGTGGCATGAGGCAGGACAGGACTCGGGGCGGGGAAGGGGCACGGGGCCTTCAGCTCCGTCTCCATAAAGCATCAACGTAGGTGGGATGGCAACCACCTGCCGCCGTCTCACTGGGGTCGGCCTGATGGTTCAGCAGGGGGTCTGTCAGCAAACTGCCCCGAATACAGACAGTGGGCCGGGAGAGCTGGCCTCTGCATGGCCCTCCAGTGACAGCTGAGGTGCCTGCTTTGCAAAGCTCTTCCAGGGAACAGTCGAGACCGGTTTGGCTCAGTGGATAGAGCGTCGGCCTGCAGACTGAGGGGTCCCAGGTTCGATTCAGGTCAAGGGCATGTACCTTGGTTGTGGACACATCCCCGGTGGGGGGTGTGCAAGAGGCAGCTGATGGATGTTTCTCTCTCATCGATGTTTCTAGCTCTCTGTCCCTCTCCCTTCCTCTCTGTAAAAAAAAATCAATAATATATATGTCTTTTTTTTTAAAATATATACATATATATTTTTTTAAATAAATAAAAATAAACAAGAGAATAAATCCATTTTATTTAAAAAAAAAAAAAAAAAAAAAAAAAAAAAAGCTCTTCCAGGGAACAAAGAGTTAGGCTCCATGATTCTAGTGCCTTTTCTTCCTTCCTTCCTTCCTTTTTTTAAAAAATATATTGTTATTGATTTCAGAGAGGAGGGAGAGGGAGAGAAAGAGAGAAACATCAATGATGAGAGAGAATCATGGATCGGCTGCCTCCTGCACGCCCCCTACTGGGGATCCAGCCCAAAACCTGAGCTTATACCCTTGGCCGGGAATCGAACCGTGAGCTTCTGGTTCATAGGCCGACAGCGCTCAACCCCTGAGCCATGTTGCTTTCTAGATGCAAGCGCCCGGGTTCTCTGATGGGGTCAGTGAGTGTTGTCCTGGTCCGCGATCCTGGAGGACCTCTCAGGAAGGGAAGGAGAGGGGAACGGTGTTTGCTAATGAGCCTCCTCTTCCCTTTCAGTTTTACGCCTGTGAGATGGTGCTGGAGGAGGAGGGCATCTATGGAGGTGAGAGGAGACGGGGGCGTGGAAAGGGGCCATGTGTGCAGGAGGAATAGTGTCCTTCCCCCGCCCCGTCCCCACCCCTTCCTGCCTCGTTCCTGTTGGCCGGGCGGGAGGAGAGGCGCCTGGGAATGGAAGTAGGAGGACAGTGGGAGAGCATGCGAGGGCTAACCGCTGCTAATCGCCAGCTGCTCTGCCCTCGCCTCCCCTCCCCTGTGTACCCCTCACTGTGTTCTCCTTGCAACACGCCCCTCAGGGTGGCACCCCCCTCAGGCGCCCTGCACTAGGGGCCTCCCGCCTCTGCCACCTGGTCCCTTTGCCTGTCACATGTCATGTGCCGCTCCTTTCCCCTGACTCCCTGCCCTCCAGCCATGGGGAGGTCACACGTGCTTTTCCTGTCGCCCAGAATATTCCCCAGCCTACACGCTTCACCCACCACATCTTACAGGCACAGCCTAAAAGTCACTTCTTTTTAAAAAATATATTTTATTGATTTTTTTTTTTTACAGAGAGGAAAGGAGAGAGACTGAGAACTAGAAACATCGATGAGAGAGAAACATCGACCAGCTGCCTCCTGCACACCTCCTACTGGGGATGTGCTCGCAACCAATGTACATGCCCCTGACTGGAATCAAACCCGGGACCCCCCCAGTCCACAGACCGACACCCTATCCACTGAGCCAAACTGGTTTCAGCCACCACATTTTATTTAGAGTCACAGCCTAAAAGTCACTTCTTTTTTTTTCTTTTTTTATATACATTTTATTGATTTTTTTTACAGAGGGGAAGGGAGGGGGATAGAGAGTTAGAAACATCAATGAGAGAAAAACATCGATCAGCTGCCTCCTGCACCCCCCCCACTGGGGATGTGCCCGCAACCAAGGTGCATGCCCCTGACCGGAATCGAACCCAGGACCCTCAGTCCGCAGACCGACGCTCTATCCACTGAGCCACACCGGTCAGGGCTAAAAGTCTCTTCTTTAGGGAAGTCTCTCCTGCACCCTGCGTGAGGTTAGACCCTGAGATGTTTATGCTCACGGATGGCTGGTCTGCTTCTCTGTCGTTAGATCTGCCTTGTGTGCGTCCCTCCTACTAGGTCTCCGCAGGGTCACGTTCCTTCTCTTCTCCTCTGTGTACCCCAGTGCCTGCACGCGTCTCCGCTCCACTGGTATTTGCCAATTCAGGAGTGAATGCCGTGTACACGTCTCCTTCTGTCCCCAGACTCTGAGCTCCTCGGGGCCAGGCTGTGTCTCGCTCGCCTTCCGAGCGCCGTGCTCAGTGCAGGGCAGGCCTGGGGGTGGGGGCGCTATGATGTCTCTGGGCAACCGGCGGGCGCACCCCCGCAGGTGGAGGCCCGTGCCTGCTTCAGGGAGACCGATGGTCTCTGTCCCCACAGATGTGAGCTGCGACGAATGGGCCTTCTCGCTGCTGCCTCTGGACGTGGATCTGCTGAGCATGGAGCTGCCGGAGTTTTTCAGGGACTACTTCCTGGTAGAGGCGGGGGCCCTTGGGTCTGGCATCAGTGGCTGGGGACAAGCAGGGGGGCCAGTGGGCTAGCAATATTGATGCATCTTCATCCAAGTCCCGTGATTTTTAAAAAAATATATTTTATTGATTTTTTACAGAGAATAAGAGAGAGGGAGAGAGAGCTAGAAACATCCATGAGAGAGAAACATCGACCAGCTTCCTCCTTTACCCCCTCCTTCCCCCCCCACTGGGGATGTGCCCGCAACCAAGGTACATGCCCTTGACTGGAATCAAAACTGGGACCCTTCAGTCTGCAGGCTGACGCTCTATCCACTGAGCCAAACTGGTTTTGGCAAATCCCCTGATTTTTTTAAAAAAACATTTTATTTATTTACTTAATTTATTTATTAAATATATTTTTATTGATTTCAGAGAGGAAAGGAGAGAGAGAGGAGAGGGAGAGAGAGAGAGAGAGAGAGAGAGAGAGAGAGAAACATCCATGATGAGAAAGATCATTGGTCGGCTGCCTCTTGCACACCCCACACTGGGGACCAAGCCTAAAACACAAGCATGTGCCCTTGACTGGAATCGAACCAGGGACGCTTCAGTCTGCAGACCAATGCTCAATCCACTGAGCCAAACCGGCTAGGGCAGTCCCGTCATTTTATTATGCATGAGAGTGATTGGGAGATTGAATGCCACTGATTGTATCCTTTGGGGCCAGTCAAAATGGACTTTTTCTTTTCTTTTTTCTAAAATATATTTTATTGATTTTTTTTTACAGAGAGGAAGGGAGAGGGGGAGAGAGTTAGAAACATCGATGAGAATCATTGATCAGCTGCCTCCTGCACACCCCCCACCGGGATGTGCCCGCAACCAAGGTCCATGCCCTTGACCGGAATCGAACCGGGATCCCTCAGTCCGCAGGCCAACGCTCTGTCCACTGAGCCACACCTGTCAGGGCAAAATGAACCCTTTCTAGCATTCCCCACGCCCTGCCTCTGCCCCAGGGTTCCAGGGCCAGCACCATCCTGATGGGTTTGTCGGGCTGACCCCCACCTTTGTGGCTCCCGCAGGAAGGAGACCAGCGTTGGATCAACACGGTGGCCCAGGCCCTGCACCTCCTCAGCACCCTCTACGGCCCCTTCCCTAACTGCTACGGGATTGGCAGGTGCGCCAAGGTGAGCGCTGGCAGGGCTGTGCCCCCTGTTCTCCCCCACCGTGGGCTGTCCTCAGTCCGGGCATCTGTAACAAGGGGTAACTTCTCTCCCCGGCTTTCATTATTGCAACATAGCCTCAGAGACGGGAGCTGCTGTGGCTAACAGAGACGCCAAAGCTAGTGCCTCTTAGGCAGCATTCCTGAATCGCTTTTTGTTTAATGTATATTTTTATTGATTTCAGAGAGAAAGGGGCAGAGATATAAAAACTTCATTGATGAGAGAGAATCATTGACCGGCTGCCTTCTGCCCGCCCCACACTGGGGATCGAGTCCGAAACCCAGACATGTGCCCCGAATGGGAATCGAACCGTGACCCTCTGGTTTATAGATTGGCGCTCAACCACTGAGCCACACAGGCCGAGCAGCATTCCTGAATCTCCTTATATTTGGAATGGGGATGGACGGGAGGGATAGGAACAGATGGGGCCTGAGCAGGTGATATTGTTAATTATTAGCTCCCCTTATTGGGCATAGCTAGATTTGTCTCAGTAAGTCCCACAGGAAGGGGCTGGCTTCTGTAGATAATGGGACTACAGGAGGGACACAAGATTAAGAATGTCTCTTTCTCTCTTTATATTTTTTAATATATTTTATTGACTTTTTACAGAGAGGAAGGGAGAGGAATAGAGAGTTAGAAACATCGATGAGTGAGGAACATCGATCAGCTGCCTCCTGCACACCTCCCACTGGGGATGTGCCTGCAACCAAGGCACATGCCCTTGACCGGAATCGAACCCGGGACCTTTCAGTTCGCGGGCCGATGCTCTAGCCAGAGCCACATCGGTTAGGGCGCTCTCTCTCTCTCTTTGGTTTATTGATTTGAGAGAAAGAGAAACATCTTTTTGGTACTTCATTGGTTTATGCATTCATTGGTCGAACCCACAACCTTGGCATTATTGAGACGATGCTCTAGCCCAGTGGTTGGCAAACTCATTAGTCAATAGAGTGGCAAACCTCGGCTCTAGCCAACTGAGCTACCTGGTCAGGACAAGAATGTCTTGTATTCCTTACAATTGCATGTGAATCTATGAATATCTCAAAATAAGACAGTATAATTGTGGCTCAGTCATTGACCATCGACCTATGAACCAGGAGGTGACTGTTCAATTCCCAGTCAGGGCACAGGCCTGGGTTGTGGGCTCAATCCCCAGTGTGGGGCATGCAGGAGGCAGCCTATCAAAGATTCTCTCTCATCATTGATGTTTCTCTCTCTCTCTCTCTCTCTCTCTCTCTCTCTCTCTCTCTCTCTCTCTCTCTCTTTCTTTCTCTCTCCTTCTTCCTCTCCCTTCCTCTCTCTGAAATCAATAAAAAATAATATATAGTCTAAAAGTATAATTAAACAAAAAAAATTAAGAATTTTTTTTTTTGGGGGGGGAGAATGTCTTGGGCTGAAATCGATTTGGGTCAGTGGATAGAGTGTCGGTCTGCGGAATGAAAGGTCCCAGGTTCGATTCCAGTCAAGGCCATGTACCTTGGTTGCGGGCACATCCCCAGTAGGGGGCGTGCAAGAGGCAGCTGGTCGATGTTTCTCATTGATGTTTCTAGCTCTCTTCCTCTCTGTAAAAAATCAGTAAAATATTAAAAAAAAAAAAAATGTCTTGGTCCCTGGCAGATGTCACATGAACTGTGGAGGAACCTGGAGGAGGAGGAGGACGGTGAGACCAAAGGCCGGAAGCCGGAAATCGGCCACATCTTCCTCCTGGACAGAGGTAACTCCTGCGGCCGCCGGCGCCCCTCTGCCTCTGGCCCCGAAGCAGCGGGAACGTGGGAGCCGCGGTGGCCCGGACGGGACCCTCAGGCCGGGCCAGGCCGTGCGCGCAGCGGCGGTCGGGGGTCAGGGGAAGGCACTGGCGCCCATCCTGAGCACCCTGGGGAGCCGGCCGCCAGGGGCCCTCACGGTCAGGGCTCTGGCTTGCAGACGTGGACTTTGTGACGGCGCTGTGCTCCCAGGTGGTGTACGAGGGGCTGGTGGACGACACGTTCCGCATCAAGTGTGGTGAGTGGCATCCCGCCTGGCACGGGGCTGGCAGGGGGCACCCGGGCACTGAGAGAACTGAGGCTTCAGCCGAAACCGTTGCGGCTCAGTGGATAGAGCATCGGTCTGCGGACTGAAAGGTCCCAGGTTCGATTCCGGTCAAGGGCACGTACCTTGGTTGCGGGCACATCCCCGGTGGGGGGTGTGCAAGAGGCAGCTGGTCGATGTTTCTCTCTCATCGACGTTTCTAGCTCTCTATCCCTCTCCCTTCCTCTCTGTAAAAAATCAATAAAATATATTTAAAAAAATAAAAAAAGAGAGAGAGAGAACTGAGGCTTCAGATCTCGTGGAGGCCCTCTAAGGGCAGCGCTGGGCGGGCGGCCCCGGGGGAAACCCTCACCGCCGTCCCCTGCTCTCGAAGGGAGCGTCGACTTTGGCCCGGAAGTCACCTCCTCCGACAGGAGCCTGAAGGTGCTGCTTAACGCTGACGACAAGGTGGGTGCGGGTGTGGGTGCTGGCAGGGGTTCCCCGGGCGCTGCTCCCACTCGGCGGGGGCACACCGCCCTGGGAGGGGAAGCTGAGTCCCCAGGACGGAGGGACCCCCACTAGGAAAGAGCATTTCCCCAGGCGGGGGCCGGTGTGGCTCAGTGGCTAGAGCATCGGCCTGCAGATTGAAGGGTCCTGGGTTCGGTTCCAGTGAGGGGCACGTACCTTGGCTGCGGGCATGTCCCCGGGGTTGATTCCGGACAGGGGCACATGCCTGGGTTGCAGGCTTGATTCCCCCACCTGCAGGAGGGTTAGGGTGTCACTCTCCCATCGATGTTTCGCTCTGTCTCTCCTCCTTCCTTCCACTCTTCCTAAAGCCAATGGGAAAATATCCTCGAGAGAGAATTGACAGAAATCTAAATTATTTAATTGATTAAAAAAGACAGATAGCCCTAGTCGGTTTGGCTCAGTGGATAAAGCATCAGCCTGGGGACTCCCAGGTTCAATTCCGGTCAAGGGCATGTACCTTGGTTGTGGGCACGTGTGTCCCCAGTAGGGTGTGTGCAGGAGGCAGCTGGTCGATGTTTCTCTCTCATCGACGTTTCTAACTATCCCTCTCTCTTCCTTTCTGCAAAAAAATCAATAAAAATATATTTTAAAATAAAAAATTAAAACATCAACGAGAGAGAAACATCGATCAGCTGCCTCCTGCACACCCCCCCACCAAGGTCCATGCCCTTGACCGGAATCGAACCCGGGACCCCTCAGTCCGCAGGCCGACGCTCTATCCACTGAGCCACACCGGCCAGGGCTCCCCTCTTCCTCTTGCTGGACGCACTGAGCGCCCTTCCCGCGCTGTCTGACCTGGAGGAGGGAGGAAGGGCCGGGCGCGGTGAGCACAGACGTCCTCCCCGTCCCGCTCCCCACACAGGTGTTCCATGAAATCCGTAACGAGCACTTCTCCAACGTCTTCGGCTTCCTGAGCCAGAAGGCCCGGAACCTGCAGGCTCAGTACGACGTGAGGCTCCGGGCCCCGGCCCCCCCCCCCCCCCCCCCCCCCGTTCCATCTCCCCGGCGCCTTCCTGAAGCCGCTGCCCCTCGGAGACCAGGACGGGGTCCCAGCCTCCTTCCGGGGTCGGGAGGGAGTGTGGCGGTGACCTTGGGCGGGCGGCGGTGACCTTGGGGCTTGCCCGCAGCGCCGCAGAGGCATGGACATCAAGCAGATGAAGAACTTCGTGTCCCAGGAGCTGAAGGGCCTGAAGCAAGAGCACCGCCTGCTGAGTCTGCGTAGGTTTCGGCTGGGGGCAGGGGGCTGGGGGCTGGGGCAGGAACTGGGGATTGGGGGTAGGAACTGGGGTTTGGGGGCAGGGAGCTGGGAGCTGGGGAGCTGGGGATTGGGGGCAGGGACTGGGGGCTGGGGATTGGGGGTTGGGGGCTGAGGGCTGAGGGCTGGGAAGCTGGGGGCAGGGACTGAGGAGCTGGGTGCAGGGGGTGGGGGTTGGGGGTTAAGGGGTGGGGTTGGGGGCTGGGGGCTGAGAAGCTGGGGACTGGGAGCTGGGGGCTGGGGGCAGGGACTGGGGAGCTGGGGGCAGGGGGCGGGAGTTGGGGGTTAAGGGGTGGGGTTGGGGACTGGGGAGGGGTGTGTGAGGGGACATCTGCCTCCGGAGAGGGGATCCCTGTCCACTTGGCAGATGATGCTCTTGTTTGGTCTAAAGCCGGGGTGGGGGGCGTCCGGCCCACGGGCCATATAAACCCTGTGAAATCATTGGATCTGGCCCTGCCCAGGCATTAGGGGTGAGTGAGTTAAATGTTTGATCAAATAGAGCGGGCTAATTAAAAAAAAATATATATATATATATTTATTTATTTATATAAATATATATATTTATTTATATGAATATATATATTTATATAAATATATATATATATATATATATATATATATATATATATATATTGATTTTAGAGAGGAAGGCAGAGGGAGAGAGAAATAGAAACATCCATGATGAGCCGAGACCGGTGTGGCTCAGTGGATAGAGCATCGGCCTGCGGACTGAAGGGTCCCGGGTTTGATTCCGGTCAAGGGCATGTACCTTGGTTGCGGGCACATCCGCAGTGGGGGGCGTGCAAGAGGCAGCTGATTGATGACTCTCTCTCATCGATATTTCTAACTCTCTGTTCCTCTCTCTTCCTCACTGTAAAAAATCAATAAAATATTTTAAAAAATAAAATAAACATCAATGATGAGAGAGAATCATTGGTCAGCTGCCTCCAGGATGCCCCCTACTGGGGATCGAGCCCACAACCCAGGCACGTGTCCTTGAAAATGGAACCTGGGGCCCTTCAGTCCGCAGGCCGACGCTCTATCCACTGAGCCACACCGGTCAGGGCGAGGCCTTTATTCTTCGGGACAGTAAAGGGCTGTCCCTGTGGAGCCAGGAGTGCGTCAGGTGGCTTTGTCCTCTCCGCAGACATCGGGGCCTGCGAGTCCATCATGAAGAAGAAAACCAAGCAGGACTTCCAGGAGCTCATCAAGACCGAGCACGGTGACTCCCCCCCCCTGGGGAGCCGCGCTCCGGCTCTCCCCAGCCCACGCTGGCTGCGAGGACGCCTGGGGGCCCCTTATCCCAGGAGGAGAAGGAGATGGGGAGACAGGCGCCCATTAGCGCGGCTCCTGTAACAGGCTGTCTGCCCTCTGGTTACCTGCAGCGCTGCTGGAGGGCTTCAGCACCCGGGACAGCACCAGCTACATTGAGGAGCACATCGACCGGCAGGTGCTGACTCTGGGTCGGCCTTCGGGAGGAAGAGGAGAGGACGACGACCTTGAACCTGTGAAACTTGAACCTCCTCGGCTCTTTCTTCCCGTGCAGGTGTCGCCCATAGAAAGCCTTCGCCTCATGTGCCTCTTGTCCATCACCGAGAACGGTGAGCCCCCAGGACCGGAGATGCCGGTCAGATCTGTGCCATAGGATAGAGGACGTCATCGTGACCGACAGGAATAAATGTCCTAGCGGACAGGACACTTCCCTGTAATTTTGAAGGGTTACATTTAAAATATATATATATATTTTATGGATTTTTTACAGAGAGGAAGAGAGAGGGATAGAGAGTCAGAAACATCGATGAGAGAGAAACATCGATCAGCTGCCTCCTGCACACCCCCCACTGAGGATGTGCCCGCAACCAAAGTACATGCCCTTGACGGGAATCGAACCCGGGACCTTTCAGTCCGCAGCCGACGCTCTATCCACTGAGCCAAACCGGTTTCGGCAAGGATTAAATTTAAAAAATATATATATATATATTATTGATTTTTAACAGAGAGGAAGAGAGAGGGATAGAGAGTTAGAAACATCGATGAGAGAGAAACATCGACCAGCTGCCTCCTGCACACCCCCCACTGAGGATGTGCCCGCAACCAAAGTCCATGCCCTTGACCGGAATCGAACGTGGGACCTTTCAGTCGGCAGGCCGACGCTCTATCCACTGAAACAAACCGGTTTTGGCTAATTTTTAAAAATTCGGTATATATTTTTTATTGATTTCATAGAGGAGAGGAGAGATAGAAGTATCAATGATGAGAGAGAATCATTGATCAGCTGCCTCGTGGACACCCATACTGGGGATCAAGCTGTAACCCGGGCACGTGCCCTAGATCAGAATCATCTGTGTAGGATGCAAGGTTAACATCCTTTCCTGAATCATTCCTGGTTCAGGGTTTCTTGGGGGAAGAGGGTTTTTTTTTTTTTTTTTTTTTTTTTTTTAGCAATCTTTATTGTTCATATTATTACAAAGGTTCCTCATTTCTTCCCCCCTCCACCAGGTTCCTACCCCACCCTCCGTCCCCCTCCCATCCCCCATTGTCCTCATCCATAGGTGCAGTTTATGTTCAGTCTGGGAAGAGGGTTTATTAATTGGTTGGTTAGTTGGTTGGTTTGGTTGTATATTTTAGGACATCTTAGCTTGCTCATGAATGTTTTTCTTTTCTTTTTTCTTTTTTAAAAAAATATGTTTTATTGATTTTTTTTTTACAGAGAGGAAGGGAGAGGAATAGAGAGATAGAAACACCGATCAGCTGCCTCCTGCACACCCTCACTGGGGATGTGCCCACAACCAAGGTACATGCCCTTGACCAAAATCGAACCTGGGATCTTTCAGTCCGCAGGCCAACGCTCTATCCACTGAGCCAAACCGGTTTTGGCTCACAAACGTTTCTTGTCTCCTTTACCCTCAGGTTTGATCCCCAAGGATTACCGATCCCTGAAAACACAGTACCTACAGGTAAGGCCAGAAGAATGTCTTCTTAAATGTGTTGATGTTAGCAAGAGAGGAGTCGGGGAGCAGGTGGGGAGAGAGAGACAGAGAGAAACATCGATTTGTTGTTTCACTTATTTATGCCTTCACTTATTTATGCTTCTTGTATGTGTCCTGACCGGGATCGAACCCACAACCCTGGTGTATCGGGATGGCATTGACCAATAGCTAACCAGCCAGGGCTTCAAAAGAATGTCTTTGTGAGGAACTTTATGGAGGGAGCTCATTGGACATTTTAAAATATATATACTTATATTGATTTCAGAGAGGAAGGGGGCGGGAGAGAGAGAGAGAGAGAGAGAGAGAAACATCAATGATGAGAGAGAACCATTGATTGGCTGCCACCTGTACTGGGGATTGAGTCCGCAACCTGGGCGTGTGCCCTTGACCGGAAGTGAGCCTGGGACCTTTCATCCCGCCGGCTGACGCTCTGTCCACTGAGCCAAACCGGCTGGGGCTCATGGGACATTTTTGAACAAGGCAAAAAAGAAACGGCTCCTTTCCTGTCCCTGTCCCCAGCTGTCTCCATCTGGCCTTCCTCTCAGAGCAGACAACCTCCCCTCCCCTCTCCCAGTTCTCGTGGTGGCCGGTGCCAGGAACACTGAACAGTTCAGCTATTGGACCAGGGGCTAAGATCTCGCCCCCATTCTCCCTCGTTGGCACCTTGTGAGGCATTGACAAGCTTCCTTCCAGGTCTCTCTGTCACGTCATATCTCATCTGTGAAGCCTCATCTGCCGTCCTCCTATCAGTAGCTTTCTCTGGGCTTTAAGAATATAATAGAGAGTTAGAAACATCGATGAGAGAGAATCATCGATCAGCTGCCTCCTGCACACCCCCCTACCGGTGATGTACCTGCAACCAAGGTACATGCCCTTGACCGGAATCGAACCTGGGACCTTTCAGGCCGCAGGCTGACGCTCTATCCACTGAGCCACACCGGTTTCGGCCTGGGCTTTAAGAGTTTCATATGCTTTTCTTCTTCTGGGTTTGGTGTTTGGATATTTCTGATAAGAAAACCTTTTATGCCGAAACCGGTTTGGCTCAGTGGATAGAGCGTCGGTCTGCGGACTGGAAGGTCCCAGGTTGGATTCCGGTCAAGGGCATGTACCTTGGTTGCGGGCACATCCCCAGTAGGGGGTGTGCAGGAGGCAGCTGATCGATGTTGCTCTGTCATCGATGTTTCTAGCTCTCTATCTCTTTCCCTTCCTTTCTGTAAAAAATCAATAAAATATATTTAAAAAAAGAAAAAGAAAAGAAAACCTTTTACATGAACAAGTATGCATAGACTGTGCAACCCTCCCATCCCTCGCCTCCCTTACCGCCCTCACCTCCATGCAACCCAGCAGTGCCAGACCCCTGCTGGGCACTCAGTACAGACTCCCCTGCATTTCCTGCAGAGCTATGGCCCTGAGCACCTGCTGACCTTCTCCAACCTGCGGCGGGCGGGGCTCCTGACCGAGCAGGCCCCTGGGGACACCCTCACCGCTGTGGAGAGTAAAGTGAGCAAGCTGGTGACGGACAAGGCTGCAGGTGAGCAAGGAGCACGGGGAACCCTTCCCCTCCTCTTCCCTGCACGGGCAGCACCCCTAGAGAGAGAGGAGTGGGAAGCGCAGTGCAATTCCTATGGTTACTGTCATTCCCGCCACGTCCACTAGGGGGAGCTGTTCCTGGTTATTGGACACAAACCACGTCCTAAGCCCTTTATTTTTTTTAATTAAAAAAAAAAAAAAAAAAAAAATATATATATATATATATATATATATATATATATGAAGCCAAAACCGATTTGGCTCAGTGGATAGAGCGTCAGCCTGCGGACGGGAATGTCCCAGGTTCGATTCCGGTCAAGGGCATGTTCCTTGGATGCGGGCACATCCCCAGTGGGGGGGGGTGCAGGAGGCAGTTGATCGGTGATTCTCTCTCATCGATGATTCTAGCTCTCTATCCCTCTCTCTTCCTGTCTGTAAAAATCAATAAAATATAGAGCTAGAAACATCGATGAGAGAGAATCGTCGATCAGCTGCCTCCTGCACACCCCCCACTGTGGATGTGCCCCCAACCAAGACACATGCCCTTGACCGGAATCGAACCTGGGACCCTTCAGTCCGCAGGCCGACGCTCTATCCACTGAGCCACACCGGTTTTGGCACAAAGGTTAGTTTTACCTCCATTGTACAGATGAGGAAACTGAGGCTGAGAGGATAAGTGACTTGTCTGAGATCCCTCAAAGAGTAAGTCACGTTGGACCCCCGGTCACTGTGACTCCACAGCCCATACCTCTGCGTGTTTGCCCTGTAGGTGGCGTTTAGTGGACAGCTGGCACCGTGTAGGAGGAGGGAGAGGGGCGGGAGAGGGCGAGGAATGCCTCACGAGATCCAGGGAATTGTGGATGAACCGCTTAGAGATGCGATGGGTCCGCCTACTTGACAAGAGGTGGCCTGTCATCTCCGGAATGGAACCCTAGGTGGCACCTTCATGAATCCATTAACTTATCAGTGTTTCCCAAAGTGTGGTGCGCGTCCCCCCAGGGGCACGGGAAGAGTCTGGTGGGGTTGCGCGTTGCACCGGAGTTTGGTGGGGATACGCACTGCACCGTGCTTAGCTGCGCCTAATTCTACGTTCTCATGAGAACGAGGGGTACTCAGCGTTACGAAAATTATAGAAGGGGTACACATATGTCAGAAGTTTGGGAAACACTAAACCCAGCCCAGATTTCTTCCCCAGGAAAGATCACGGATGCCTTTAGTTCTCTGGCCAAGAGGAGCAACTTCCGGGCCATCAGCAAGAAGCTGAATTTGGTATGTGGAGCGGGGATGAGCAGGGATGAGCGGGGTGTGTGTGTGTGTGTGTGTGTGTGTGTGTGTGTGTTACCGGTATGGTCCTTGGTGGAGTGCTGTGAGTCCACAAAAACCTTTGCAGTAGCTGAAACCGGTTTGGCTCAATGGATAGAGCATCGGCCTGCGGACTGAAAGGTCCCCGGGTTCGATTCCCGTCAAGGGCTTGTGTCTTGGTTGCGGGCACATCCCCAGTGGGGAGGAGGGGTATGTGCAGGAGGCAGCTGGTCGATGTTCCTCTCTCATCGATGTTGCTAGCTCTCTATCCCCTCTCTTCCTATCTGTAAAAAAAATCAATAAAATATATTTAAAAAACAAAACAACAAAAAAAAGCTTTGCAGCTTTTTTTTTTTTTATATATATGTATTTATTGATTTTTCACAGAGAGGAAGGGAGAGGGATAGAGAGCTAGAAACATCGATGAGAAGGAAAAAGCATGCCTGGGAGCCTGCCACTCCTCTCCGAGCCTGTAAACGCCTGGAGAGCTGAGCTGCCACCCGCTTTGCCCTCTAGATCCCACGTGTGGACGGTGAGTACGACCTGAAGGTGCCCCGCGACATGGCGTACGTCTTCAGCGGCGCCTACGTGCCCCTCAGCTGCCGCGTCATCGAGCAGGTGAATACGCGGGACCCTCACTCCCAGGCGGGTCTCCCTCTCTCTGCTTTCTCCTGGCCCCTGGCCTGTCCCAAGTTTTGTCTGTCCTGCTAACGAGCAAGAAATGGGATGGTTGGGCCCTAACGGGTTTATCTCAGTGGATAGAGCATCAGCCTGGGGACTCAAGGGTCCCAGGTTCGATTCCGGTCAAGGGCATGTACCTTGGTTGCGGGCACATCCCCAGTGGGAGGTGTGTAGGAGGCGGCTGATGGATGTTTCTCTCTCATCGATGTTTCTAACTCTTTATTCCTCTCCTTTCCTCTCTGTAAAAAAAATCAATAAAATATATTTTTAAAAAAGAAAAGAAAAGGGATGGTTGGGCCACAGCGACCTTCCTTTCCCAAACTCCATCCTGTTGCCCTAGCCCAGCGTTCAGCAAGCTCATTAGTCCACAGAGCAAACCCAAATACCAACAGGACAAGGATTGAAATTTCTTTGGGGAGCCACATTTTTTAAACTTAAACTTCCAACGCCATTTCTTCAAAATAGACTCGCCCAGGCCGTGGTATTTTGTGGAAGAGCCACACGCAAGGGGCCAAAGAGCCGCATGTGGCTCGCGAGCCGCCGTTTGCTGACCACAGCCCTAGCCTGTTTGGCCCAGTGGATAGAGCATCAGCCTCCAGATGGAAGGGTCCCGGGTTTGATTCCGGTCAAGGGCACATGCCCAGGTTGCAGGCTCGATCCCCAGTGAGGGGCGTGCAGAAGGCAGCCGCTCCATGATTCTCTCGCATCACTGATGTTTCTATCTCTCTCTCCATCTCTGAAAACAGGAAAAATATTTTAAAAAATAAATAATAAAGCCTGAAACTCACTCTCGTGCCCCCCCAGGTGCTGGAGCGGAGGAGCTGGCAGGGCCTGGAGGAGGTGCTGCGGCTGCTCAACTGCAGTGAGCTGGCCTTCACAGGTGCGTGGCCGGGCAGCGGGCCGGGCGGGCCAGAGGCGGCTGGACGCGTCCCTGGTGCCAGCGGGCCAGGCAAGGCCTGAGTCTGGCCCTAGCTGGTGTGGCTCAGTGGATAGAGCATTGGCCTACGACCCAAGGGTCCCGGTTCGAGTCTGGTCAAGGGCATGTACTTCAGTTGTAGGCTCCTCCCTGGCCCGGGCCCTGGTCAGGGCACATGCAGGAGGCAATCAATCGGTGTGTTTTTCTCGGTCTTTCCCTCTCTCTTCCCCTCTCCCTAAAAATCATATCCTCATGTGGGGATTAAACAAACAAAACAAAAAAAAAAAAAGAGAGAGAGGGAGAGAGAGGGAGAGAGCCTAAACCAGTTTGGCTCAGTGGATAGAGCGTCAGCCTGCGGACTGAAAGGTCCCAGGTTCGATTCCGGTCAAGGGCATGTACCTTGGATGCGGGCACATCCCCGGTCTGGGGTGTGCAGGAGGCAGCTGATTGATGTTTCTCTCTCATCGATGTTTCTAACTCTCTATCCTTCTCCCTTCCTCTCTGTAAAAAAATTAATAAAATATATTTTAAAAGAGAGAGAGAGATAGTCTGGTCTGCTCTCCACAGGCGGGACCAAGGACGACAAGGCTCCCAGCGAGTCCCTGCGCCTCATCCTGGTCGTGTTCCTGGGGGGCTGCACCTTCTCCGAGATCTCAGCCCTGCGGTTCCTGGGCAGAGAGAAAGGTGAGCAGGCACGGGAGGGTGACAGCAGGTCCATGGACGGGCTCCGGGCTGCAGAGGGCAGCACTCTGGAAGGTTCTCTGCTGCCCTCTGGGTAGCACCTGCTGTGGGCTGGAGGGTAAGGAGCGCAGGTCTAGGGCGTGGCCAGTCGCTGTGCACCAACCCAGCGGGGCCTGGGCACTGGTTCTCGGATCCAACCCCAGGCTGTGGGGGTTCTACGTAGCGTGGCCCGTGGTGGGGGCCACTGATTGGCTCGTGCTCACCTGGCTGGTGCTCTCGGCTCCTCAGGCTACAGGTTCATCTTCCTGACGACAGCCATCACCAACAGCGCCCGCCTCATGGAGGCCATGAGCGAGGTGAAAGCCTGATGCCGCCCCCGGACACGCCCCCCGAGGGCTGCAGGAGGGGGCGCAGCCGCCGAGTCCATGCCCCCCGCCCCCCAGCCACCTTGCTCAGGGCTGGGCAGCGGGACTTGTTCGGGATTGAGGGGACGCATCAGAGGAGAGGGTCACCCTCCACAAGGTGGTTTTCCTGTTTTGGTGACGAAGTACAGCCCATGCTGAGAAAACATGAGCAAGACATGTTTTGCTATATCCTGTGTGAGTCCCATTGTAAATAAAGCCTCACGTTCAATGTCACGTGTTGCATGCTGGACCAGCTCTCCCATCTTTGCTCGGGAAGCACAGGGGACTTCCTGGGGGGGTTTCACGTGCTCTGTGGGCTGGACCCTCGTGGCTCTGGGTCTGCTCTGGGCCTCCCTGGAAACTCGCCCTTTGCTGAACCCATAAAATGAGGGAGATGGATCAGATCGATGATCAGTAAGCACCCTTCCATTTCTAAAATTCTGCGACTCCTTACGCATCAAAATGTGTCTGTTGCCCTAGCCCGGTGGTCGGCAAACTGCGGCTCCACAAGCCACATGCGGCTCTTGGGCCCCTTGAGTGTGGCCCTTCCACAAAATACCGCAGCCTGGGCGAGTCTATTCTGAAGAAGTGGCGTTAGAAGAAGTTTAAGGTTAAAAAATGTGGCTCTCCAAAGACATTTCAATCGTTGTCCTGTTGGTATTTGGCTCTGTGGACTCATGAGTTTGCGGACCACTTCCATATACTAAAAGGCCAATATGCAAATTATCCCCTCGGGATTTCTACCGACCAGGAGTTTGAGCGCCTTCTATGACGTGCGCTGACCGCTAGGGGGCGGAACAAAGAAAGGCCCTGGCTGGGCCCTGATCATTGGCCAGGCCTAGGGACCCTACCTGTGCACAAATTTCATGCATTGGGTCTCTAGTGAATCGCTAAACCTCTCTGGAAAGAGCGTTCAGTAGTTACACTTGTAGGAGTCAACCTTAGAACAGTACATGATGCAAAGATTTATGCCTGAAGACATTTGTTTGTAAAAACTGCAACTTAAGTACCCATCAACACAAAATAGCTGAATTATGAGATATCCACATGCCAGGATATTGTGCAACCAAAAATCACTGATGAAAAGTGATTGATAAACCTTTTTTTTTTTTTTAAATTGATTTTTCACAGAGAGGAAGAGAGAGGGATAGAGAGTTAGAAACATCGATGAGAGAGAATCATCGATCAGCTGCCTCTTGCACACACCCCACCGGGGATGTGCCCGCAACCAAGGTATATGCCCTTGACTGGAATCGAACCTGGGACCTTTGGCTCTATCCACTGGGCCAAACCGGTCCCGGCTGATAAACCTTTTTGAGACAGTTCCCTGGCTTTGTAAAATGGGGATCATATTCACTGAATGGAATTGTGGTTATTAAAGGGGATCACTGGTCTAGAAAGTTCCTGGCCCTTAGCAATGTTCCCTGTCCTTTAGGGCACTTCTTCCTACATCCGGGGAATATTGCCACCAAAGATCAGTTCCCAGGCTCGCTGCTCAGAGGAACTAGGGAAGCAAGGCTCCAGACCTTTCTAGTAACGGGCTCCGGCCACACCCAGCTGCTGTGGGAGGGAAGCGTTTATGGGCAGTGCCTGGGCAGTTGGCTCTTGCTGAGTGCACTTGGAATCAAACCTGCAGGGAGCCCTGGTTGGCATCTCAATTGGTTAGAGCTATGCCAGGGCGTGGTTGGATCTCTGTTTAGGGCACGCACAAGAAGCAACCAATGAATGCACAAGTAAGTGGAACAATCCACGTTTCTCTAGCTCTCAATAAATAAAAATAAAAAACCGCCCTGGCCTCTGGCTCAGTTAGTTAGAGCTTGTATGGGACACCAAAAGGTTGTGTGGGTGGGTTCCATTCACAGTCAGGGCACAGCCTAGAAAGCAGGTTTGGTCCCCTGTCCGGTGCCCTATTTGAGCTGTTTCCCTTCTCTCTAAAAATCAATTTATTATTTTTATTTTCAAAATATATTTCTTTATTGATTTCAGAGAGGAAGGGAGAGGGAGAGAGAGACGGAAACATCAATGATGAGAGAGAATCACTGACCAGCTGCCTCCTGCACATCCCCCACTGGGGACAGAGCCTGCAACTCAGGCATGCGCCCCAGGCTGGAATCGAACCCGGGACCCCTCAGTCTGCTGGCTGACGCTCTATCCACTGAGCCAAACCAGCCAGGGCAAAACTAATTTATTTTATTTTATTTTAAAAAATATATATTTTATTGATTTTTTACAGAGAGGAAGAGAGATAGTTAGAAACATCGATGATGAAAGAGAATCATTAATCAGCTGCCTCTTGCACACCCCCTACTGGGGATGTTTTCGCAACCAAGGTACATGCCCTTAACCGGAATCGAAACCGGGACCTTTCAGTCCGCAGGCTGACGCTCTATCCACTGAGCTAAACCGGTTTCAGCAAAACTAATTTATTTTTAATTCAATCTTTGTTGTTGAAAGTATTGCATTTGTCCCCTTTAAAAATCAATTTAAAAAAATATCCTGTGGTGAGGATTAAACAAAACAAAAAAAATTCAAAACAAAACCGCCCCAGGGTTGGGGCAGGGCCGGCTCCTACAGAGCGCCCCCCAGTGGCCGAGCGAGGAAAGCGTCCCGCCCTCGGGCGTGGCCGATCGCGCTGGAGGAGGCGAACCCAAGCTCCGCATCCCTGCAGCTCTCGCGACACTCCGCTGGGGGCGTGGGGGTGGGGTTTCGCGAGGAGCGACAGGCCGGAGCACCAATCGCAGGCCCGTTCCCGCCACGGTGCTTGGTTTGAAATCCCGCGGGTGCCTAACGGCTCGCGAAGTTGGCAGATCCCGTGCGAGGCGGCGTCGGGAGCGGGTCGCGGCGCTCGGTTCCGGCTGGAGTCGGTCGGGGCACCTCGCCGTCCGTCCGTCCGGTGACCGGGAGGCTTCCATCATGAGGAGAAGGTGCGGGCTGTGGGGGGGAGTCGGGGACGCCCGTCCCGGATGCGGGGCCGGCGGGGGGGCTTCCAGACGGTGTCACCTCGGCCCGCGCTCGGGTGAGGCCGGGGCGCGGCCGGGCAGGGCCGGCGGCGGCGGGGGGCGACGCGCGGGGAGCGGGCCCGGCGGGGCGGAGGCCACCCCGGACCCGGACGCCCGTGTTGTCTCCGTGTTGTTTCCGTTCCTCGGGCTCCGTTCCGTCGGGCTTGAACGGAAAGGGGGCTTGGGGTCCCCGCAAGTGAAGGAAACTCCGTGTGGGGTTCCCCTTCTGGTCGTTTTAACGACCCGGCGCCGGGGGAGGAGGCCCGACTGGGGCGCCGGGACCCTCGGCGTCACCCTGTCACGGTCCAGCCTGCGACTTGGGGCCGGAGGGGAACGTGGCTTCTCGCCTTTTAAGATAAACGTTCCCCGCCCTCGCCGGTTTGGCTGGGCGGATAGGGCGTCGGCCTGGGCGCCAGTCCCGGGTTCGATTCCCCAGCCAAGGGCACCTGCCCGGGGTGCGGGGGCTCCATCCCTCCCCAGTGCGGGCCGGGCAGGAGGCAGCCGGGCAGTGATGGTCTGTCTTCATGGATGTTTCTCCCTCTCTCCCTTCCTCTCTGAAATTATATATAATTTTAAATTTATACATATGTAAATACATATATATAACTTTTTAAATTAGCCTTACCGATGTCTTATTGAAATATGTGTGTGTGTGTGTGTGTGTGTGTGTATATATATATATATATATATATATATATATATATATATATATATATATTTCAATAAGACATGCATAAGGCTAATTTAAAAAGTTTTATATATGTATATTTCACAAGAAGACATGGATAAGGCTAATTTAAAAAGGTATATGTGTGTGTGTGTGTGTGTGTATATATATATATATATTTCAATAAGAAGACATGCATAAGGCTAAGTTAGAAAGTTTTATATATATTTCATAAGAAGACATGAATAAGGCTAATTTAAAAAGGTATATGTATGTATGTATATATATATGTTTCAATAAGAAGACATGCATAAGGCTAATTCAGAAAGGTGTACTTTAAAATGCATAAATAAATAAAATGAAAGTTACACGACAATTTGATATTAAAGTAAGCCGGTCCCCTCCTTGGGGCTCCGAGCCCGATGTCCTGGGCGCTGGCTCTGCTCCCAGGGGACGTCCCCTGGGCCGCGGGTGGTGGGGCGGGCCAGGCCTCAGCGCCCACCCCCGCAGGTCACTCCGGGCACCGCCTGGCACCCAGCGGGGCAGTGGCTGCGGCGCTGGGGGGCGGGGAGCTGCTCTCCTTTGGTTTTGCTTCCGGGCGAAGCCTCACCCAGGTGCGTCCCTTCACCTGCTCTCCCTGGGAGAGCTGACCTCCCCTTGGCCGCCTCTGCCCCTGCAGCGTCCCCCCTCCCTCTGCAGCGGGGATACTGCTCCCTGGGCTCCTGCTGTGGGGGTGTGTTGGGGGGGAGGGGGTGTTCCTTCTTTCCCGGCTTCCCACTAAGGGGCCTGCGAGGCCTCCCCTAGCTTTGAAGGGCCCAGAGCCCCATCTCTCTGACCAGCGGCAGCAGCAGGTGTGGCCAATGGACGGGGCTCGTCGGCCCCCGATGCCCCAGACCACCTGCGTCTCACCAGGTGCTGCTCACACCCTCTCTCCTTCCTCCCTGCCTCCCTGGCCCCTGCGCCAGGCTGGGCAGCCCCCTCTGAACATAGGGGTGTTTATGTCCTTTCTGATTTGTGTTTCTAATTTTGGGGGATACATTCCTAGAAGTGGAATTACTGGGTCAAACGGGAGTTCCATCTTTAATTGTTTTAAGGAAGTCCATACTGTTTGCCCACAAGTGGCTGCACCAGTCTGCATGCCCACCAGCAGTGCGCGAGGCTTCCTTTGTCTCCGCATCCTCGCCAGCACGTGGCGATTGTTTGATGATAGCCATTTTGACAGGTGTCATTTCATTGTCATTTTGATTTGCATCTCTCAGATGATTAGTGACTTTGAGCATGTTTGCATATGTCTCTTGGCCTTCTGTATGTCCTCTTTCGCAAAGTGTCTAAGTTCTTTGCCCATATTTTTATTGGGTGGTTAATCTTCCTTTTGTTAAGTTGTGTGAGTTCCCTATAAATATTGGAGATTAAACCCTTAGCGGATATGACTTTGGCAAATGTGTTCTCCCCTCGCCGTAGGCTCTCGTTGTTTTGTTGATGGTTTCTTTGCTGTGCAGAAGCGTTTTATTTTGATGTTGTCCCATTTGTTTATTTTTCTCCTAGTTTTCTCTTGCCTTAGGAGCTATATGTAAAGTTGTTATTATGACATATGTCTGAATGCCTATGGATTTTTCTAAGTTTTTTTATGGTTTCCTATCTTACATTTCAGTCCTTTATCTATCTTGAGTTTATTTTTGTGTATGGTGTAAGTTAGTGATCTAGTTTCATTTTTTTTATTTTTTGTTTTTGCATGTGTCTGTCCAATTTTTCCAACTTTATTTATGGAAGAGACTATCTTTTTAAAAAATATATATTATTGATTTTTTACAGAGAGGAAGGGAGAGGGAGAGAAAGTTAGAAACATAGATGAGAGAGAAACATCAATCAGCTAGCTGCCTCATGCACACCCCCTACTGGGGATGTGCCGGCAACCAAGGTATATGCCCCTGACCGGAATCGAACCTGGGACCCTTGAGTCTGGAGGCCGACGCTCTATCCACTGAGCTAAACAGATTAGGGCAAGGAAGAGAATATCTTGCCTCTATTGTATGCTCCTTTGTCAAATAATAATTGAGCGTAATGGCTTTGGTTGGTTTCTGGGTTCTCTGTTCTGTTCCATTTGGTCTATATGTCTGTTCTTGTGCCAGTACCAGGCAGTTTTGAGAACAGTGGCTTTGTAAGATAGCTTAATATCTGGTATTGTGATTCCTCCAACTTTGTTCTTCCGTCTCAGGATTGCTTCAGCTATTCAGGGTATTTTTTTATTCCAGATGAACTTTTGGAGAGTTTGCTCTAGATCTGTGAAATATTGCATTGGTATCTTGTGGAAACCCCTTTCACGTCCCGTGTGGTCCGGCGTGGTCCGGCGTTCAGGGTTCAGGTTCTGAAGGAGGTCGCACACAAATGAAAGAAACAAGAAATGTATTAATTTGGGAATTGGGGGTCAGGTGGAAGCCCAAGAGAGGACTACAATCCACTCTGGCCTTGCCATCCCTTTTATTAAGATTATGGGATGCATCCATAGCCTTTAGGCAGGCAATTCCAATCATAGCCAATAAGCAAGAATTTACACAGGACTAACAGGTCAAGGCTGCTTCAGCTACAAATGTCTTAACTAAACAGTGAGTGATGCTGAAACCAGTTTGGCTCAATGGATAGAGTGTCGGCTTGGGAACTGAAGGGTCCCGGGTTCGATTCCGGTCAAGGGCATGTACCTTGGTTGCGGGCATATCCCCAGTGGGGGGTGTGCAAGAGTCAGCTGATCGATGACTCTCTCTCATTGATGTTTCTCTCTATCTCTCTCCCTTCCTCTCTGTACAAAATCAATAAAAAATATATTAAAAAAATAAATAAAAATAAATAAACAGTGAGTGATTAGCTCTGACCTTCCAGAGCTTCCAAGATTAACCAGCTTTCCCGTTCCTTGTCCACACTTTTCTGCTAGTGGGACAATGATCGGTTTCCAACAGTATCTTAATGGGGATTGCACTGAATCTATAGGTTGCTTTGGGTAGTATGGACAGTTTAATGACGTTGATTCTACCAACCCATGAACACGTTGTATCTTCCATTTGTTTATGTCTCCCTCTATCTTTTTTTTAAACGTCCTATAGTTTTCCAAAAACAGGTCTTTTACCTCCTTTGTTAAGTTTATTCTTAGGTATCTTAATTTTTTTGTTTCAACGGTAAATGGGACTTAAAAAAAATTTTTTTTTAGTTTTCCTTCCTGTGAGTTCATTATTGGTGTATAAAAAAGCCATAGAGTTCTGGGTGTTAATTTTGTATCCTGCTACATTGCTGAATTCATTTATTAAGTCTAGTAATTTTTTGATGGAGTCTTTGGGGTTTTCTATGTACAATGTCATGTCATCTGCGAATAATGACAGTTTTACTTCTTTTTCAACTTGGATTCCTTTTATTTCTTCTTCTTATCTGATCGCTATGTCTAGCCCTTCCAATATGATGTCAAACAGGAGTGGTGAGAGTGGGCATCCCTTCTTGTTCCTGTTCTAGGGGGAATGGTTTTAGTTTTTGCCCATTGAGTATGATGTTGGCTGTAAATTTGTCATATATAGCCTTTATCATGTTGCTATATGCTCCCTGTGTTCCCACTTTGCTGAGAGTTTTTAATCAAAGATGAGTGTTGGATTTTGTCAAATGCTTTTTCTGAGTCTATTGACATGGTCATGTGATTTTTGTCTTTCATTTTGTTTATGTGATGTATCACATTTATTGATTTGCAAGTATTGTACCAGCCTTGCACCCCTGGAATAAATCCCACTTGATCATGGTGTACGACTAATATATTACTGGATGAGATTTGTTAGTGTGTTATTGAGGATTTTAGCATCTGTGTTCATTAGGGATATTGGCCTGTAATTCTCTTTCTTTGCAGTGTCTTTATCTGGTTTTGAAATTAGGATAATGCTGGCGTCATAAAAAGAGTTTACAAGTGTTCTTCCTCTTGAATTTTCTGAAATAGTTTGAGAAGTATTGGTGTGAGTGCTTCTTTGAATGTTTGGTAAAACTCCCCCATGAAGCCGTCCAGACCTGGGCTTTTGTTTGGTGGAAATTTTTTATTTCTGCTTTTATTTCATCAGTTGTTACAGGTTTGTTTTTTTTTTGTTTTTTTAATTCTTCGTGATTTAGTTTTGGAAGATTGTATTTTCGTCCACATTGTCCACCTCGTTGGCATATAGTTGTTCATAGTGTTTGCTCACAGTCCTTTGGATTTCTGTGGTGTCAGTGTTACTTCTCCACTTCATTTTCTGGTTTTATTTATTTGGTCCTCTCTCTCTGTTTCTTGATGAGGCTGACAAATGGTTTATCAATTTTGTTTATCCTTTCAAAGAACCTGCCCTTGGTTTCACGGATTTTTTTTTAATTATTATTATTATTATTATTATTTTTAGTCTCTATGGTACTTATTTCTGCTCGAATCTTTACTATTTCCTTCCTTCTACTTGCTCTGGGCTTTTCTTATTATTCTCTTTCTAGCTCTTTAAGTTGTAGGGTTAAGTAGTTTACTGCCTGTTTGTTTGTTTTGAGGAATTCCTGTAGTGCCAGGAACTTCCCTCAGAGGGCTGCTTTTGCTGAGTCCCAGAGATTTGGAGTTGTTATGTGTTCCATTTTCATTTGTTTTCAGGAAGTTTTTTACTTTTTCTTGATCTCATTGGTAACCATTCATTGTTTAATAACATGCTATTTAGTCTCCATGTTTTAGATGTTTTGGGGCGTTTTTACTGTAGTTGATTTTATTCTACTATGATACCATCTTGAACTTATAGAGACTCGTTTTGTGTTCTAACATGAGGTCTGTCTTTGTGAATGATCCATGTGCTCTTGAGAAGAACGTATATTCTGCTGCACTGGGGAGAAATGTTCTATAAATGTCAGTTAAATCCGTCTGATCCATTGTGTCATTTAGAGTCGCTGTTTCCTTGTTAAGTTTTTGTCTGGAAGATCTATCCAGTAAAGTCAGAAGGGTGTTAAAAGTCCCCTACTATGACTGTATTATTGTCAATTTCTCCGTTAAAGTCCTCTAGAAGTTTTTTTTTTAATTTTTTTATTATTATTTTTTTTATTTAAGTGTGCCTCTATTGGGTGCGTATATATTTACCAGAGTTATATCCTCTTGTTGGGTTGATCCCTTTAGTTTTATGTGGTGACCTTTGTTGTCTCTTGTGATGGCTTTCATTTTAAAGTCTATTTTGTCAGATATGAGTATTGCTACTCCAGCTTTTTTTTCTTTTCCATTTGCATGGAAAAAAATTTCCTATCCCTTCACTCTCATCCTGTGTGTGTCTTTGTTTCAAGGTATGTCTCTTGTAGGCAGCATATAGTTGTGTCATGTTTTTGTATCTACTCGACTACCCACCTTTTGATTGGAGCATGTAATCCATTTACACTCAGGTTTATTTTTGAGAGGTATTTACTTATTGCTGCTTTAATTCTGTATGGCTAGGTTTCTCTCTCTGTTCTCATTACAGCAATCCTTTTCGCATTTCTTGTAATGCTGGCTTGGTGGTGATGAACTCCTTTAACCTTTTTTTGTCTGGGAAGTTCTTTATTTGACTGTCTATTTTGAATGATAGCCTTGCTGGATATAGTAATCTTAGTCTCAAATCCTTGCTTTCCCTTATGTTGAGTACTTCATGCCATTTCCTTCTGGCCTATTGAGTTTCTGGTGAGTTTGTTTGTTTGGTGTCAGCCTTATGGGAAGCCCTTTATAGGTAACAGTTTTCTCTTGCTGCCTTTTAGATGCTCTTGTCTTTAATTTTTGGATTTGAATTATTATGTGTCTGGGCGTGGGTCTGTTTGGGTTCTTCTTGTTTAGGGTTCTCTGTGCCTCCTGCACTAATGTGACTTTTTCCTTTCCCAGGTTAGGCAGGTTTTCTGCCATTATTTCTTCAAACACCTTCTCTCTGTCTGTCTCCCTTTCTGCCTCTCCTGGCATGCCTGCTATTCTAACATTGTTACATTTCATTGTCCCACAGCTCCCTTAAGCTCTCCTGTTTTTTTTCTTTTTGGTTCTCTGATTGAGTAATATTTTCACCTCTGTCTTCTAATTCACTAATTTGATCCTCAGCTTCCCCTAATCTGCTGTGTATTCCTTCCAATGTGTTCTTTATTTGTTACTTTATTCTTTATCTCAAACTGTACTTTTTTCATTGTTACTGCCAGTATATCTTTTTTCATGCTGTTGAGCATTTTTACCATCATTATTCTGAACTCTGATTCAGTTAAATTTCTTATCTCTGCTTCATTTATTTCTTCTTTTGGAGAATTCTCTTTCTTTTGGGGTTTGTTTCTTTGTCTCCATGTGGCTTTCTGTTTGGGGTTTGTGCCTATGTATTAGGTAGATCCTAAGCATGTCAAACTCAAAGGCTAACATGGGTCTAATGAGGCATGCAACCTGTGGGCTGCGAGTTTGACATGCTTGCTCTGCACCTCAATCTCTAGTGCAGGACAGCCCCCCTTCCCCCTTCCCCCCTGAGAGAGAGAATGGAGAGGGGGGGAGAGGGAGAAAAACATTGATGTGAAAGAGAAACATCCCATTCACACACCCTGACCAGGGCCAGGGATCCAGCCTTCAACCAAGGTATATACCATACCCTCGCCTGGGAATAAAGGGGAATTGAACCCAAGGCTCTTTGGTCTGTGATGTAATGCTCTAACCACTGAGCAAACCAGCCAGGGTGGTAAATATTTCTCTTAGTGTGTCAGAGGTAGTGGCTCACGCAGTTGGTTTCCCGTTTGCTTTCCAGTGAGGTGATTGCGGAGGATTCCATACTGTGTCTCCAGAAAGCCCTGAGTCACCTTCGGGAGATATGGGAACTGATTGGGATTCCCGAGGACCAGCGGCTACAGAGAACTCAGGTGGTGCACAAGCATATCAAGGTGAGCTTCCTGCTGGTGCCTTTGCAGTAGGACATGGGTCTTAAATTTTTGAAATGATTGGTGTTTTGGTGTTACTTGTTGTTTGGGGGTTTTTTCCCCCCCTAGTTCCAGATTTTATGGGGCTGTCTTCTCTCTGGTAGGACCTCCTGGACATGATGATTGCTGAAGAGGAGAGTCTGAAGGCGAGGCTCATTAAAAGCATCGGCAACTGTCAGAAGGAGCTGGCTGTCTTGTGCAGCGAGCTGCACGTTGAGCCGTTTCAGGTACACAGCGTCGGGGCCCCCATCTGGGTCTGAGATTGAGGCAGGAGCTCAGTGGAGGGTTTCTGGGTCAGGGTGGTCCTGGACACGAAGTACGAAGTGGGGGAAATGTGCTGCCTAGCAACCAGTTCCAGCAGTCATTTTTTATTTTTTTTATTTTTTATTGATGTCAGAGAGGAAGGAAGAGGGAGAGAGAGAAACACCCATGATGAGAGAGAATCACGGATCGGCTGCGTCCTGCAAGTCCCCCACTGGGGATCAAGCCCACAACCTGGTCATGTGCCCTTGATCAGAATCGAACCTGGACCTTTCGGTTCCCAGGCCGACGCTCTAGCCACTGAGCCACACCAGCTAGGGCCCAGCAGTCATTTTTACTGGCATAACGAGTTGCCCTGTTGAGAGGTGAAGCAGCTAATTTCTTTTTTTGAGAGTTTGTTTATTAAAGCTGGGGACCGCAAAACAAGAAAGGGCCCAGGATAGAAGAAATAGGAGAGAGTCTCATGGGAGCTGTTTTGGGAAGTTAGAGAAAAGGGGGCCATGAAGACAGGTGCAGGGGGTTGGCCCGGGACAAGACCCTGCCCATTGCTCCCCTGATTGTAGGTCTCCTGGGCACTCTTAGAGTCCGGAGATGCCCCCTGAGGGAGAGGTGTGGCTGTGCTCCCAGGAGGGACAGCTTGCCAGAGTGATTCCGCTATGAGTGTTGGCAGTACTTTAGTCTAAAACACTTTCTCTTGCTATCAGTCTGTGAGGCATATACTACAACTTTTTATTTTATTTTATTATTTTAATATATTTTATTGATTTTTTTACAGAAAGGAAGAGAGAGGGACAGAGAGTCAGAAACATCGATGAGAGAGAGTCATCCATCAGCTGCCTCTTGCACACCCCCTACTGGGGATGTGCCCGCAACCAAGGTACATGCCCTTGACCGGAATCAAACCCGGGACCTTTCAGTCCACAGGCTGACGCTCTATCCACAGAGCCATACCAGTTTCGGCTCAACTTTTTATTTTTAACTCTCAGGAAAAGTTAGGCAGAGATGATACTGTGCCATGGACTGATTTATTTGTAAGTCGTCCTACTCTTCCTTTGAGGAAATGCACTTGGAACTTGTAACAATGGTACACCCTCTCCTACAGGAGGAAGGCGAGCCGACCATCTTGCAGCTAGAAAAAGACCTGCGCACTCAGGTGGAGCTGATGCGCAAACAGAAGAAGGAGAGGAAACGGGAACTGAAGCTACTTACGGAACAGGATCAAGAGCTGTGTGAGGTGCTCTGCATGCCGCCCTATGACATCGACAGCGATGCTGTTCCCAGCCTGGAAGAGCTGAACCAGTTCAGACAGCATCTGGCAACTCTGAGGGAAACAAAGGTACACCCCTCGCCTCCATACTTCCTCAAAGTCAGTTTGACTTCCCTGTGGGCGTCTGCTGATCATTCGATTTGACAGGCGTCTCGGCGTGAGGAGTTTGTCACCATCAAAAGACAGATCATCCTGTGTATGGAAGAGTTAGATCACACCCCAGATACAAGCTTCGAAAGAGACGTGGTGTGCGAAGACGAAGATGCCTTTTGTTTGTCTTTGGAAAACATTGCAGCGCTACAGAAGTTGCTACAGCAGGTAACGGCTATTCGGAACATGGCCTGCGATCTCATCTCCATAGTATCCAGCAATTTGAAAAAAAAAAAAAGGGGGCAGTTTATTTTCCCCTACAGTGTTTTTTAGGACCCAATGTAGGTTAAGAGAATGAGGGAGGGAGGATGAAGATAGTATATGATATACAACCATGATTTTTTTAAACACAAAACTTAATTTATATGTAACCCTAAGAACATGAAATTAAAATGATGGATGAAATAATAGTCATTGAATTAGTGTTTAATTGAAAAAAACATTTTTTTAATCTTTATTGTTGAGATTATTACAGATGTCCCTCTTTTTTCCCCCTATTACCTCCCTCCACTGGAAAAAAAATTTTTATTTCAAAATTTGCATCCTAATTCTTTGGAGTGTGAGATCCTGCTATAAATGACAGACTTAAGTTTGTGTTCAGAAGTCATGAAAACACCTCTCCACAGTCTTATAACAGTACTTACTCCGCTCGGGTCCAGATACTGCTTTCTGGGAAGCCAGAGGGCTAGCCTCGGCTGCTGCCTTCGCGCTAACCACTGTCTCTCCTTCCACAGCTGGAAGTGCGGAAATCGCAGAACGAAGAAGAGTGTGAGGGGCTGCGAGCTCAGATCCGGGAGCTGTGGGACAGACTGCAGATTCCGGAAGAAGAGAGAGAAGCTGTTGAGGCCATGGCTATGGATGGGTCGAAGGCCAAAGTTAAGAAAGCGGTAGGAAACCCATAGGGCGTGGGTCCGTAGTCTCTACAGGCGTTTTTAAAAATTTTATTTGTTTATTGATTTATTTATTTTTTTTTTTTACAGAGAGGAAGGGAGAGGGATAGAGAGCTAAAAACGTCGATCAGCTGCCTCCTGCACATTCCCCACTGGGGATGTACCTGCAACCAAGGTACATGCCCTTGACAGAATCAAACCCGGGACCCTTCAGTCCACAGGCTGATGCTATATCCACTGTGGTTAGGGCCCGAAGGCATTTTTATGTGTGATCTCATGTCCTTACCAAGGTCTGCCTTGAACAAGTCTCTTGTTGTTGTTAATCCTCACCCAAGTCTATTTTCTCCATTGATTTTTAGAGAGAGTAGAAGACAGGGAGAGAAACATTGATGTGATAGAGACACATGAATTAGTTGCCTTCACATGCACCCTGACAGATTGGTGATCAAACCAGCAACCCAGGTACCTGCATTTGACCAGGAATCAAATCAGACCCTTGGGTGCACAGGCTAACGCTCTAACCACTAAACACACTGGCCAGGGCGAGCAAGTCTATTTTAAAGCAAGCATCAGAAAAAGGTGGCAGTAACCCACTTATCTTTTATCTTTCTGTACCTTTCTTAGGTTTCTGGCTCCTTTGATAACATTGTGAGAGTGTCCACTTACCCCTGTGATCTTGTGCAATAATTTTACTTACAAAGGAGAAATTTTTGCCCTAGTCAGATTGGCTCAGTAGATAGAGCGTCGGCCTGCGAACCAAAGGGTCCCTGTTTGATTCTGGTCAAGAGCATGTACCTCGGTTGTAGGCTCTTCCCCGGCCCGGGCCCTCATTGGGGCTTGTGCAGGAGACAAACCAACCAATGTGTTTCTCTCCCATCGATGATTCTCTCTTGTCTCTCCCTCTTCCTTTCACTCTCCCTAAAAAAAAAAAAAAAAAAAAAAAAGGAAAAATATCCTTGGCCCTAACCAGTTTGGCTCGGTGGATAGAGGGTCAGCCTGCTGACTGAAGGGTCCCAGGTTCAATTCCAGTTAAGGGCACATGCCAAGGTTTCGGGCTCAATCCCCAGTAGGGGGCATGCAGGAGGCAGCTGATCGATGTTTCTCTCTCATCATTGGTGTTTCTGTCTCTCGCTCCCTCTCCCTTTCTCTCTGAAATCAATAACAATATATGTTTTTAAAATATCCTTGGGTGAGGATTAACAAAAATAAATAAATAAATATGGGAGATTTTTGCAAAGCTCTGAATGTAATGTAGAACAAGCTCCTTGACCAGATATCTGTGTTTCAGCTGCAATTGGAAGTGGATCGCTTGGAGGAACTGAAAATGCAAAACATGAAGAAAGTGATTGAGGCGATACGCGTGGAGCTGGCCAAGTACTGGGACCAGTGTTTCTACAGCCAGGAGCAGAGGCAGGCTTTCGCTGCGTACTATGACGGTCAGTGCCGCAGCGCTGGCCTTATATTTACATATACTTGTGAAGAAGTGCAGGTGTTCACCAGAAAGTTTCCTCTGCTGAGCAGATAAAGCTGCCTTTTCAAGCCTCTCACCATGAGTTGCCATTCCTGCATCAGTGAGCATTTGCAGATGCTTCTGGGAAATAAGAGATGTTTTGATCTCTGAAGCAGCTTATCACTGACGCTCAAGTTTATCAGCGCTTGGTGTTTGCCAGGTGCAATGGCAAACTTAGCAATAATATCTCAATCTCAAGTGAAGAGATGAGGACACAAAGGTGCATGACTGTTGAGCAACCTGAAGCAGAGGCACAGCGGGTAAAGGGCAGAGCTCACATGTAAGGCCACAGAGTCTGACCCTGGAGCCCACAGAATCCTAGTCTGACCTGAACTGAGTATAAAGATGAGTTACCTACTAAATCCCACCTTGGGGACATGTTCTGTGACCCACACCTCTCCTGAGCAGGGAGGAAACGAAAGATGTGAAAGAAAGCTAAGAGAAGGCGAGAGATGACACAGAAGTTTGCGAATCTTAGTCATTTTGGTCCCCACTTTAGGTCCTTACTCCGTGGTCCCTCCAGGCTCACGGTGCCAAACCCGATTTTTATTATCCACAAGGTATACCTATTCATGGAGCATCTTTAGTGAAGAATGATCTAGTTCCAGTTTAGGGATGAGGGGTTGGAAAGTAAGATGCTGAACGCTAGGGGGATTTTTGAAACTCCTGGGCTTCCGTCTTGCAGAGGACTACACAGAAAGCCTGCTCCAGGCGCACGACGCTGAGGTGGCGCGGCTGAGGAACTACTTCGAGGTCCACAGAGGGCTCTTCGAAGGCGTGCAGAAGTGGGAGGAAAGCTGGAGGCTTTTCTTGGAGTTTGAGGTACTGCCCTCGCTTTCCCGCTTCCCTCAGGGCAGCGGAGTATTATATTAAAGCACGTCCTTGCCCTGGCCGGTTTGGCTCAGTGGTTAGAGCGTCGGCCTGCGGACCTAGGGAAGATCACTTAGGGAAACTTTTTTTTTTTTTTTTTAAATATATTTTATTGATATTTTACAGAGAGAAAGAAGGGAAAGAGAGAGAGAGCTAGAAACGTTGATGAGAGAGAAACATCGACCAGCTGCCTCTTGCACACCCCCAACCAGGGATGTGCCCACAACCAAGGTACATGCCCTTGACCGGAATCGAACCTGGGACCTTTCAGTCCGCAGACCGATGCTCTACCACTGAGCCAAACCGGTTTCGGCGGGAAACTTTTTTTTTATAGACGTGTGAGGCGTGTGGGGAAGGTCTGCCACTGCGTCTACAGATGCTTATGGCGTACAGTGGGTTAATAATCTACATCTGGGTATGACAGCAAGGAGCCCTAGCAGAAGCGATGGGTCTGCCTGCCTGTCCCAGGGTTTACTCTGATTCAGATGTATTTCCACAGAGAAAAGCCTCTGATCCAAGTCGGTTTACAAATCGCGGAGGGAATCTTCTGAAGGAGGAAAAGCAGCGAGCCAGGCTCCAAAAAACACTCCCGAAGGTAATAGAGGCAATGGTTTGGGTGCTTGGCTACAAAATACCTCACTTCTTGTGGATTCTTCGCTTTGAATCATTTGCCCCAAGCTTTTCTTTCAAAGGATAAGGAACACTGGGCTGTATGTCAGGCTGTTCAGGCGATAACACAGAGCAAGCTCTTTATCTGAGCAACTTCCGTGGGCTCAAGTGTCTTCCCTATCTTAATAATAATTATAATTATAATAATAATAATAGTATTTACTGAACGAAGGGCCAGGTATTATTTCCAAGTGCTTCCTCTTTTTGCAGGTGAGGAAACGGGGCGCTGGGAAGTTAAGTAGTTTGCCCATTTTTCCCAGCTCGCAGGAGGCAGGTCCCAGGCCTGACCCAGACGGTGCTGCCCTCACTGCCCGCCATCCCCTCACTTTCAGCACCAAAACCCCTGGCAGCGCCGGGCCTGTGTGTTGGGAACAAGCCATCCCTCGCCTTTGATTTCAGCTACTCTGACATTTCCCCACGTGGCTCTGGCTCCCGAGTCAGCCTGATGCTCTGGGGAAGGAGTGATCATTTTAAGGGGAAATTATTTCCTTCATTTGAAGTAAATAACACGTGCTTAGCTCTGACCTGTTTGGCTCAGTGGATAGAGCGTCGGCTTGTGGACTGAAAGGTCCCAGGTTCAATTCTGGTCAAGGGCATGTACCTTAGTTGCGGGCATATCCCCAGTGGAGAGTGTTCAGGAAGCAGCTGATCAATGATTCATAGATGTTTCTAACTCTTTTCCTCTCCATTCTTCTCTGTAAAAAAAAAAAAAAAATAGCCCTAACCAGTTTGGCCTAGTGGATAAAGTGTCAACCTGCGGACTGAAAGGTCCCAGGTTTGATTCCGGTCAAGGGCATGTACCTTGGTTGCGGGCACATCCCCAGTGGGGGGTGTGCAGGAGGCAGCTGATCGATGTTTCTCTCTCGTCGATGTTTCTGACTCTATTCCTCTCCCTCTCCCTTCCTCTCTGTAAAAAATCAATAAAAAATATATTTTTAAAAATAAAATAAAATAACATGTGCTGTGTCTGGTCTCAGCTGGAAGAGGAATTGAAGGCCCAGATTGAAATGTGGGAACAGAAGCACTCGTCAGCATTTGTGGTCCGCGGGCAGAAATTCATGGAGTATGTGGCTGAGCAGTGGGAGATGCATCAGTTAGAGAAAGAGCGAGCCAAGCAGGAACGGGTACGTGGGCCCCGTTTGGGAAGAGGGAAGGGGGGTCATGTGAGCGGCCCAGACCTGCTCTCTCCGGATGTGTCACTGTCGCTCTGACTGTCACACAGCAACTGAAGAACAAGAAGCAGACGGAGACAGAGATGCTGTACGGCAGCACTCCCAACAAGCGGCGGGGAATGACGCCCACCACCCCGGGCAAAGTGCGCAGGGTAAGGGGGCTCCCCGCCACTGGTGGTGAGGCGGGTGGAGGGCGGGCCAGGCTGGCTCCTGCCATCTCTCCGGCAGAGATTGTCCTGCAGGGATGGGGAGGGTCTTTGGAGACTTTCCGTTGAGTCCATTTGAGATGTACAATATATAAAAGCCATTTTAATTTTAATTTTTTTATTACTTTTAAAAAATCTGTTTTACTGATTTTTTACAGAGAAGAAGGGAGAGGGATAGAGAGCTAAAAACATCAATGAGAGAGAAACATCCATCAGCTGCCTCCTGCACACCCCCTACTGGGGATGTGTCCGCAACCAAGGTACATGCCCTTGACCGGGATCGAATCCGGGACCCTTCAGTCTGCAAGCCAACACTCTATCCACGGAGCCAAACCCATTTCGGCCCATAATTTCTTTCATTTAGCGTAATTTGGAGAGATTGATCATGGTGTCGCTTGCATCAGAAGGTCATACTTCCTGTTGTTGAGCAGTATCCACTGTATGACTTCACTGTGGTTGGCTTATCCATGTGCCTACCCATGAATATTTTGGCTTGTTTCTGGTTGTTTGCTATTGCAGACAAAGCTGCTATAAATATTTATGACTGAGTCTGTATGGAGCTGTGCTTTCCTTTCTCCTGGGCTGGGTCATATGATAGGTGTCTGTCTAATTTTAGAAACAGGTGATTATGCCATTTTATAGTTCCATGTACTATACATAAATAGGCCTTGAACACTTTTCACAAGTTTCTTCAAAGCTCTTTATGGAAACGCATCTTTGTTAGTCTGCTGCCCAGACTCCTTTCTCTGAGTCTGGGGGTGGATCGCTGAGCATGTTACCTGAATGAGTAACTCTCTGTTCTCCTCAGCTGAACACCACCACCATGTCCAATGCCACGGCCAACAGCAGCATCCGGCCTGCCTTTGGGGGGACAGTCTACCGCTCCCCCGTGTCTCGACTCCCGCCTTCTGGCAGCAAGGTTAGTGCGTTCTGCATAAAGCCCGTCCCCAGCACCAGCCCAGCCTGTTTACCCCGGGACCCTGCCTGCTGGTTCCGGTTTCTCAGACCCCCGGACTCCGTTATCACTGAGATGCAGCAGGTGGCAGCTGCAAGCTGGTTCATCTAGAACCGAATGAGAGAGAGAGAAGAGCGTGGCCATGCTGAGCCCCACTAGTGTCATGGGGGAGCCCTGGGGGTCTCACAGGCTCGGTTCAGAGTCAGGGCTTCCGTGGCTGCTGAGCACGGGCCCTGCACGTGGGTATCAGCCCTGACACGGGTCACTAGGCAGTCAGGTCCCCTTTAAGGAGACAGATGGGGAGTCTGTGCTGTAATGTGTTTAACAGATGATGCCCAAGATAGGTGTTCTGAAAATCATTAAGAGTTTTTTTTTGTTTTTTTTGTGTGTGTGTTTTTTAAATATATATTTTATTGATTTTTTACAGAGAGGAAGAGAGAGGGATAGAGAGTTAGAAACATCGAAGAGAGAATCAATCAGCTGCCTTCTGCACACCCTCTACTGGGGATGTGCCCGCAACCAAGGTACATGCCCTTGACTGGAATCAAACCCGGGACCTTTCAGTCTGCAGGCCGACGCTCTATCCACTGAGCCAAATAGTTTGGGCCAGACTTTTTTTATTGTTTGTTTTTTACATCAGAAGTGCTGTATAGGATTTCCGACACCTGAGTGATATTAAGATGGTATAGTGAGTGTGTGTGGCCATTCTCAGAGTACCATTCCGATCTCTCCTTTCCCTGCAGCCAGTCCTCACTGCCACCTGCTCAGGGAAGAAAAACCCCCGTGCTGGTCGTCACGGAGCCAACAAGGAGAACATGGAGCTCAACGGCAGCCTGCTGAGCGGTGGGTACCCCGGCTCGGCCCCCCTCCAGCACAACTTCAGCATTAGCTCTGTTGCCAGCACCTATTCTGAGTTTGCGGTAATTGACCTTTTCTCATATCTGCCAGTCTCTGGGAGCACACAGTTGGGGCAGTGGGCATCTTCCTGTGGGGCCCAGGCTCTTAGCTGGGACAGCGTTTTGGAGGCTGAGAATCCCTTTCCCGCTTTGACCGTGGCCTGGGGTGGGCCGGTTCGGGAGGGGGTACGTAGGAAGGTGACAGCAGCAGCAGACATGTGACCTGGATCCTTCTGCTTAAGAAATACCACTCCCTGGCTGCAGGAGGCGACCTTTCGCATCCCTGCCCTGGTGCTCTCTTGGTGGAGTTCTTGGTAATTGTCTTAATTCTCTGTCCTTAGAAGGATCCGTCCCTCTCTGACAGCTCCACTGGTGGGCTTCAGGTCTGTATGGCAACCCCTGCATGTCCGGCGTCCCTTTCTCAACCCGGTCTGTCATCTGCTGGCTTCATTCCGATCTGGGCTCGGGGCTACACTAACCAGTAAGAGTCAGCTGTGCAGCCACAGGCCTTTTTACAAAGGAGGCAGGCGTTCCCGAGGCAGACGGCATAACCTGCCCCCGGCTCATTCCTGCACCCTAACCTGCCGATTAACAAGAAATCTCATGCAGACGGAATTGGATTCTCAGCCCCCCGTAGAGTCAGGCGTAGTTTTTGTATCGCATTACTCACAACAGGAAGCTTTCACCGTCCCCATGGTGACGTCAGAGGCCCCCACGTGCTGGAAAGAATAGTGGCCGTGGCCGTGGCCTGGGAGGGGAGCCCCAGCTGTGTGCTGCTTAGAACGAGGTGCTCGGCCTACGTGATGTTCTCCTGGAGTATGTGCCTTACTAACCCTCCGGGCTGGTGCCCCCTGTCTGTCCGCTCTGGGCTGGCCAACGCCATTTCCTCGTCTTCGCCTGTTCCTATCCCAGTGAGCTGCTAAAGCTAACGTGAGGCTGTGGAAGAGTCATTTCCCAGAATGCTCTTCAGCTCCTGCGGCCTCCATATTTGCCAGCACTTCCCTGCAGTGCCCTTTACGGAAGGGGTGTGCCCTCTTCTCTCAGTATCTTCCTGCTGAGGATGAGGCTGCCTTCCCCTCGGGATTGCTGGCTCAGGTGCCCGCTCGCTTCCTCCTGGGAGTTGGAGAATGGCCCCGTTGTCCATGGCTTCAGCTCACTCTGAGCCCTGAAGTTAGCTTCCTATTCTGGCACTTCTTTCAAGTCACATGATGGCTGTGGTTCTCCCTGGGTGCGCTCTGGCTATAGCTGAATCCTGGACCAAGGGTCCAGGCGTCTCTCTTGGGCTTGCTCAGTCAAGCCCCATGTCACCCACTGGGAGCGCACCTATCCCTGCCTCCTGTGGTCAGGCCTCAGGAGGTGCGTGTGGTTTTGGTGGCTGTGAATGAGCCTTCCTCGGGCCGCACTGCAGACAGGAGACTAACCGCTACTAACTCCTATCCTTGTCAAGGTCCTCTGTGCTCTCTCCTCCTCTGTACCATGTGCTCCAGCATGAGATCAGATCACCAGGTTACAAGGCCCTCAGCCCCAGGGATTGGTAGATATGTGGTCTGGCCCTGGTTTTATAAAGGCCTCAGACGCCAGAGCTTGTTGCCAACCCAGCTCAGCAACTCAGAGGGCTCCCTCTTCTGTGGGGTTTAACGGGTGGACTGGCTGCGGGGAGGGTCACGTGCTTAGCCTGTGACTAATAGAACGGCGCTCTGATGCCTCCCGTTCGTTCCTAACAGCCTGTGCTCTGCACCTGGGGCAGAGAAGCGGCCCTCAGGGCCTCACGCTGACACCTAACCCAAGCTGACGAGGGCGGGCATGCATGAAAGGGGATATTGCACTGACGGTGCTTATTTTCCCACAGCGAGAACTTTCAAAGGCCTCCAAATCTGACGCTACGTCCCGAATCCTCAATTCAACCAACATCCATCCCTAAGACGCCCTGACCAGCCAGCCGGGGCTTCCTGTGCCTAGCCTGGCGGCTCTCCTTCCTCCCTCCTCCCCGGCTGGGCGTGCTTGAAACCCTGGGCCGGCCCGCCACCACGGCCTGGCTTAGGGGTTGAAGCCCATCACAGGCCTGGCGGGTCCTTAGACACTTTGTTGGGATCTAGAAGTTTGCACATGTCAGTCCTGGGGCGCTGTCCCCGCTGCTCTGCACCCAGTGGGGCCCCATCCCGAGCTACTACCCTACTGGTCACTACGATTCTCGCCGAAGCACTATTATTTATTCCTGCCCCGCGCAGCCCGCTGTCAGAGCACTAAATGGTTCTCAGGCGTCCAGTGTGGCTCGGGCTGCACGCGGGGTCCTGCTGTCTTATCTGTGTATACTGGTCCTGTTGTAAAATATATATTTTTAACAATAAAGCAATGTGTGTGCTGCAAGATTACAAAAACGATAGGTTGTGTTTTCCAAATTCCCCAAATAAGGTTTTAGTCGCTTTGGTCTGTGAAAGCGGACATTTCTACTTCTCCTTGGAGATTTCTTTTTGTAATACTTAGTGTTTTGTGCATGTGTAAGTGAAGAGCATCTCTTCATCTTATAAAAAGGACTTAAAAATGTTTCCTGTTTTTATTTGGGGGGGAGGGGAAGGGATTGAGAGAGAGAAACATCAATTTGTGGTTCCACCTATTTGTGCATTCTTGTATGTGCCCCCATTGGGGATTGAGCCAGCCACGTTGGTGTATTGCGATGATTGAAGCTGCAACCAATGGAGCTACCTGGCCAGGGCTGATCAAAACAGGATTGTGAGAGTAAAAAAGTTTTGTTTTGTTTTTTTATATATTTTATTGATTTTTTTACAGAGAGGAAGAGAGAGGGATAGAGAGGTAGAAACATTCATGAGAGAGAATCATCGATCAGCTGCCTCTTGCACACCTCCCACCGGGGATGTGCCCGCAACCAAGGTACATGCCCTTGACCGGAATCAAACCAGGAATCTTTCAGTCCGCAGGCTGACGCTCTAGCCACTGAGCCACACCGGTTTTGGCAAGCCTAAGTCTTGATGTATAAAGGGATGAGTTAATGTTAGGAAACTTGTAGTTTCATTGGTATTTGCCATAAACAGGACTAGGTTTTATAGGGTGAAGCTGTGTGGCTTTTTTATTTTAAAAGAAATGAAAAATATAGGTTTAGTTTTAATGTTTTGGTTTTTTTTAATCATTTGTCTGTTTCAGTTGTACTTGACATTGAACATTGTTAGTTACAGGTGTCCAGTAGAGTGGTGAGCCATCTCTATAACTTCGGAAGAGATCTCCGAAGAGGCCAGTAGTGACCTGGGATTCGTGGATTCTTGCAGAAGCTATAGAACTGGGCAGAAGCCAGAGCGGTGGGGGGCAGGCTAGGAAAAAAGAACAAATAACGGTGCAGTGAGGCCTATCCTGGCAGAGGAAGGCAGGGTCTGAGTTGCTGGTGGGAATGTAAGATGCTGCAGAAAACCGTGTATGTGTATGTGCACCTATCCACGTTGTGGGGCGAAATGTTTATACCGTTAGGCCTCTCGGTGCAGGAGGTGAGTGTGCAAGAGGTACAGCGGGCCACCTTGGGGGTGAGAGGGAGCGGTGAGTGTGAGCCTGTGTACATGTGTGTCTGTCATTGGCCTGCACATTCACTTACCCACCAAGTCGACAGGCATCTGCTGACCCCGGACTCCGCCATCTGAAGATCTGCACACAGTCCCTGCCGTCCAGCTCAGACCAGCAGCAGCGCCCCCAGGCGGCGGTAAGTGCTGCGCGGAAAATGGCGCCTGCAAGGGGCGGGAGCTGCGTTAGCTGCGGTTAGGGAAGGCCAGTCCAGTGCGGTGACACTTAGGGGCATGAAAGGAGCCGGCCCTGCAAGCAGCTGGGCGAGGGTTGGAGGCAGGGGCACAGTGCGCCGGGACGACGGGGAGGTGGCTGGCTTCCCTCAGTGGGCGGCGGGACCGCTGGCGCCTGGAGCACAGCGCAGAGAGGAGCACAGCACAGAGAGGAGCACCGATGAGATCTAAGAGGAGGCTGGGCTCGGTCACCGGGGCTCAGGCGTGGTCAGGCTGCGGGTGATAGTTGTGTAGCAGTGGGAAGCCACCGGGTTTTGAGGCAGCGAGTAAGACGATCTGCTTTATGGTGCTGGATCAGTATGGCTTTTGGTGGAGAACAGACAGGGTCCGGGGTGGGGCACAGTGAAAGCAGAGAAACCAATCTTCGCATGTGCAAAGGCCCAGAGGCAGGGAGGGTGGGTGCCGAGCAGGGTCAGAAACAAGTCCTCCGAGGATGCAGCAGGCTGGGCGGGAGAAACGGGAAGTGTGGGCCGGGGAAGGGAGTTAAAGGGGAGGGACACGATCAGACTTGTTGGTTATGAAGCAAATGTAATGAGCACTATTTTACTGCCTACATTTTTCAAAAGTTTTATGGTTTCGATCACACATGGGCTTTAATGCACTTTGAGCTTATTATGTATGGTGTGAGAAGTTGGTCTAATTTCATCATCTTGCATGTTCGTTCAATTTTCCAACACCATTTATTGAAGAGACTGTCTTTACTCCATTGCGTGTTCTTGCCTTCTTTGTCATTTATTGGTTGACCGTAGAGGAGTGGTTATTTCTGGGCCCTGCATTCTGTTTCATGGGTGAATGGGTCTATTTTTATTCCTGCACCAGGCTATGGCCTTATAGTTTAGCATGGTGCCACCAACTCTGACGGTTAGGATCTCAAGGACCATGGGAGCCTCTTATGGGGCCGGTTTAAGGTGGCGTTTGCATTTTTGTTTTTATAATATCTTTTTTATTGATTTCAGAGAGGAAAGAAGAGGGAGAGAGAGATAGAAACATCCATGAGGAGAGAGAATCATGGATCGGCTGCCTGGGCATGTGCCCTCGACCGGAATCAAATTTACCCACTGAGCCACACCAGCCAGGGCTATAATTCTTATTTCATTGTTGGGGGTTGTTGCTAATCTCTTACTGTGCTTAATTTATAAATTACACGTTATCATAGGTATGTATGTATAGGGAAAAACGTGTACACACACACACATATATATATATATAGAGAGAGAGAGAGACAGTGAGTGTGTTTGGTACTATTCTGGGGATTGGGGGGCCTTGGAACGAAAATATATATATATATATATATATATATATTGATTTCAGAGATGAAGGGAGAGGGAGTTAGAAACATCAATAATGAGAGAGAATCATTGATCAGCTGCCTTCACATGACCCCCACCCGGGACTGAGCCTGCAACCTGGGCCTGTGCCTTGACTGGGATTTGAACCGTGACCTCTGGTTCATAAGTTGACGCTCAATCACTGACCCACACTGGCCAGGCAAGATCTGTTGACTCTTTTGAAGATAGGAAGGGGGTGTGATGTGACAAAGCAGAGACTGGAAATCTCAGCGTGCGTGTGTTTACGCGTGTGTGTGTTTACGCGTGTGTGTGTGTGTGTGGTAGGAGGGGGGCAAGGCGGAGTTGGGCCTTATTGCAGTGACAAGAGCCGCGACCTGCTGCCGGTAGGACTGCATTGTGGCCCCCAGGCCGGGGCACAGGATGCTCTGAGCTTTGCCCCCCTCCCCTCCATCCCTGCAAGGCCAGGAGCTGCCTGCTCTGCCCGCAGCAGCCCAGCTGCTCACCTCAGGCTGCCTTCGTGGACGGGGGGGGGGGGGGGGGGGCTCTGAGCGAGCGCCTCCAGGAGAGCGCGTCCGTGGGTGACATGGCCACGCGCCCTAGGGTCCCCCCTGGGCCTGGGCTCCCCGTCTGTGAAGTGGGGGTGACGGTGGCATTGCCTCCGAGGGGGATGTGAGGGCTGAGGGGGAACAGGGCCCAGCAGGCTGGGGGCGCGCAGGGAGTTGTAGTAACAGCGGCGATGTTCCGATCGTTAATTTATAAAGGGTCGGTGATTACAAGAGGGGGCCGCGTGGCTTGCAGGGGGCGTGCAGGCAGGGCTTGGCGCAGAGCAGCGCTGGGGGAGCCCAGGGGGCAGTTCCACAGCAGTGTGTGTGTGTGGTTTGCTGTAGGCCCGTGGAATGTGCCGTTGGTATTGGACGGTGGCTGCGTTGAATCTGTAGGTTGCCGTGGGCAGTGTGGGCATTTCAGTGACATTAACGCTAATTACAGCACCTCCCGGGTTTGTGAGGCGCCCTGGCCCAGGAGGGGCCATGCTAATCTGTCTGCCAGTGAAGAGGGAGAATCATTGAGGAGCTGCCTCCTGCCCGCCCCCTACTGAGGACCCAGCCCTCAGCCCCACTTGTGCTCTGACCAGGAATGGAATTGTGACCTGGTTCATGGGCTGACACTTAACCACTGAGCCACATTGGCTGGGCCTGGGGACATTTCTTATGTGTTTTTGTTTTTTACTTCAATTTCCTCACTGCTGATCTATTTAGACTTTCCAGTTCTTCCTGATTGAGTTGAAGAAGGTTTTGTATTTCTAAGGGACGTATCTATTTCTTCCAGGTCAGTGGTCGGCAAACTGAGGCTCTTTGGCCCCTTGAGTGTGCCTCTTCCACAAATACCACGGCCTGGGCGAGTCTATTTTGAAGAAGTGGCGTTAGAAGAATTTTAAGTTTTAAAAAATGTGGCTCTCGAAAGAAATGTCAATTGTTTCGATATTTGGCTGTGGACCGAGTTTGCCGACCACTGATCTGGGTCATTGAGTTTGGTGGCGTCAGGGCTGTCACAGTGTTGGTGTATCTCTAATGTCTGTGGTACCGGGTTCGAGTCTGATTTTGTTTGTATGACTCCTCTCTCTTTCCCAGGGACGCTAGCCGGGAGTTCATAAAACGGACAAACCCCTGGGGAGCGCGGAGGCCAGCCCGGCCTGACCCACCTGGGAGGAACCCGCTGTCATCCAGCAGCGCCTGGCGGGGGCCGGGCCTGACAGGTACGTGCGTGCGCGTCCACCAGAAGGGGTCCTGCCTCCCTGACAGCCAACCGGGAGCTGGCCTTAGTTCCTCCGAAGCGCT